GATTTGGAATATGAGGTTCTATAACGGACTCTGACATGACAAACTAGCTCTAGCACTCACCCCCAAAAAATTCTTGTTCAGTGTGGTGGATTATGATAATCTTTATCTATGAATTATATTACATACTCTATGCTGCCAAATATGTTTCATATAAAGAGTGATAATTATTCTAGAGAAAATATTGGATATTGTATGCGAATGAGTTGTAGTTATATTACCACCCGAACTTTGCTACATAATTGTTAATTTACATTTCCACGTTTAGAAAGATACATTCGGTCACCGTTTTGGTCTATCCGGTTCCTCGCATGCCTCTGTTTGGGTGTGCATATTTATTTCTAACAAATTAAACATGTCAACTCGACAATACCGGCCTCCGATATTGATCTATTCTCAGCTTAGCGCTCATAGGTCCGACGGTCGCGTTACTATCCAGTGTGCAAAAGTCGAGAATGATGATTTTAACTGTCACATTGAAAGAGGCTCCTCATGTGCAGGATAAGTGTCACCGCAAATGACATCATATTTCCAAATAACAATAAAGTTCTATCACAACAATGACATCATGATACGCAACTGAATCCAATTAATTTCCATCTTAAAAAATATATTACAATATATCATTTCATATATATTTGATGAACCAAATTCTTCTGTCTTTTTGGCCATAGTGTGATCAATTTAGAGGATACAACTTGAAGTTCAACTCCACAGAGAGACGAAAGCACTGCAAGTGAGCTAGAGGACCCGTAGGGAGCACTTAATTGTGTTCCAAAATAAGTAGGAACGACTATAGTATGTCGGAATGTAACATAATCTCTCAACACATTTATCTGAGCGAATAATTTTTGGTGCGTGAGTAGGGTTTCTTCATCAATCGTTGCAAAATTTCCAATACCTGGATTGAAATCATTGCTATTTTATTACATTGGTATTACATTTAGCACAACGAATTAATTAAGAAATGAGACGACGGTATATATCAACCGAGATTCAAGAGATGCTGATGCTGAGCTGCGCGGTTTGTTTCCACTCCGACCTTATGCTAAAAAAATGCTTATCCAATCGGGACGAGGAGGAAGTACGGTGTACGAGAAGTTCGAAGCGGCATTGCTCTCTCTCTCCAGTCCGAAAGATCGGCGGGGTCACGCCGCGCCGAATCCCGCTCCTATTTACGAACCCGGGTACACCTCACTGTACCTTTCTGTCGAGGCTAATGCCAGCTGCCTTCCATTGGTCACAGCCATCGCGCGGATCTCGTTCCGCGACACGTCATTGGCTTACGGCTGATCACTATCTCTACATGGCCATGGACATGTAGGCCGCAGTGCGGTCACGGCCTCGCGTCAACAGACAAGACCACGTAGATGTTTTGTTGTCGACGCTTCTGGCTGGGCACTCGTGATGTGTACTTGGAGGAGCGCCGTGTTGCCACATGGCGTTTTCAGGGAAGTGTTATTATCCCTCTCCACGTCAGATTTCCTTGAACGAGGGTCCAAGTAATGTAGCCACGAGATAAGGAAATCCGATAACCCAACGAAACTTTGACGAAACAAGTGGACCTATGGTGCACTCTCGCTCTCGATCACAAGTTCGATCCCTTCTATTATAAAATTTTAATTTTAGACTTGGTTCCAAAAGTTTAAATTTCTACATTCTCTTGATATTCCACTTGTCCCATCCAACACATATATATTATTCTCTTTCCAGGTGTCTCATATATAACGTCCATAACCATAATGAATAAAAAATATTCGATATTTAAAAAATAATTGAATGTTTCTCAATTTTATATTCTTATACTCTACCCTTATTTGAATGCAAAATAACTTTATTCCATTGAGATTTATTGAAATATCCCATGGATAACTGTATTCTACTTATCACGTGAACTAAAACTTTACTGGATTTAATTGTGTAATTTTGTTTGCTATGCTCCTATGTATAACATGAAGTATATGCCAATATTAGCGGTCACCATACGAATCTCCGGACCAAAAACTCAACCATGTATAAGGTTTTAAAATTATTGAATTATTAAATTGACTAATTATGAGACATTCCATCTTTTTCTGAGTTACTTGCTCCCGGATGAATAGCTTGTAGATTTTAAATTCTCATATTGCTACTCAACTAACATACAAGATCATCATACATATTTCAAGGGATTTCCATGCAATTTGGGATGTCTATGAGTATTTTCACTTGTATGTGACAAAGTTGTGAAGTAAAAGAATTCGTATGGTTGATAAATATTTCTCTTTTCAAGCCTAGTATATATTCCTTTCCCATAAGTATTTGTCTGATGATACAATTCTTCCGTTTGAATTATACATATTATCAGACAAATACTTTTGGGAATTCTTGCAATTTTTATTCTTCATGATGACTTGGGCGGAGAAAACTATCATGATGTCCTTGAGTGGTAGACGTTAGATCCAGGTATGAAATCAGAAGGATGAAAGAAATCACCTAGTCTGATGTATGTTGTTCTTATCGTGTGGAAAAAGGCTGGGAGATAAAAGGTGAATGAAATAGTTAAAAATTACATTGAAGCATATTTAAAGCTGGTATCCAAGCTGGTGTCCGTCCTAGATCTAAACGTTCTCACCTTCCCGTTCAGTAGGTCGTTGACAAGTCAGCAGCATTTCTCCATGGGCGATAACGTATGGGAGAATAAGTACAATCCGACACTTTTCGAGCTGTATTATTATTTTATCTATTTCTCTATCTTGTCCACGTACCACAATTATTACCTGTTAGTTATTGAATTGACAAGGTCTCGCGCTGAGCTGTTTTTCTTCCATAGCAAACGACGAATGTCAAACATGAGCTCAGGCAGTCTCGACGGTCTTTCTCATCAGTATATCGCAAGACCATATATTGATTGTTGATATATATGACAGCTCTTGGATTTTGATACCGGTGAAGGTGATCGTTGAAACTGTTACATTTTCTTCCTGCGATTTCCACTTTATCTCAAATCGTTTTTTAATCCAACATGATCTGATATGGTTTATACTGAAAATATGGTCTTAGCTTCAGATTAAATTTATGGCAATTTTTTTCATAAATGTCTCTATAATTTGACATATATGATCATAGTGCAATATATATAATTGACTCATCAATTTTATATGTATTATTCTTTCAAAGATGGAGAATTGCGTAATAACATCAATATCTATACAATTATAGATTAGAAAATGAGTAGCTTGATTCCAAATACGCATTTGAAAGCACATCAGATATCCTAGAGTCAAATGAGAGTCAACGTTTATACTAGAAAACCAATTCATCCCATTCCCAAGCTTGGATCGGAGTATCTAGATTGGCACAAACTGATACAGTTGTGAAGGATATTAACTCAAGCGTTCCAAAAGTTGGGTATTCCTTGAATAAACGATTACTTTTATTTTCCTTGCTTCAACTCCAACAAAAGAGATTGACGGCCTATAAATACTTCATTTAAGATTACAGATTCTTTATCTTCTCAGACTTCATCGAGTCCCATAAAATCATACATATTATATGAATATATGATACAGCATGTGCTGGTAGGTCCAAACATTCGTCTCCTTTTGAGAACTGATGAAATAAATCATGGAGCAAAACTGGTTGGCTTCTGTCCAGTAGCTCGACCATTTTTATTCTTCTCACATTCTTGATATATCTCTTTCCACTTCAACTTTTATTTTTTTCACGTTTTGTTTCATCCATCGGGTTGATAAACTTCCCATCATTTCTATTATTTTAATCACCTTTGTACTTGCTTGATTCATCATCCATGTGGTTCCCATCTTCCTTTTATTCTCCACGTTTTTTTGGGAATTTTAGTGGTCACTCTGAAGACATTCCATACATTTCCCGGACGAGCAGGCGATGGGCGAATGTGATTTTCGTTAGTTCACAAGCCCTTTCCTTTCCGCTGCCCACGTTTTACTCACCGAAGTGTTCTCCTTCACCTACGAAGACTCCTATAGACCTACACTACACTAAACACAACGGCAGAAACGATCAGCGCAACTCAAAGTATTTGTAAATTAATGAATTTCGCGCCGGGGAAAACAGCAAAAATATTTTTATATTCGGATGAGGAAGTTCATGTGACCTGGAATCCACCTCGGTCGCTCAGAACTTGGGAAAGAGAAACGCCCTGAAATGAATAATGGAGCTTTAATGCAGGATAAAAGAGAGAGCTCCTGCACTTTTGGGTGCGGAATTCAGGAAAAAGCTGACACTGCGACGAATGCGAATTTCGGCCCCATAAAGTAGTCGCCTTTTGGCGAGGAGTGGCATTCCGACGAAGGACAAGGAGAAAATGCCGAACTTTTATTTTTTGCTGCCCGGATGAGCAGAAGGCCCAGCTCGTGGCTGCCCGCCCGCCCGCCAGCCCGTCAGGCCGCACCGCACAGTCGAACAAGGAACCCCGACCGACCCATGTGATGCAGCCAACGCCCGAGACGGTCGAGGCTCGGGCGTTGCGAATCGACCGAGGCGGCCACCGAAACAATCCCGATCGTTCGCAATTCCACAGCACCATTTGTCCTGCTCTTCCCGCTTGTCTTCGTTAGGATCACGACAGGCTCCTCCCCTGCTGCCACTCCCCGTGGACGGCGACGGCGACGGCGACAACGACGACAACGACGAGTCATTCAGTCAGTCACGACACCGCGGAGCCTCGCGTCGGTGGACAGGTACTCCCGAATCCCCAATCCGGGCCTGAACGGGGCCCGGTAGGGACTCAACCGGGCTCCAGAACGCTGTGAGCCGTCGGTTTCCTCGATCCGATGGCTAGACCGTCCGCGGAGAGGAATGTTCTCACCGCCGACGCGCGAGGCTGAGGTGGGGTCGCCTAACCGAGGGTGGGGCTGAGGTTCGGGCTATAAGAGGGCAGGCGGAGTTGTCGTTATTAGGGCTACTGGAGAGCATCGAGAGCGCGCGACAGTGGAACATGTTCAAGACGGATGCGGGTCGAAGACGAGGGTCCTTTTCGCCAGTTTCTTCCGCGTGCTGCGTCACAGTCCTCTCCCCCCCCCCTCCCGCGTCGAAGGAGGAGGCAAGGCCAGGCCTGAATTGCGATCTTGGATGAGGCCTTCGTGCCAGTCTCGAATCGAGCAAGGCCTCGAGGGCGCGAGGGAGTTCCCTTCTCAAGAACACTCAATCTGGTGAAATCTCGTGCGGTCAGGTCCGCAGTCGGGGCCTTCCCGTGGGGACATCGCTCGCTCGCTCAGATTGAGGTGGAGTTCGTGCAGGAGAGCACGGTTTCCGGGGAGCGAAGAGTGGCCTGAGTGGAAACGCGCAGCCCGGGTCGCTAGCAATTGCTCTGGCGGGAGGCTACGAGGCGATACGTCCCGGTGAGTAGTGTGCATAGACAGCGTTTCGCGGTCTGTCACATCGGAGGACTGGGGAAAATTGAAATTAGCGCGAGCATTTGTGGTAGAGTGTGTTTCGCGTTTCCTTTTATGGAATTTCAGTCGAAGTAGAGCCTGGTGGAGGCGGAACAGGGGAGTGAGATCGCAGTACCGTATTCTATCATCGTCATGGGCAGCATCTGAGCGGGAAGGAGGTGGCAGAAATCCATGCCTTCGACTGAAACGTAGGTGTTTCTCAATTTTGATAGCGGTGGTCTTGGAGACTCGGGGAGGCTCTTCACGATGGACATGATGGGGAAGCAGACGCTCGGCATGTTCAACAAGCCGGCGATTGTAGAGACTTGTGCCGATCTGATGGTATCAATGTTACCATTTTGGGTGGCTGTAGTCATCGGCCTCGTCGTGGGCTGGTCCTGGAAACCTAGGTGGGTGAGCTTTCTGTTCCTGGGATTGAGGAGTCGACCGCGGCTTGTGTGGAGCACTCCGCCAGGGTTTGGTGCCCGACGTTTGTGGCTCGCCGTGACCGCCCTCACAGCTTACCCCGTTTTGAAGGAGGCTTGGCCTAAATTCCGCTCATGGATGTGGCCGGGAAGCCAGTCTCAAATCGAGCAAGGTCTTGATGCTTCCAGGTAATGCTCTTTTCCAAGAATACTTAAGTTTCATCCGTGGAACATTTCTTCGAAGGTCCGGCGTGGGCAGCTTCTCGGCGTTATTGCTGCTCCCAAGGACCCGAGAGCTAGAGTTCCTGCCAGGCGTTTCCCGGATGAATGCCTGCATTGGAAACCTTTCGCCCGAGTTATTAGCAACTGCTCTGCTGAATCACGTCGATAGGTCCTGTTGAGTGGCGTTGGGTGACAGCTTCTTACGCCTGTCACATCGACACAACTCCGACAATTGCAATTTTGAAAGTTCCTGCTTTAGTGAGACTCTTGCCTTTGGAATGAAGTGGAACCGTCTGAGGTAGAACACGGAGCGATCTGGAAGTACTTGAATTTACTTCGTTATACATGGAGTGTGCAAATGATTCCGAGCGCTGATGAAATCACTGGTATTTGTGTCTATATACAGCCCTTTTGGTACTGACGGGGAGAGCAACAACGACTGGGCCGTCACTACTGAGGACTTAGTGGAGTTCTGTAATAGGATAGAAGCGCAGGATGGAGGCCCGAAGTGGAACGAATTGATGGAGCGTTCCACAGACGGGATGTTTTATCAGGCTTGGCGCCGGGATCCTGTGGTAAGCCCTACAGTCTCAGTTCATGTTCTTACACACGCGAATGACAGTAACCTGTTCTATTTGATGTACCCTTGGAGGACGAGCAGTAATTGTTGAGACACCTAGGGCAAGCTCAATTTTATTGTCATCTCTCTGGGCGACTTCAAAGAACATAGCGAAGTTTGTGTCGTTTACATCTGGAGAGGTAGAGCTGGCAAACTGCACGGAAACGTGCACTTTTGAAGTTCATCGAATGCAGATGTTATCCTGGTTCCTGAAGTGGTTGCATCCGAAACGTGCAGGGTAATATTGGGCCGACTGAGTACAGGAGCCGGACGGTTATGGAAGATGTTACGCCCGAGGAGATGCGGGACTTTTTCTGGGATGATGAATTTCGGCCCGAATGGGATGATATGCTAGCGTACTCTCGGACATGCGAAGAGTGTCCGAGAACTGGATCCATGATTGTGCAGTGGGTTCGAAAGGTGAGGAAGAGCGTCTCACCTCTTTTGGGCTTCAATGCTCTCCATCCATATCGTCAATTTGGAACGCTTGTACGAGAACGAAACTGAGGGAAAAGCTTGTGAACTCATATTCATACCTGTTGGTTTTGCAGTATCCGTTCTTTTGCAAGGACCGTGAGTACATCATCACTCGTAGAATTTGGGATGCTGGGCATACCTACTACTGCGTTACCAAGGTATGTGGTTTAGGACGTGGACGAGGGATCTTAGTTTTCTATAAGTGCACTTTGAGATTAAGGAACTATATCGTAGCGAGTTGACGTGAGGCACATGACAGGTTTTTTGACTGTTCTCTTCCGGGAAGACTCCACTGTGGGGAGTATTTTAACCTTTCGTTTGCTACTTCTTCAGGCATTCAACTCTTTGAAGATTCCAAGGAAGGCTTCTCCGAGGAGGGTGGATGTTTTTTATTCCAGCTGGCGCATTCGCGCAGGTGAACATACCTTCCGAAAGCCTACGAATTCTATGCCGATTACGTTTTTGGCTCTTTAGAATTCTTCACTTTATCTTGGGCGTAGAAGCTGCCCTCAAGCTTTAAATGGCCTCTCAGTCTTTCATCCCAGTCGGAAGGCCATTGAAAACTTGAAGCAGCGTGCTGCAACCATTTGGCTCCTAATGTATTGCTCTCGGTGTCCTTTGTAAAATGTTGGAAGTGAGTTTGGGTCGTTCACCCTACGTATTTTTGGGAAGCTGACCCGACAATAAATTGTGTTTTACAGTGGAATCACGAAGAGGAGATGGTCAAATGACAGCTTGCGAGGTGTTGTTGTTCCATCACGAAGAGATGGGAATTCAGCGCGATCTTGCCAAATTGGGAATACGGCAAGGGATGTGGGGATGTGTGAAGAAGATGGAACCGGGGGTACATAAGTACAAGGCTCTTCGCAAGCAGGGCCGGCCGCTGTCGAAATGTGCGCAGCTGGCGAAGATCAACACGAAGGTTCCCGCGAATTTCGTCAGAAATCTGTCGATGTTGGACCCATCAGAAATTGAAAGCGATGAGAGCGGCGAAATTAAGGAGAAATCTAAAGGCCATCTGCGATGGTTTATTCTTGGAGGGGCTGTGGCTTTAGCTTGCGGTGTCGACAGAGGAGCTGTCGGTAAAGTACTTGTTTTTGGAATAGCACGACGGCTTGGAAGACTGGGTCGCAAAGCGGAAATTGTAACATACTAGGAGGGGGACTTGGTGCAAGTCGAGCAAGCAAGCGGAACGACTTTGGAGAGATCGAGACGAAGCAGGCAACCCAAGAAGCAGAGTACGAGTAGGGCCTTAGACGGGTTTTAATCCCCCTCACATTGGAAAAAAATTGTATTTGTAATGCTATCATCACCATTCATGTCAGTTTGACCTTTTACGTGTTTACTGGGCACTGTGCCTGGTTCCTGTTATCTCACTCGGGTGGGTTTAGTAGGAATTGCGGGAGAAGACTGGATTTTGTCGTCATAAAATTGGGTTCCAGATCTCGTACACGCATGGAGCCCCTTGCCACTAGCTGATAGACAGTGAATAAATCGGCAGTCATGTATCTACTAGCCCCATCTGAAGGAGTGGGGGTAGAGGTAGAAGGAAGTTAGGAGTCGGTTCATGAATGGGTACCCTTTTGTAGACATGCTTATCACGAATGTATCTAGTCTAGAGCATCCTGTACAAAGTTCTGCAGTGAAATATTTTTATCACTCTTCATGAATTCCGACCCTCTTCCAAGCATATGTGTGCCTGCCTGTGAATGCCGTCTGGTGTGGTTTTTCCCGTTTCTTTTCCCCGTTGAGGATCCGGCCTCTTTGCGATTGCCGTCTGCGATTTGCCGGACTGCGCACATGCTGGTGTTCATCTGTGGCCCTCCTTAACGACTATGAATAAAGTTGAATTTCTTCCCAGTCCCTCCTCAGTCAACTACTCGCCATGTGCTTCAGACTTGTATGATGGCCGTCGGAGATGAGTTTCGTGAACATCTCTCTGTCCATATTCCTCCTATCCGCGTTGCATTTCCTTTGAATGACGAAGCCCGTCCGTCAGTCCAGCCAAAACTCTTTGTCTGTAAAGAATTGTGTGCCAGGAGATGGAATGTAAGACAAATAGCTGTCAGACTGCGAGAATTCCGGCCCTGTCGACACACAATCACAATCTGGTAAACATCGAGCTTCAATAAATCCCATCTGGATAAGAGCGAAGGCTCCTGTCAGAGAGTTTGTCAACCGTCGACGAGGTTTTGGCACCGAGGATTGAACTCCTCCTCCCCCTCGTCTGGCTCCTCGCGGGGTCCCAAGCCCCCGCAGCGTGTGCACGTTGAGCTGCCCCGTTTGACCGACACGCGTTTCGGTTTAACGGTTGGTCTTATCCCCCGAGGGGGCGGGGAGCGAGGCGGGGTGGCAAATTTGGAGAACTTGCGCTCCCCGGGGTTTGCATCTCGGAACGGATCCTCTGCCCCCCCTTATCTGTCGACAGAGCGCCTTGAATGTGGAACCTGGTTCCGTCTGACGCTCGGGGCTCAGTTCTTCCGACACTGGGCATGGCCGCCGAAGCTGTGCAATGATGGAAGTGTTGGTGTGTCACCAGCTCCGAGGGAGCCTTCTCGGGTCGCAGACGAAGCTCGCACGCGCGATGAGTCATCGTGTGCTTGTCGCCAGCGGAGGAATGGGGGCATCGCTGTCGACGAGGAGTTGGAGAGCAGGCGGAAGTGTTTTATGCGGCGAGATGGTCGTCGTCATTAAGACTCGACGACCACATTATTTCTGATCGGATCTGGTGAGCGAATGTGGCGATTAATTGCCGACGACGATTCGTCCATGCGCAGGCTGGTCTCAGTCAGCTTCTGCGGCGTGATCCGCTCACCTCCAGAGGACGCAATCATCCCGAAATTAGAGTAGTGTTTGGCACCTCTGCCGAGTGAGATAATTTGTGGGATCTACCACGGACTCATGCAGTCGTCACTTTCAGTGCAGCTCACGACGACATCGAAGTTTCTCGAAGACGAGATGGAGCTACCATTGCAGTTTTCTGTTCATTGGCTCTGAGGTTTAGGGTTTCAGGGAGTGAAGCTGGAGCATGACGGAGAGCAGTCCAAGAGCAGAGATTTAGTAAATCCTGAAATTAGGACTGTCCTTCGCATCACAAGACAGGGCTCCCCTTTAATCGATCGATTTTTTTTCGTGAGATCTTGTGGACGAATTATTGGGAAATTCCACATGCGATGGATCTCTGTCACCATGAACATTTTCAAACAGAGCGAACTTTCTGAGCTTACAATCCGCTCTCAATCAAATTGATCGATTCTCCGTAGACCGTGAGGCCTAAGAATCGAATCTCTCGGCAGTAGGACGATCAAGGCCTAGAGATCGATCCATAGGTACGAGAATATCCGTGCTCCTCCTCGTTCGATCGCTTGAAGGAAGGACACGAAGGGGTGAGGAATTTCCATGGCAGAAACTCATGTGCTCGGGCCGTGCCACCCTCGGCAGCTGGCGGAGGTGGAGGCGATCCGAGCCATGTACGCGGGCGAGGGCGAGTTTCACATGACGGACGGCGAGAGAGCGGCGCTGGAGATTTTGAGCGAGCTCGAGGAAGGCGCTTCGGCGCCCAATTACCTCTCCATCTCCTTCGGCGTGCATCTTCTCGGGACGACACTCGGCGGACGGCACGTCAGTGCAGCTTTCGCCTTCCCCCGATCATACCCCGAGCAAGAGGCCGTCCGAGTGAGCGTGGAGTGCGGCGGCCTCATCTCCAAACAGCAGCACGAGCGGATCAGCCTCGGAGCTCAGCAGGCCGCGAACGAGCTCGTGGGAGACGAGGCCGTTCTGCAAGTGCTGCAGACATTGCAAGAGCTCGCGTGGGAGCTCGAGGAATCGACCGATTCTGCATCAGATCGGCTGATTCTCGACGGAAATTGCAAAGATGCAGACGATTCTCCGCTGGTGCTGGAACGGAAGGTGATTTGGTTCCACCACATCAAATCCACGCAGAAGAGGAAGGACATTCTCGAGTGGGGCGCGGAATTGAAGCTGGGTGGCTTCTGCAAGCCGGGGTTTCCAGGGGTTCTGATCTTCGAGGGCGAGTCGGAGAATGTTGCCGAGTACGTGAAAAGGATCCAGAGGCTCAGATGGCAAGCGCTTCAGGTTCGCGGGCAAGAGGCCGAGGAATTGTCACGGGGGCAGGATTTGGATTCTTTCAGAAGGTTTCAACTAGGAATCAAAGAGCTCCCCGAGTCCGCCATGTCCGAGCTCGCCGCCAATTGCCGCCAAGTGAATCTGGAGCAATTGTTTCTCTCTGCACTCAAAATCTCCAGATGATCGAACTCGCTCTTCTCCAAATTGAAAGCCCTGTCTCTGGCCCTACTCCCGTTGCCATCGACGCCCTCGTCCGCTATTGTAGTCTGCCATCGCTGGGTCCTGCAGACTCCCATTCCTCCCACGCATGTCGAAGCCACGTTGCCGTCACCTGCGAGAGGAAAAATACGCCATCCATGAAAAGTGTTCGTGGCTCGATTATCTTCCCAATGAACACGAAAAGATGGAACAATATGCTCGAGGGAAACACTAAGGACTCAATAACGAAGCCATTTCATTGCCATGCCAGGCAAGAAATATCAGGTGCCAAAAGAAAAGAAAAGATCTCGGGAATTAAGAACGATGCAAAGATTCCTTCTAGTCAAACGTGTGACATGGTGCAAGGAGCCAAAAGGGCAATCTTATTTTCAGCAGTAAAATAAGCCTTCAAGATCTCTACGTCTAGAACGGGATCATCCTTTAAGATTTAAACGTCTATGACTGAATGCAAACTTTATTTTATTTTAGCATCATATACAAATTTTAGTACACATGTCCAAGTTTTCTCAAATGTAAATTACCGATTTTGGTTCTAGTATTAGTGTTAAATAAGTTTCATCAATCGAGATTAAATTTCTTTCGGTTACTAGATTAAACCGAGAACTGTTTTATCTAATCTTAAATAATGAAAACTCATCATTATACACAACATGGTTAATTCTAACGCGAAATACAGGATAGACGAGATCTATGCAATTTTCATTGAATGCCACGATTCAGTAAGTTCCGAAGGGACTAACTGACTCAATATCAGCGATGGATAAATGACTTTGCTAGCTGTCCTTGAAACGGAAAGTAACCTCCACGAGTGGTGCAGTCAGATGTTTGTATTGAGCAGGTGCCTCACAAGCAGAACAGAAGATGCACAATTATGAGCAGCTCAGTTCCGTAGAGTTTGCAATCTGTTCCGCCTCTCCAACGAAAATTAAGTCCTCACTTCTTCTCTTCTACACTGCCTTCCCTTAAACTGCCAACTGAACAAGTACAATTGAAATTCCATCTGCAATGGTTAGCTCTGCATACTACGTGGGAAGATTGTATGTTCACCTAAATAAAGAGCTCCTTTTGTTGTGGAGCCTGCACAGAAGACTACGGAGGAAAGATTTTATATGTGGAGTGAGGAGTTACATAGACTTTGTGGCTTCTCAATCGAGCTGAACGCAATCATGGTAGATGCGAATTCTTCGTAAGGGAGCTTTTGTGCTCTCAATTCTCAAAGGGAGCTTCGTTCTTTGAATGTCCCCTTGTGAAGAGATCATTTGCTAGACCCATTCTGCACTGTGACTCCGATGTTCACACGTTCTAATGGTTCTCAACTCTCAATGAAGGCATAGAAACTAACTCCACGTTCCTTGAGCACAGACAATATATCAGTTTGATATCAATAATAGTTGGCTCACTTGAAAAAGTTTATAGAAAAAGACATGCATCAGATTCTATAACATTCACTATTGATTCTGGCGAGCCCCAGGGGTGAAAGAGACTAGATATCTCGTCTCTGGCGTTGTGTCCATATCATTTAGATCTTAAAGGACGTCAGTCTCCAGTCCCTATAACATACTCTGTGAGTTTAAAACGACCTTCTAGACTCGACAACCGTTGAATTCTGCCCACCAGCTCCTCTCCAATTCAGGTCCACCTTGTAGTTGTGTCTCCTCTATTGGATCAAAATCTTTGGAATTGGAATATATTGGGCTTGAATCAGACCATAATGTATGACTGCTTCCGTTTTCTTTCAAATAATGTCTAATCAGGACATGCTTCTGAAACTTCCTCCTAGGAGATCACAGAACTTGTGGACTGTCCAAATGTTGTCCCATGCTGCTTCCTTATCGCCGTTGAATCACCGTATTGCTTGAAAGAGACTCCCTATCAGAGGTGGTGGTAGGTTGAATGTTTATGTGTTTATGGCATGTGGCAAGCACGGACCTTATACTCTGCACATCAGTATAGACTGAGCTTCCAGCTCACACAAGGATCTGATGAAGGTTATACCTGATGGAAGAACCCTCGTTAAATTACAGCCAGCTGTTGGAGAAGCAGCAATAAAGCGATGCAGACGAGGAAAATTGTTCTATTCTGGCTGCACGCGTTTTGTAGAACGTGGTAGCCATGGATGATGAGAAATGGATCCTCCTTAGCTGCGATGTCAACGAGAAAGTGAAAGGAGAAAGAGCCAAAATCATCACAATCCCCCAGCAGTAGCAGGTGACGGAAAGATGGGAGTCAAAGCAAACTACTCGACCAGAAAGCAACTCTGTAGCTGACAAGCTTCTGTGGCTGCTCTCAACCCCTCTCGATACCTGAAAGAGTTTGACTGTCAATATTATGATGAGCTCAAGCACCAAGGATCCGAAGACGATGTCAGCATCGCAAATCCCAATGAGAAATACATCTTCTGGGTCCACTTTTCACTGTCGCGGTTCTTCAACAAATGATGTGTTCACTCGAATTCATCATGATCACATTCTGAGACATCTCAGCTGAAACATGACATCCATGTTCAGGACGCCCATGCACAATTCGCCTATTTGACAGGAAGCTTACAATGATGGGGCCCATCATGGACCACATGTTGGTGCTGTATAGAAATAGCCGTCGGGCTCTCTGTCTCTGTCACTTGCGAAGGTGAGTGCTTGACATCATTGTTTGATTCCATTACTTTATCTTACCTCCTGGCTATAAGAAACTAGAATTCACTATCAACATAAACTGTGCCTGGATGTAAAGCAATACTGGTCGTATTCAGCCTTGTTTGAATCGGCCATGAGATGAGCATCATTACCTTATCGTACATAGTTATGGAGGTGAAGCGTTTAGCGATTCGATTGTCTGGTACTCTGAACACTGATGCACATTGTACAGCCTCTGTACAGCAAGTGTTGAAGAGATTTCAACTGTTGTTTAAGATCGAGACTTGCCAAACCGCATATCTCAGGGACCATTAAATCCAGACCTCCAAGACTCGGACAATTGCACATCATCAACAAAGTGGAGCCATACATTCAATGTAAGATCAGGAGACAATATGGAATCCACTTTGATGCTTGTATTACATTGAGGAGGGAATTTTTTAGGAACACAGTTAATTTCTTCGTTACGTGCAACGAAAGTATATTTTATCTGACTCAAGCGAGGCTGTAGCTTATCTAAAACTAAGGCATTGATAGAAATCAAATTCTTAGGCGAATATAATTTCAATCAATATGATCACGGATCGATAGTACACAAATTTTGGTACGTTCAGTCTTGGTAGAAATTAATTGTTATAAATGAAAGTGTTAAAGCATCCAAAAGAGACATACTATTCAAATATAGTGAAAGTGAAGTAGATTATAAAATAGTTCTTAATGCGTAGTGGCTAACTTATATGCGCTGCTGTGTCACACATTTACACAAAGACTTAAACCGAAGGTACATAGGTGATCAAGGGGTATGATCAAGGAGAGATTGGGTATTGATTTTCTTTCTTAACCTACTGGTTTATCTTCACGATGAATACCCTAAATGGAGATGGTATTATTTGTAGACCCAGAGTCACTTAGGACAAGAAATGTGGGAAATGTAACATCCGTATGAAAGAGGGGTGAAAATTATATTCGGGTGCAGGAGTACCAAAATTATTAAGAATAATAATTAAGTAAACCAATGAACCAATGGAAGACTCTGACGTCAATTCAGTGAATATGCAATGCTTTATTCACGAACATGTCACATTTGATATATCCCAATGTATGGGTTCCTGTATGCATCTCGAAGAATAATTCGATGCTAACTAAAATTGAATCTTCAATGTCAAGGAAAGAAAACAAAGCTTTAAATTTAGAACGCAAAATTATTAAAATCGAAAGCACGTGCGCATTGTGAAAATCAAATTTCGAAGCCCGAACGTTTCGAGCCTCAACGTTTCGGATGTCCAAGACGATCAAATGCTCTATCCGCTGCTGCAGGTGCCGAGGCAGTGACACGTGGCCGGCCTTCTGATTGGCTGGCGAAGGAAGGAAAGAATGAAGGCGATGGAGAATCGAGGCTCTCACGATGATGGTGATGATGATGAGGGACTTTGGAGGAATTCGAGGGATCGGAAGTCGAGTGCGAATTTCTGTCTGGCATTCGATGTTTCGATTTGAAGCTCGATTTGGAATGTCTCGTTCTGTGGGCGGCAAGTGTGCCCCTTGTGCAGAATTATGGCTCTGAAGATTGGCGTAGGGTTTAGACCCTCTTTTGCTTTGCGCCCGTCGCCGCGATCCGAAAGAAAATTGGGGTCGAGGAATTTGCTCCTGCGTTCTTCGAAATCTGCCTCGCAATTCGGCACGTGGGTGAATGAATCAAGTCACGAACTCGTTTGACCTGTAGAATTGTGTTTTCTGGTGTGGCAACGGTGGCCGCAGGTTTCTTTCAGTCGACGGGTTGAGAGCTGGAACTATGAACCATCTGATGATCGGAAGGTTTTGTCCTCCGCTTCAAGGAACGAATACTCCGACGAGATTGTTTGTGTCTTGGTGCTCCCCTGGTGTCGCTACGGCTGAGAAGGCAAGCGGTGGCTCCGTTCTCGGGAGAGTCGGAGTTGTGTGCTTTTCTAAATCGTCGCGGCATTTTGCGGTCGAGGAATCGAATGAGTCCGCCAGGCCGGCGAAGAAATCGTCGTCTTCTTGTCTCGGGAGAACTCTGATTTGGTTCCACCACATCAAGTCTTCAAAGAAGAAGAGGGACATCAAGGAATGGGGTGCGGAGCTCAACCTCGGTGGCTACTGTAAGCCGGGGTTTCCAGGGGTTTTGATTTTCGAGGGCGATGCAGAGAATGTCGCGGAGTATGTGAGACGAATCAAGAGACTGAGATGGCAGCACCTTCAGATCAGAGGCCAGGAGGTAGAGGCTTTGACGGAAGGTCAAGACCTAGACTCTTGTCGCCGCTTTCCTCTCGGGGTCAAAGAGCTTCCAGAATCAGGCATGTCCGAGCTCGCTGAAAGATGCCGCGAGGCTAATCTCGAACAGCTCTACCTTACTGCTTTCAAAATCTCTCGATAGATTTTCCGGAATTGCTTTCAGCCGCGCTCGCAATCTCCAGCCTCCGTCGACCATCTGATTGAAACAGATATACAGATGAAGTGGCCTTCGGTCGGAGCATTTGCAAATCCAGTAATTGAGTGAAGAAAAGGTATATCACGCTCATGACTCCTTCAATTTATGTCCCACTTGTTTCTTGCATGCCTTCTCTTTTCCTGATAGGCTGTTAAAGTGTGAATCAACTGATGTCATATCATTTCTTATGTGAAACTGTGGCTGTACATACGAGATGACATGTGGTCGGACTTTGCAAATTCATCAAACGAGATGAGAGTTTGTATCTTACTGTCTATTACTGTCTATGTCTATTGTTCAACAACGGCATTGAAGATGAATCTTATTTTCGTGATAGAATATGGTTTGTCTCAACAAACGAAATTGGACTGGTGGTTGGTGGTTGAACCGTACCCTGTCTTTTCAACTATAAACTCTCTAGCACTGGCCATTTTCTATTACCGCTCTCCATTAGCTTCAGGTGGATCATGACTAGCAATATTGAGGTCAGAAATTTTAGATAGCATTCCTCACGCTTGTAATGAGGTAGATCAACTCGAAATCAGGTAGATAGAAATTCCCACCTCCCACTTCCTAATCACCTCGACAAATGATCATTCGTCTAATATGAACGATTTGACTTTGATTGGTTAATAGTCAGACCAACAATGTACATAACTTTCAAGGTCAATGTTGAGCTTGGACACACAAATCCCAAACCGTAAACCCTATTGGTTAATTAACTTTTAGCCACAAAAGCCTATTTTAACAAGATAACCCTAAACTTGAAGCAGATTGAAATTTAAATGTGGTACTACAATTTACGTTCAGCTTAGGGAGCTTATTCCGTAAAAAAATATCTACAAACAGAGGTGCTGCTCGTATGCTACCTTAATGTGTGCACATCTGATTCTCGCTTTTCAATCTGTCGATGGCAAAAGCTAATGATTATAGTCACAAAAATGTTCTTCTCGTTAATGTTCTATTTGTCCATGTTTTTCACACCTTAGTCTCTTGGTTCACACCATGAGATGTGATTCCGTTAATGTTGGTAATCCTAAGTTTTCACTAACGTTTATACTTGGTGATATTTTAATCCATAAATTTTATCTACAAATTGCATGTCGTAGACCTTGACTCTTCATTTTCAACTTGATGAGATGCTGCCAGTGAAAATTTTATACCCCGACAAATCACTTACTTCCTATAACAATTTGTTCGATATCGGTTCACGGGGTCGTCGTTCTTTCTATGTTCATCTTCCGCATCTGCTATTTTTGTAAACAATCTTTGTGGTAGTACTGCGTGACTTCATTTCATAAAGTTAGCTGAAAAGATTTCATTAAATTAACTTATCAGAAGTATATACTTTCAATACTCCATACATGCAATGAAAATCAACAAAATTTATCATGCACTCTAGATTATATACTCAGCCCAAATAAACTTCCCCATCCTCTGGCTGTAGGGTTTACTGTGTGCCCTCGGAAGTTCTGAGTCAGAGATGTGCCACTGGAGTGTTTGTTCGGGAATGATTCTGTTTGCATATGATGAAGTTTGGTTGCCTGTGTTATGAGTCATAACACATGTATCTGTCGTAACTTATGACAGATAGATGGAAAGAGAAAGAGTTGGGAGCCTTTATGTTCCAAAGAGGACTTCAACTGTGGTTATGTATGGAGATTGAGAAGTTCCGAAGTCAGGATGGTTTGAGTTTTACTTATGAGTGGGTTGAGAAACTTTATGTTGGGCGGGTGCAAGATTATGATGAGTAAAGAGATGGAAAGTCAACTTGGGAAAGATTACCGCTATTATCCTCCCGAGAGAGGACTAGAAAATCTATTGAAGAGTTCTCACTAAAAGTTAACCTAGTGAGGACTATTTTAAGGGTTCCTAACCACATTAGAGATATTAAAACACGTTAAAGTTCCTTCAATATCCATGCTTATGGGTTTTGGTAAAGAAGCAATAATAGGGTGGGGTGTTCGTGTAAGACGTTTGAATATCTCTAACCACAAATAGAGATCAAAGTATGGCTATCTCGCCACACCTGCTAATGATACAGGGAGGATAAACAATACACTCAGATTTGAAAAGATTGGAGGACGCATTTGTATGACTATTAACACGTTGAATGAGTTTAAAAAAGTACTGTCTTATTTGTTAGCAAAAAGGTTTGTATGATATGCGTTTTTAAGACTTTAGGGAAAGAAAGGGGTCTAAGAGGAAAGTGAAAGCTCTAGAGAATTGAACAAGATTACAGAAAAAAAACAAGCGTTGCTTTTGATCAATGATATGAGGGACAGATTCTCAAGTGTGTGTTACTTAAGCAAGTTAGATTTTATCCGTGGATATCATCTAAAGAAATTAATAAAATTGGTTATTACACAATTTGTATTACTGTCAACTATGGACTGGATATCTATATTGTGCTTTCGTCTTATTGACATGTAACTCATGAATGGTATATTTCAGATTATTTTAAGCCAGAGTGGTAATTTGTTGGTTGATATTCTTCTTTATTTACCATACTTTTGACCACATCTCAAAACTGAAATGGATTTAAGAAAAACGCTGTGCTCACAAACTATATGTCGAGAAAAGCAAATTTCACTTTGGGGATCGGGTTGTTGACTTGATACGCTTACATGATTGATCAGTGAAAGGTTCATGCCAACGTGGTGAAGGTTTTATTATATCGAGATGTTCTAAATTTCCTCTTCTTTGAGACCTAAAATTTATTACTTATTAAGATTCACACGAATTTAAAACTATTACACCTATTTTCTATGACTTGAACTTATAACATGAAATTATTGTTGCTAGTTAGCCAGCAAATGGCTTGCTGCAACCATTGAACATTCTAATGGTCCTTGTCAATCTTTGGCCATGGATTCTTCGGTAGCTTACCTGAAGTTTAGATATAGAATGAAATCTTCTGTGAGATAGGTTGTCAAAATTACTCGTTAGATACCTCTCATACCAATATCACTACTATTCAAACTTGTTCCTCAAGTACATCCGTCAATGTTTTTGCATATATAAGGATATATCATTGTCTACATTATCTAGGTTTAATCTGATTTTGAATCTGGCTTTTTGTAAAAAGTAGAGTTGAATTTTCATTTCAACTTCCTGTCACCTCATGATAATAGACAAAGTAAGAAAATTAATCATATGAACGAAGGACGGAGTAGTTATTTATGGTAGATTTGAGTGATTAGATCCATCAATTATCCATGGTGGAGTTAAGCTGTAAGACCACCAAATATTCAAAATTTTACATGACCAAGAGCAGTGCTACATCATATTGTATCGTAGGTTCGTCAAATTGCTCTCCACTTTGGCGTCAAGGTACGCCAAGAGTCGGTGCGAGAAGCTTCCATGGCTGCGGTCGTCGATCGCGTTTGACCGGTCTCCTCATTTTGGTGAGCTTCTTTTGGAAGTTCGAAGGCAGGCGGACATCAGAATCTGAAATGGAAGTCTGCATCTGATCAGGTGGAGGCGGTCAAGGTCGCTCCATCAGCTAGCGCTCGCATCGGCTGCTGCTGAAGTACCGCTCGCTCGGAGTTGGCCTCTCAGCGTTGCGAGGATATGTGAGAGGCAAGCAGGTCCCGCTAATACTGGCTGGCAGCCACAAGATCTCGTTCCGAAGGTGCACCACCGGAGCCCGATTTGGAGCCCCAGCAATCCGCCACGGGACGCGAAGACCAGGCAGCGAATTTTGCCCTCTCCTTCTTCCTTTCTGCACCTTTGACTCACGAAGGCGAGCAGAACCAAAGATACTCCTCAATTAGAAACCATCGATTGCGAGATATTCACCCTGCATTTCGAGGAACAAAGTCCAGCGATGGTTTCCACTGAATCTCGCGGCTCCCGGGGAATGGAAGATCAGCATTGGCCGGATCGAAGCGCGACGGAGGAACCGACGATTTAATTAGAAAATCGACCGATTCAAAGCCGCGACCGAGAAAATGTTGTCGAAAAAATCGGCTCGGTCAGTCGTTTGTTCAGATCTCGCAGATCTCGTCTCCCGCTGCTCGCTTTGTATCGATCGAAACTCGCAGCGCTGCGCGATCCTGCGATTTTCGCCATTGTGAACGAGACAAGGCGAGGCGATGAGCGGGCCACGTTCTTCTCGTCCTTCGTCTAGTCACCGTTGGCGGGGGCGTGTGGGATGGGGTCTTTGCCCGTTGAGCGGAAATGCCGCTCCCCGGCGGCCAGGTGACCGACCGCCGCCATAAACCGGATCTTTCCTCGGCGGGCGGGTGGGAGGAAGAATCTCCTTCGGGTCCGCGCACCGGAATCAGGGAATATGCTTAGTTATGCGGTGGTGGGCGACTAGGGGAGATATTGAATAAAGAACGGGCGAATAGCAAAAGGGATCGAAAACCTTATCCGTTCCTATCCGTTCATTATTTAATGTATATAAGTAATGACATAAATTAAGGAAATGGTGGAAAGAGAAGACTGGGTTCCGATATTCTGAATGTTTTAAAACATATCCCCATTTGTAAATGTGAATATTCTTTTTACTTTAAATATCGGTGATAGTGGTGTTAACTAAAATGTGATTAGTTGACATGAAAACTGGATGACGTGATAATATTACGTAGAATAAGGGGAGAACTACTTAATATGACCCAATACGTTTTATTCTATCGGAACCCTCCAACGGCACTTACGACAGCACTCTAGTACACAGTAACATATGAAACCATACGAGTTATTGTAATTGCTTTGATTCCATGTTAGAAATACCGATGTCTTTATTTGTTAAAAAAAAATGACTTCTCTCCCAAGTTCAATTAGTCATAATTCCCATAGCCGCTAATCTTCATCATGTGAGATACCAATTATTCAGTTTTAAAATCTGGGAACTATTTATTTACATTTCTAAAACTTTTGGCCGAAGGCAGCTTCCGCTGCGAATTTTGGTAAGTGAAGTCACTGCTTTGAGTACGTTAAGGTGCATTGCTGACAACCAGTGAATAACTGAACTTAGTAAGAAGTCACTTTTTTCCGATAAATAACGGCAGTGATATTCTAACCCAGAAACAAATTAGTTATAAGAATTCTCATGATAACATGGGTGCATGTGGACTAAAATGCCCCCGGAAGTGCCGTTGGAGGGATACCATAGGGTAAAATGAAACGTATTGGATATAATCAAATAATATTCTCTATAGTATGTTGTATGATATATGTAAATAATCTGAATAAAGAAAATACTTCATGCATAATAGAAAATTTTATGAGTAAATTCTACTCTAAATGTATAGTTCATTTATGAGTTGTTTACTTCATGGTACCCTATTGGAACCTAAATTGCTTACTTGAACACTTTAAGTTTTGTTTTACCCTATGGAAATCCACCAATGGTACATTTCATGCATATTCTAGTATGAACAGAAGATGCATGCAGTGGAATTTTGTCACAACAATCGCAACTTTGGGAAGCATGTGTAGACAAATAAATTGTACTCCGAGCTTTGTGCTCACATTGATTCATTAATCCAAATGAGCGTCGAATATAGACATGTAGTCAGATTATGCAGGTGCATCTGAAGTCAATTTTGCTGGTGGGTTGGAATGTCAATTCATCAGCGTACAAAGTGCAAAAATCTCGTTGTGAGCTATTATTCAACAGCAATATTTCTGAGTCATGCAATCGCGTTTCGTGCATGTGTAGGATGAGTTTGATAAACATTTTGCAAAGTTTTGCTCCAAAAGATTGGAGATACATAGACTCTCATGTGAAGACGGAGCTAGTAGCGATTTGCGATCGTAGAGATCCACTAAAGCTCGTATGTGTATAGTGTACATGAATACGTTTTAGAATTTTGAGACCGTGTGCCATTGGTGGAGTAACATCAGATATTTGATGGATCTTATCAAGTAATCTAGTTTCCCATTAAATAAATACCTTGCTCATTTATAGCAATTGAACATATAAGGTATCCAAAATCTGTTCATTTTTTTATCAGCATATATAATTTCATATCAATGTCTTGGTAGAAATACATTAAAGATATTCTAGCCTGCATTTTCACAGTGTTGACCTTAGTGTAGGGCTCATAAATTTTGGCAAATGACAAGTTTGCCAAAATTGAATTAATTTTGAAATATTTTTTATATTCAAACAATTGTCATAATTAAGTTAGCATTATTCTTATAAATTCCATAGAACTTTAGATATGTGTTTTGATCGGAGTGAAATCAAGTCAGTGATGACTGACTTGATTTCACTCTGATCAAAACACATATAAAAGCAATACTAAAATGATAGTTAGAAGCCTAAACAATAATAAAGTGATAGATGAAAAGAACAATTTTTTTACTATGAATAGGTTAAATTAGATAATGTCATAATTAGATGTTTTCATTTCACTATTTTTTGTACCATGACTTGATGATAATCATTTTGAGAATTTTGAATTACTTCACATTTATGTGAAGTAATTGAGTTAATAATTTTGTTAGTTAGTTGAATCACATCAGTTTAGTTTACATCATTTTTCTAAGCATTTGCACTTTCGATTTGATCCAAACCGAATCTTATCTCAGTAGCACACACGCTTTTTGCCATGAAGCAATACCCTCAATGAATTTTTCTTCAAACGTTCAAATGTTTTGCAAATATGCACGTGTGCTCCATGTGGCACGTCGTTTTTATAATGTATTACCATACATGCTTATATTAATCAGTTGTCTAAATTACCTAAATTAGCTTAATTCAATCTCATCAAACAACTTAATTTAGAGATTTGAGAGAAGTCTATCCAAATTCAAAGAATTCTATGGAATTGCAATCTATAATTCCGGCCTGCTTGATGAACAGTTGCGCTTGTTGACCTCGGCTCTGAAACAAAACATTGCATGATTTTCTTGATCTTGTTATTCAATGACAATATACGTCTTCACGTTTTGCACCGGATAACTCTCAGCAATATCATAACAATGAAGAAAGAAACATCATGATTGTCTGAACTCTATGTAAGATTAACTCACACCTTGTTAACCGTAGTTAGGCTTGGCCTCTATTTAGGGTTTGATATTCGTAACCCTATGGTGAACACGTTTCAGTTTGCTCTCACATTGCATACATGCGAGGAGAGATAATTGAGAGTTGAGCTATGGAGTCCTTATGTAACATTTTTGTTTAATTAAACTTTTATCTCGACCGTGGAAGTAGTCTCATATGAAGTTGAATCACTCCCGACCATGATCAATATTGTATATATTTTATTATCTATACACCGGAGCCTTTAATAATCCAGATCATTATAGCCCATTTCGTGTTGGGTACATCAATGTGTGATTCTTGTTTGTGATTCTTGATGTGTGATTCAAGAATAATTATTATCAAAGCTAGTCATTGCATGTAGATTTTTTATTTCCAAGTTTTTTGGAGATCAAAGAGCACGGAAGCGCTGTTAAAATTTACACTCTCAATTCCAAGTAGAATGTTGGCTATGAAAGTGGAGCCATAGGCACTGATATATTTTGATAAAAGAACAATATTGTTATATATAGTGATGGCAGAGGACTTTTTAATCTAAAGCGGTAGAAATTTATTCCACTCTGATGTCAAGTAAAACACTTTGATTTCTTAAAATCAAAATTTTTTCATCACTTCATTTTTTATCCTGCATGCAACGGCTTGAGTGCCTTTCTGAAACAATTTTTTAACCTAAATTGTATCAAATTTTGTTACGCGATCGCGAAGGTATGTACGTTTGAAGTCTGGGCCGAGCTTTGCTATGGTGACAATATGTAACACTAGGGTTTAGAGAGAATTTCACTCAAACATAGAAACGTGAACTCTGAAGATGATAAATATTAACAATGGTTCTCCTTTCCCTTATATAGCTTTCACCAACAAGTACAAAGAAATAAGTTCTTATTACCATCATCCATCCCACTCCTAGTGGATGGATGATGTGGCGGATATTTCTAACAAACGCACGTATCGCTGACGTGGTGCTTCCAACTAACAAATTCAATCCTTACCTAACAAGCACACGGATCGTTGACGTGGCAATGTCAACTAACACACATAGTCTCTACCTACCAAGTGCGCGGATCGCTGACGTATGCGACTAGTGCACGCTAAAGTAACTATATCAACGTTTAGAACAACCTCTACTTTAGTTCTAACTAACTAAAGATGGTTACACAATACTATGAACGGCAGAGTGGACTCGAAGAGGCGAGTTGCGGAGGTGACAAATTTGGAGCGGCAAAAGAGCAATTTGAATGAAACGCCGGATCATTTGTATAAGTCAGGCCAAAAAAAGAGTAAATCATATGTACCTTCACATAGAAAAGCGTACATTGTGAGGTATCTTGATCAAAAAGTAATAAAATAGCAAGCTTGATTTTAGGCAATTTCGGAATATTTGACTAGGCAAATTATCTCTGTTTGAGTTTAAATTTTGAAAGATGATTTTCAATCAAGTTAAGCACACGGTATAAAATACGGATTTGGTAATAAACAACATATAAATTTGTGGTACTAAAAATTTGCTTGGTTCAAATTTTTATCCCCTCGAGTTTGGAGTTAATAACGTTTTATATAGAGATGAAATTGAAAAACCTTTTTCACATTCCAATGAATTACCTCATACAAGTCCATGTCATTAATGTTGTTTCACCGTGACAAAAAAATCAGCGCATACAATGAAGTTGTTACTGATTTATTAACCGACGACATGCAATAAAAGCTATTGGTGTTTGTGCATACCTCATCCGTTAAATCCACTTCATCGTCTACTTTCTTGACAAATTCTTGTGGTAGCACGCCTAATAGGAGAAAGGAAATAGAAATATGAAGACCAAGTCTGGGTCTAGGTCTAAGTCTAGAAATCCTAAGAAACATCAACGGCTGAAAATATGGCAAATCTTGTCATATTTGCAAAGATTGGCATGGTAAGGCAATTGGTAAATACTCAACAAACGTTGTAACTAAGAATTTGGGTTATGCATTTTGTACTTCCTTCCATATTAAAAATGATGAATGGATTTTGAATTCAGCGTGATCTTATCACATTTGTCACGTTAAAGAGTTCTTCAGTTCTTACACTCTGTCAACTGATACAATTTTTATAGCAAATGATAAGTCTTGCAAAAATTTTGGTATTGGATCTATGAAGATTCAAATGTCTGATGAGGTGGTCCATATCTTGATCAATGTTCGTCACATCCCTAGTATGTCACATAGAACTTGATCTCATTTGGAAAATTGGACTTGAAAGTATTCAAGTGGAGTATCGACAATAGATTTTTGATTATGATGTATGGTGCTCAAATTATCATGAGGAGCTCAATGCTGAAAAATCTATACATCTTAAAGCGGATAATTATCTTTAGAGTGTCACATGTTATATCTCAAGATTTGATTTTTCATTTGTGGCACAACTGACAACCGATTGATATTTACACCACTAATGATGGACCACAAGAATGTATTCCACCTGTTGTGGATTAAGAGCTGATTTGTTGTGACCCACATTTAGAACTAGCACAAACTCATCAAGAAGAATTTCATCAAGATGGCAATTACGGAATGCTGTTGTATGTCAAACTCCAACTAGATAAGTCATTTGGGTTGACTCTTCAATTATTGATGATATTGAAAGTGATGCTAAAGATCCATGTGACACTTTGATCACTGAATATGGAGATACATCTTCTTTATCCGAAGCTCCAGCTTTTAGTGAGAAGCAAGAATGCAACTATATAGAGAGATGAAGTCACTTCATGCAAACAACACTCGATAACTTGTTGAGTTGAGCCATGACAAAAGAGTGATAGATTGCAAGTGTATCTACAAGGAGAATGATGGAACCAAGAATACCAGAAAAAATCTTATGAAAAAATCTTCAAGTCTAAGTTGGTAGCCAAGGGATGCACTCGCATTAATTTAGTCACCAAACGCTCTTTAAGTTATACGCAGTCATACATGATCGCCTAAATTAGGCAGGATATGCCAAATTGCGATGTACCGTCATTGCAATTTGGTCAGATTAATTTTGGCAAATTTGGAGTCTAAAAATTACTACCAGCTACCAGATTCTACTATGTATGCTTTAGTGTCACAATGTCGGCTTGGATTTGAAGGTGATGAAAGGAAAAGACAATATTTTCCGTATATTTAGAATAGAAGCCCAAATTCCAATTTATAGTAGTGCTATCGTTAATAGTTGCCACCGACAATATATAATCGGCTTGTCAAACCTGAATATCCTTTGCATCCGATGACGTGATTTTTGATGGTTTACATCTTCTTGTCTGAGTTGTTCGGAGGTATAGAATCCCGTAAATTGTGTACCGTAATCTCTCTTCTTGCGCGTATATTGGATTCGTTCTTCCACAATTTAGAGTAAAATAGGGTAAAATCCAAGCATTAGCTATTAATAGTATAGAGAATTAGCATTAAAACTGTTTAACGGTTTCTAATAGAAGCTTCCAATACAGCCAATAGAAAATCGGCTTTCGTCAGTACATTTAGTCATCAAGTGAATGGAGTGGGCCAGTGTTTTCTTTTCTTACTTCCTTATTAATCTCTATATTAAGAGCCCAAGATTGGAAAAAGACTGTTTTCATAAAAAACACAAAAATTTATCGTTGTAATTCCGTTGTATTGGTTAACAAACTGCATATTGATTGAATCTCTATGACAGGGTGAGTTTTATTGCTGCCAAAGTTGAAGTCATTTTATACGATTATAAAGGACATCCCATGAGCTATTCGACTGAAATATCTCAGCCTCGAGCATATTGGAAGATCTAAATCTAAATAGTATCAGAACTGTAGTATGTCGTATGGGATGTAAAAATCAATCTAAGGAAATGGAATGAAAAATGAGAGAGATATATTCCAAAGAAAAGAAATGGAGGCGCATGGAATCTAAAGCATGATAGCATCTCTTCGACTCAGCTACAAAGCAAAAGCTAAAAGGGACCATAAAAGAACGATCTGAGCCAAAAGAAGAATTATTTAAAGTGATAAATAACTTTGATTCAAACCGGGACCAAGTGAAATGAGAGAGTGAATCAACATCATGATAAAGCCCTATGTCTCCCTATATTGTAGCCTAACATCAAATTGGTGATGCTATGTGGTCACTGACATCAGCTCGACAGCAAATCTCCGGTGAAGGATTGATTGCAGTCGGTTACAACTCAGGATTGTTGTAGATTGATGGAGATATTGAGATCCATTCTGAGGGCAGCCAGCGATGATTCCAGATCAAAACATCGCTGGTCACAATCGAATCACAAGACTGCAGAATGCACAACTGCTGCCCTCATGGTGCTCAGAAGCTTCTGCTATCTGGATGGATGGTGAGAGGCGTCGAAAGGATTTTCACCCTTGAATCAATTTGCGGAGCAGTCAGCCACAACGTGGTGACATGGACCCAACAATGGTTGCACCCAATGAGTGCAAGAGGTGTTGGGAGTTGAAATGAAAGCAAAGCAAAGCGAATCAACTGTTGTTCTCCTGTGCTCCAGACTCCCAGTCTCAATCTGGAATCAAATCTTCTCCATCCGATACCAATCTCCTCATGAACATGACACTTCTGCTAGAAAATGTTCCTTAAAGGTGGCCAAAGACCACTGCGGTGAGGTAGTGATCACTCTCGTAGGTCCAAAGGTTGAGTCCAATATGTCAGAGGATGGTCAATATCACCATCAAAGCAATTTCAGTAACTCTGAAAGTGAAAGATTTCTTCTCCCCATGCTTGACTATTATTCCAATGTCATACCAACCAAATCCGAGACTATCAGATTTTTCGCTTGAATTTCACCAAGTTTTGTGCTTCAGCTTTTAATGAAAGGGGATGGGGAGAGATTCGGGAGGTCAATTGGCTGTAATGACGATGATGGCTGCCATCCTCGCATCAAGCCCTCTCTGGGTCCTGGAATTCTGTGATACTGGGAACGGGTGAGTTCAGATTACTATGAAGGCAGGCAATAGTATCTCCATCAATCGTGGAAGGTTAGAATCGGCATGCTCAGCAGTTGGCGACGTGCAGAATCAACCTCCGGATCCTACTCTGCAGCTTGACATATCTGATGCTTCGGCACATCCCCATTTTGTTTTCTGGCGTTCTGAGCCATGGCAGACAGAACTGCCTCTGCAAGTTGACTAATTGATTGATGGTGAAATTCTACACAAATCTCAACTTGTCAGCATTTGACGCTCTGTATTGTCCCACTGTAACCGATTATACTTCCGGTAACTATAATTCCGGTTTATATGTTGTGCAAGTTGGTAATCTACCTCAATTAATTCTTCTGACCCCGAACGACGAAACTGAAGCGTAAGATTTGGAAACTCGAGACCCGTCGATTAGCAATTAGAGACGGCTACGAGAGTGGCCACGATCGCAACCGACGTCGATTTGGACGTGATTTTCTCTTTATCTATTGTTCAAAGCTTCAGGAGTGAAGTGAGAAATTTGATTGATGTGACCCCATCAGAATGCTGGTTGCTTGATGTGACCCAATAGGTTCCATTTTACCCAATGGGACCACTCTGAGGGTGACCCATCAATTATGTTCTTGTAATTGATTTGTTTCCAATTCAATGAAAAAATATTCTTTTTCCTCGAATTTAAATTAATAGGATTTTCCATGGCTCCAAATCTACATAGTGGAAGAGCCCAATTTCTTGAGTATAATGTATAGGCATAATCTACTTCCTCCTTACTTTTTTTTCTAAATCTCTTGGTCAAAATCATGTCAGTTGCATATTTTGGTCCGTGAAGAGCATTTCACTTTTCAACAATGAGCCTCAGTGTTTTTCCTAGCCCGGTTTGACAGCAATTACAAGAACTCGCAGTAGAACATCGGTGACGGTGGACTGAATTGCCGTCGGAAGTGTTCCATCAGGTAAAATGGAACTTATTGGGTCCCATCAAGCAATCAGGTAAAATGGAACTTATTGGGTCCCATCAAGCAAATTCTGATGGGATCCCATCAAACAAATTTCTGGGAGTGTAGTCAAGCCCAACAAGCATAACTGAAAGAGTTCTATACCCCAAACAAAAGCCGGGGCCTTCATTATATTGAATAAGATGGTGATCAAATTTCGTCACCAAGGTGCAAAGTAAAAGCCGAATCACGATAGAATAGATTCCACCCTGGGAAACAAGGGAGCTGATCTCTACGAAGTCTTCGACGAGGTCTATTACATGCATATGGTGTTTACTGATATAATCAGTAAAGAGGGAATGCCATGTTTAGAATACTGGACGCTGTAAGACAGCCACATGTGCACCTTCAGGATAGCCCCTGGTTACGCGAATATTTTCTTCCTTGTATGGCTTGATGGGGTCAACCCTTCTTTTCGGCTATCCACTTGGCCCCAACAGGAGGTCAGTAGAGCACGTTCTATATCAGGCGGTGCAGACTTTGTCCATGGGTTCTTTACATGTAAAATGGAGTTTTGAGTCTCGTAGACTACTCTATGACTGAGGTTCTTCGAGACGGAACTGCTAGCTGCAACTAAGACCCGCACCCGTATGAAGACAGCAATGAAATATGAGAGGGTGTATTTCGGTTCTAGGTTTTGGGTTCTTTCTTAAAAGTCTCACAGAATTTTATCATACATTGTAAGAATGTCCAGCTCGCTCAGGTGCGACGACCAAAGTTAAACTCCAAAGAACACGGGGACGGTTCTGGGCGTAAATTCCAGGGATAAAAGAGATGAGTAAGGGTGCAAACTCCACATCGCCTTCATCACACTGAAGGTACGAGGTTAGAGGTGGTCCCCATACCAGTAACAATGATTGGTTACTCGACTTGGGAATCTAAATAAGTACCTGTAGATTCATTCAGGGGTCTGCTGAATTTAAACGCGCTAATGGACAAGAACCTGTGACTGCATGTACCCTCCCTTCTCGTTCACGCAGTCCAAAAAGTAGCTAAACTTAATTTTCTCGCAGGCCAAGCTAAACTAGAACTGAATCGTTGACCACTATGATACTCGGCCACATCTACGGCACTTTGTGACAGCCACCTTGACTCGACTCGCCAGGTTATCGCCAAAGTGATTACTTACTCACAGTCCTGGAGGTTTAGGAGTTAGGTGTACGTGCGACGGAGACCGGTATGGGACATAATGCTTGAAGGTATCTGCCTCTTCGGAGGTTTATCCACTTCGTTTAGTTCGCCTAAATATATGTTGCGACTGGTAACAGGGTTCTACTTAGAAATAGCTTTCTGGACCTTTGGTGCAGGATAGCTCCTGTTGAAAGCCTGCCTTGTCTGGCTAGAAACACGTGAGGCGAGACAATCCTCTTGACAGGCTTCGTTTCCTGCGACAGAGGTGGATACTATTTGAACTGTTAACCTGTAGCCCGGCAGTTTACTCAGGTGATGAGTACACTCCCAGATTCTTCACACGCCCCCCAATTTCCAAATTTGCACAAACCCTGTCGTGTCCACTCGCATCGGTTGCTGCAAAAACTCCAGCTGTTGGTTCAATACAACTGGCACAACCCCCTTTGTCCTGCGTTTCTTCAGCCCCAAACTCTTGTAGTACATGTAAGTTGACAACCCCGACAGCCCAATGGGCAGGCTGGCCTAAATATATGGGTAACCACAACGTACCCGGCGCAGATCCAACTCTTTTTACGGGGCTCTCCTCAATGGACACCCAAGTTTACAACGACCTCCACAAATCACAGGTATCTAACACGAAGAGGAGGCGAGGGGCCGAGTCCTACCACCACATCGTCCCCTTACTATATATTGACGAATGAGTATACCCTTCACTCGCAGGGAAAGTGGAGTCACCATTCTTCTTTCGAACAACAAAGAAAACTAAGAAAAGGACCATCACTAATTTCTCCTGGCTCGTTAGAGAGGAGCGGGGGAGAACCAAGAGACTAAGAGGAGGCTTACGTTTGGATGCCGGGTACTAGGAGAAATCCTCGCAATCCAAAGTTGGCGCTTTCGTCTTGCTACGGATGTTGACATCACCCCATTTATCTCTGGGTGACGTCAACACCCTAAACCCTGAACCCACATTTACTGTCTTCTTGTTCTCTGAACATCCAAATTAAAAGCATCTCACCGCTACGAGATTGGCGCCGTCACCACTCAAGCAGTTCATTGGCGCATCCCTGTCTTCGACTGTCTTCTTCTATGGTAGCAATACTGTTCCCTGTTGGATATCCAGTAGTAAGGCCAGACTTTGCTTCCAATGTTTGCCCTGCCGAGTCCCCGAGAAGAAGAAGACAGCACCATTTGTAGAGATATCGAATGATATCGATGCATCGACCTAAAAAGAAGACAAAAGTGGCAAGAGACGGGCTCACATGACACAAGCAGGCGTGCAGAGGGGAAGGTTCAAGGGCCAGATTTTTATTACAGCAGCTCCAAAAATGCAAAGCCGTTCCACAGACTGTGAAGAACGATGGAGGCGAGCAAATTGCGCGACCGGACGAAGACGAATCCCATGACCAGGCCTAAAAACGTCAAGGGCAGAATCCGCTGCATGCTGAAATGGGCCAGGGCGAACGCCAAAGCACTGACAGATATGGCTCCCCACAGGGGGAGATAGCGCGTCATGGAAGGCAGCAGGAACCCCCGGAAAATCACCTCTTCCCAAACAGGAGCGCATACGGAAATCACGACGGCGTAGAGCAGAGTGGCCACGGGGTCTCTGGACATCATGGACTGCTCGACGTAAGACGTGGTCAAAGGGGTCGGGAGAGGAAGGAGGAAGAGGTTCAACTGTGAAAGTTTGTTGACCAGAGGAAAGAGCAGACAGCCCCAGCATGCCTCGACCAGCCATTTCCCTTTGAGGTTGATGGGGAACCATCCTTCGGGAAGTGGGAGGAACCGAGCTAGACACCGCTTCAAAATCCAAATGCCGACCGTGCCTTCGGCTATGTCGGTGATGAGGCTGTACAGGGCTTGACCACGGAACGAGAGTGTGTGTCTGCTGAAACCTGCAAGCTGAGCGGCAATCGGGATGATCCATGAACCCATGACCCAGAACGCGGCAAACCACAACACCATGACCTGCAAACCCGACATGTGGTCACATCAGGTCAGCAGACCATAACAGGAAAGATAGACTGGATGAGGGTCCTTCAATGATCCGATTTCATACAGAAAGAAGGGCAGACTTACCTGGAAGATAGTATGGCCTGTCCATGGTACGTTCCACAATGGTTCGTCTTTTTGCCACTTGAAGATGAAATCCATCCAATCCACCTAAAAGAGGACAGAATCATTCCCAATTACGAGAGCGGGTTGAGGCAGATTCTTCTGGTGACCCCGAACACACTTAGAACGTCCTGTACGCAAAATAAAGGTCTTGCTTATATATAGAAATAATTGGCACACTCACCTGCTTCACATACGCAAAGAACCTCTCGATTGGGGAAGTGCTCGCCCCCTTGCTTGCGATTTCATCCTCTTTAGGAGGAGATTCGCTCATATTATCCGAAGCTCCACTATCTGCGTGGCAAACATACGGGCTTCGTCTCTTCTGTCTAAGGGTGCGAAAGGGCAATAAACCCAAGGTGGGTGAACTCACTCCTGCAATACCCATGACCTCTGGATTCCGTTCCAAGAAAACATCTGCTCTGGCAGAAGATGTCCTGATATTGTACAAAGAAGCACGATTTCTATTCCTGATAAAATTGTTTGAAGTTCTTACGTTCTCTAGTCTGAAATTCACACGTTGGTCTAGATGAGATTTGGAATTTCTGGAAGCCCCTAATGGGAATCCAGAGCAAGAATTTACAGCAGTAGAGCACAGATGGCAGACCCAGTCTTCTGTCACCTTGTGACACAAACATTTCATTCGCTTCCGATGAAAATGGTGGTGGTTGCTGCTGCCTCTCGTATCCACCACTCTTGAGCTCCCGTCACGAGAAGTAAGAGATTTCGAGGTCTGGCTGTACAAGTTCCTCCGGCAACCTAAGGTCTGGCCTTTGCAAACAGCGCTAGACTTCGACTGTAAAATACATGATCTGAAATTGAACTCAGGAGAAGCCGAAAAGCGCACAGTGCTTCCCATATCACGTGATGAAACTCGTCGATTCAGGTTACTCCGATTCCTCAGACAATCCTTTCTCTCCAGCTTTACAGGAGCACAATGCACGTGCAAGAACCCATATGGATTTAGCCGCCCTGAGGCGAGAACATCCATTGCCGCTACTGGACTATTTCCTTCACAATCGATTCTTAACACCAAGCCGAATGGTTCGCAATCTGTACCTTTGGAGGACAAGTGCGGCAAAATTCACGAGTTCCCTTGGCGGTAATGTAAGACATTAACGTCGGCAGGGAGGTACACCAGAGACACACTTACAAACTGAGACAAACTGTTGCTTCGAAACAGAGCCAAACTCATACCAGATGACCTCACAGACCTCCAGAGCTGCTCGACTCCCTGGTTGCTGAATTCCCCTCCCAAAGTTTATAAATAAATGTAACTGGTGGTCCAGGAAAAAAAGGATGTCGTCGGAACTAACGAGCCGTCGGAAGAAAGCCTGGGTAGTTCTATTAACTACTCTTCGAAGGGTGAAACTAGCTTGGACGACAGCATAATTCTACCTTTGGGTTACAAAAGGAGTGCCTGTCGCAATAACCCTCACTTCCTTCACACTAATCTCCTTTCTGCTCCGCAATTTCCAATTCCAACGCATGTCTTCCATACAAAGTCAACCCCTACTCCACATTCTCTTTCAATATCTTTGGTACCCTCATGTAAGGTCCTTCACGATCCGGAAGTGAAGCAATCATTGTCTCCCTACGCAGGCAAAATTCAAAAAATGTTAATGTTGTTTCCAAAGCAGGGTAATCTAGACATTTAGTGCCACGCCGCAGAGCAAAATAAATCAGAGCGAAACGGATACTGTTGTCACTCACCTTTCTTCAAAAATGACAGGTGTGTCCGCGCGCAACGCGCTTTTCCCGTCCAAAGCACCTGCAACAACATCGAAAAGAAATTGAGAACTGCTGTGAATGGAAAACGGCGTGAATTCTACACGCCAATTGCACGATTTCGTCTGTTCCTTGCAGCACAAATGCTTCCGGCAGGTTCGTCGAAACATACTCGACTAAAACTAGAGGACGTTCCTATTCGACTTACCAACACGAATGGCTGGCTCGATGTTCTCTACGTCAACGTCCTGAAGCTGGGCAAACCTACAAACGCAAATTCTCTTTGTCAGTGAATCTCGACGACACTCCACAATGTGCTCTCGGATATTAAGAAGTTGCACTGACCAGCGGAGCATAATGCACCAAACATATCAGCCGACTTGGCACCTTGGGTACGGCTACTCTCTACCATTCAGCAGTTCAACGACCGGTGCTTACCAGTCCACAACCTTCGAAATTTGCGGAGAGAATTCCTCAATCTTCGATTCAAACGAGTTCCCGCGTTAGCTACGAAAAAATACTTTAAAAAGAAAATAAGTAGCTGATTCTTCAAAATTCACTCTCATATTTGACGAGCATTGAGACAACGTCAAGCAGAAACAGGAAGTCCCAGCATTTAAGTAAGCATTGTTTGGGTTCCGCGATGCAAAGGCATCGCGGAACCCAAACAATTCTGAAGTTTGCCTCCATGAAAATAATGTATGACAGATCCCATTCCCATCCAACTCTCAAACGCATTCGCACCAGCACTACTCTCCACGGCGTCCCCTGAACCCTAAACCCTTTCGGAACCCAAACTAAATGAAAAAACCACAGGCCGTGGCCACCTTCAGTTCATTCCAACCAAGCTGAACCCCCAAAGAAAATTCAAATTCAAACCCCCGCCGCGACAGAATCTCGCCCCACTCCAGCTCTCGAAGCAACGAAAAGCAAGCAAAAACTCCGGCGGGTGACGCTCATTCCGACCCAGACGCAGCAGTGGAATCACGACCGACCATCAAACCCAACGAACGAGCAAGCCAGAGAGAACTCACCTCCTTGGCCGAGAGGGAAATTCGAGCCTTGTCGCAGAGCTGGGCGAGGTTGGGAGGCTCGACCTGGCGTGTGGAGGAGGAGGAGGCGGAGGAGGCAGAGCATGGGCGGACGAACGGCGAGAGCGGGGGCAGGCGACGAGGCAGGAGGCGGGCGTGGGCGAGCAGCGCAGCGGACGAGGAAGAAGAAGCCATCATCGAGCAAAAGCCCAGAAGCAGCAGCAGCAGCAGCAGCAGCGGCAGCAACGAGAGGACGAGCAGGAGCAGCAGGAGGAGGAGCAGGAGGCGGAATCGGAGGTCGTGGAGCTGCGGCCGATGGGCCTCGTCGCCCTCGTCGTCCTCGTCCTCGTCCTCGAGCGAGCCGGCAAATCGGTTCTTGTCTTTCGTGGCGCGCTCATCTCTTCGTCGCTCGGCATCTCATCTCATCTTCATCTCATCTCATCTCATCTCCGAGCAAGCGGGCGACCGGGGGTTGGGGGACCGTAAGATTCTCCTCCTGGTTCAGAACCGTCGGTCCTCCGCCGAGCGAATCCCTCCCGCTGGCCTTTTACCCTCCGAGTTCTACCGCCTCATCTCCTCCAGTTCTCCAGTCCTCCCTCTGTCATCCTCCTCTCCCTCCTCCTCCGCCTCTCTGCAAAAGCAGCGCAATGAGGGTCCTGTAATTTTCGGGCCCCGCACTTTTCGGCCGCCCTCCTCGAAGTCGAATCGGTGTTCGCAGTCTGAAGCGGAATTTGGCTCGGTGGAGTTTTTTTTTTCTCGGCTGGGGGAGGGGAGTCGAAATCGAGCTGACAGCCACAGCTCTCTGGGACCATGGGGGTCGAGAAAGGATTTAAGAATGGGAGTGAGTGAATGGAATGACGAGCCTGTTTCGATCCTCGAGAGATCTTTGTTGGTGGAAAATGCGTTCGAAGCGTACTCCTCCTGCATGTGCTGCAGTGCACCTTGTGTACAGCAGTCTTTATTCTTACTCTATTTTATTTATGTACATTGCAATAGGCATGTGGAATTATTATTTTCATTAATTGGCTCAGAGTAGGCCTGAACTAGTGATGGCCGAAAAATTACCCTGTAACCTCAAGAATATAACGGTGGTGCCTAATGTTATCTGAGGCTGACCAATGTGACTCAGATGGAGACGAGCAAAGCGAGAGCCATGTATGTAATCTCGTCATTGAGAACTGAGTCTTGTGCAGCTTGAGAGACTCAGTTTTTCAAGGGTTTGTCTTTAAGATTATTTTCGTCTGCAGTGCACTCTTCGAAATAAATTTAAGAGGGAACTCTTTAGGAATGATGAAGGATACATTGGTAGCTACAAAAAATATATGTTAAGCCTAGGGATGTACTACATATGGAGGGAAAAGCCTGTCGAGTGGTACATGGAAGAAGCTCGACAGTATCATGGGGCTGGACCCAATTGCATTAGAGTGGAAAGTATATCTTACTCCACCTGATATTTTATATGTATAGGTAATATGGTTTGCAAATACAAGAAGCAACTATTTTGTTGACCATGTTGTTGAGAGGGCAATTATGTTGGTTGATTTTTTAGCATTATGAGCTTGAAAATAACGGCATCTAATTGGGTTATCCACTTATGTATGGAAGTAGGTTATGGTCTCTATAAAACAATGATCAAAATAAAGTGTATAATGAAGCTATCAATGATCATCCTAATTCTCTCTAACATTCTGTCACAAACATATGAACAAATTAGAAGTTGTGAAATACATGAACAATTTTTTTAATAAGGTATCCCTCGTTTCATAACAAACATGGTGCAATATGTTTGCTATAGGACGCGAGAGCTTATTTAATAAACACATTGCATCATGCATAGTCATCTTCTGCACATCAAATTGACAACTTATTATGTTAATCATCTGTTGCATATAAACTTAATATCACTCTCGCAGGAATTATTATTGCTTTGTTAAATAACTTTGAAAAGTCCGAAAATTTTTAAGATTTTGTCAAAGCTTTAGAAAATCGACAAATTTACTCATGGTTTTGTTAATGAAGTTTCTTCTTCTTTTCTGTTGGAAGGCAACTGAATTTGACTCTACGTGCCTTCTTTACTTTGACTCCATTACTTAGTGGCAAGCTCAATCCCCTAATGGCAGTGATAAAGATAAAATGAGCCACAAATCCGTGGGTTCCAACCGTAGTGAAAAAAGCCAGTATTATAGTCAAATAACACCATAGGTAAATCATTAACATAATGTATTGTATTTTTCACAAAGCTCTCATAATCAAAGTTTCATGTTCTGAATATTTCTTCAATTATTGGATACATGACGCTGCCTCTTATTATTGAATATCAGCTGGCGTTTACTAAATAATTATCCTGGTCAGCTTATGTAAGCAACGACAAAATCCTTGCGTACCCTACATTTTCGTTGCTCACCATTGTGATTTTCGGCAACTATATATTCTTCCAGCCAAGATTGATTTCGCGAAAATTGCTCGAAAGCCAGGAGACCGGCTCGTCCGAAAGCAGCAACCGGCCAGAAGAAGCCGGTGGACAAAACGAGGCCCGTCACCGGAACCATCATCCAGCGCGCCAGGCCAGCTCAGGCTGCCGCTGCTGCGCCAACCTGAAGAGCCCAGAGCCACTGCCAGCCTCCACCAGCGCAGGCACAGCTGTTTACAGTCACCGGTACAAGAACAATGACTGCACCCCCTGCACTGTCCAAAGTCAAGTACCATGTACGGAAGGAGCTGTTCTGTACTGCGCAATCGACTCTACTGCAGTTCCCGGTACCCGACGGTGTCCGAGAGAGCAGACGCCGTCCGCCGTCCGCCGTCCGGACTCGGCGCCCGACTTTGTCCGGTCCTCGACTGTACGTCATCCGATTTCCAGATCGCGGTTCGTTCGTCTTCGGGATGCGCACGCCTTCGGCCGCCGTAAGCGTTTCGTTTGAGAAAGCTACGTGACGGAAAAGCGGTAGCATAGAGGATACGGTACTCGAGGCGAGAAAGAAAGGGCTCGGGAAGAGAAGGGAAGGAAGCGAATTAAAATAAATATAACAAAAATAAATCACGGAAGCGGAACAAAGGTGGGAGGGATGGAAGCGAAATAATATACTAATAAATAATAAATCCAGGAAGCGGAACAAAGGGTAGGGGATGGAAGAGATATAAAATAATAATAATTAATCTTGGAAATGGGTTCACGTGCCTACGCAAACGATGGCGAAGGCGATTTCGGAGGGATTTGACTCTTTCAAAGGTCGAGCTCTGTTGGAAGTTATATCCGGACCACGAAGGCGTCTAAAGCGTACCCCGCACGAAGTCCAAAAAGTAAATCATTGCGCGAGGAAGAGTATATATCTTCCTCCTCCGCCATATCGGACATTGAATCATAATACTCTAGACGACATTCCTCGGTGGGACACTAGTTCGAGCGAGTGGCGGATAATTGAATAACTTAAAATCTTGATATCCTCAAAAGTGATAACTTTGCTCGAAAGGAAACAAATCCCTTTCGAGGCGACGCGCTCTGCTGAGGTGGACGTCGGTCGCCATGGAGCGTGACTTTCTGCAGTTTGAGCTGGTTTTATTAAAAATGTAGGAAATTTTTTTACCTCTTGGGATTCACCACCAAGTGTGTCGAAGGAGAAAACGAAAAGCTTTCTTTTCCCTTCGGTGTAAAGCCATGGAAAGTCACTCGTAAAGCTTTCTACATGTTGATGAATAATCACGATGTGTCATATCGAAGCAAGGCCATTAGCCTTCAACTCCTTTGGATCTTCAGTAAGAGCCATATTATTGTTGGTTTATGTTTGCTTGCTTACTTCTAACTCCTCGGATATCTTTGAATTCTCATCAAGTTGCTGTTGACAATTACTAGGGATGAAATCTCCATTCCGACGAGGAAGCAAGTGGGATTTCCCATGATTTCATTCACATTTAAGCGCTACTTTTTTCTCACACAATATTTCCAAAATTAGATTGTGCAAGAGGTGTTGCAAAAATATTCCTATTCTTATTCTAACATACTATTATTTCACACACACTTTTTCAACATACCACCTTTAATCAGGTGTTTGTTCTTGATATTAAAAGCATGTCACTTTTGTGTACGTTTGGAATCTTAAGAGGGAAGATACGTAATATACCTTCACTTACGGTTGGAACTGAAAAATAATGCTAATTTGATGAAGGACAGTCAGTTCTCTCGCGGCGTAAACTACTTCGAGGGGCAGTGAATTGGCATATATGGGGATCCACATCGTATCTTACGTCTGAGTCGGCAAATTTCACAGCAATGAACCCTTCGGTGCCTCGGAGAAGTGGCCGTGGCGACCAGAGTCCAATCTTCTGCCCGGGGGGGATTTCAAGCTCATCCCTGCTGTCACCGAAATATGAAAGAATTTACACCACGTGTGATTTGTGTTAGGACACATGGACTCCATGTGTACGTAGTGAAAATTAAGGTATGAAATTTGGATAATAAAAAATGATCATGATAATTGTAATGTCGAATTAGGATTATATTACACATGTTGCATACGTCCATGCTACAGGTTTTTCATCGTAGATAGTTATATTCATATTCACTTGAACAACCAGCTTATCGTACTAATATTTATGTCTAGTTTTAGTATGTTGAATAAAATTTGAACCAGCGCATGAAAGTTGAACTTGCTCTTGACTCAAATCACTTATAGAATGGTTTTACTTCCATTTTCTATTACACTGAAAACAATTCATTATTCAGGAAACCAAAATAATTGTGATTGGATTTGACAGATGCATACAATATTAAGAGAACTTGATTATTATTTACGTTATGTTTCCTCCATTTAGTTAATAATATCATTTCAACAAATCAAGATGTTGACTTTGTACTTCAGAACTGTTCCTAAGATTGAAGAACATACAGGCAACAAAATTTCGTCAAAGTCCATTCAGTTCGAGAATTTTCATAGCTATAATGAACATGTATGAAAAGTTATCAAATTCACTTGTTCAACACGTTGCACAATATATAATTCTTCCTTAAATTTCACATGTAAATTTGAATCTTTACTAATTCACAAATTAAAAATGCGAATTAACAAACAAATCTCACTGACCTTACTGTTTCGATTACACAGCAAACAATATTTGTTTTTTTTTTAACGTACTTTAAGTTTGTACTAATCAAGATACTGAAATACAGCCCATTCAGTATACCAATGATTAACATTAAATTTCAACCGTTTCTATAAGCTTACTGGTAAAATGTTTATTGATTCATGTTAATTTTTCCATAAATGTGTGTATCAAGCATAGAAATGTTGTATATTTCATATTTCCTTGCATCACTTTGTAAGCTAAATATGAGTCATTGAACAAGAAATAAAGTTATGATCATAGTGGGATGAATAATTATCGAGTGTGTAGACTTTGCTAATGATATATTTCTCTTAACTTATAAATACAAACTAAGACTCAAAAAAGTACAAGTAGAAACAATGATCGTATCCAATGCAACATAGTGTAAGTTTTATATTTATAAATCAAAGGTTTTCTCTCTATGGGACATTAGGAAGAACATGGTTGATTTTTACTATGTCTTTTTTCTTCAAAACTAGGTTGATATTTTTTTTGAAAAATATAAAACATGTGCTTAATGTTGATAAAGAACTTTTTATTATTTTTTTAAAGAAAAATAGAAAATTTTAGCATATTTACACACTATCAATATTACTATACCAAAATTGTTGCAAATCTTGTGATAGAGACATATCTGCAGAAAAAATAGAATTTAATTTACATACAATATATTGGTATGTTATAATTATTTATATATACGTATATTTATAAATGTATTATAAAAGAAGGGGAGTGCTGGTTATCTCTCACTTAGGGCTAATTAGCCTCACTCTACTCCAGACTCTTTTCTCATAGGTAGATGCAGGGTTACAGGTTGCTCGGATGAGTAACAATCAAGGTAGGGTGTACAACCAATCGGAGAATCGCGTATACGAGGGTAAAGGCTAATTATCCCTAAGTGAATGATAACTAGCCCTCCCCTAAAAGAATTATCATGTAACAATCCTAGGGAAAATCAGCAGATAAAACTAATGAATTGGATAAAAGTATTGTTGAATTTGAATATGATTTTTGCAAATCCAAAAAATCTGCTTGTACATCAAGAGGCCAAAGTGCTTTTTGAATCTAAATATACTGTAATCTGAGTTTTAATTTGATATATTGAGAAATTATTCAAATCAAACTTAAAGGAGTAGTCAACTTACTTTAATTTGATATCCATACACAAGGGATGCTTTTCTTGTGATATATGAAGATGAAAAAAAATTGTTATATATTTCAATGGCAGCCATCTTCATCACCTAGGTAACATATACATTAATTTTCAATTTCACGTAATTCAAATCTTTGGTTATTCAACATTTAAATGATATGAAACTGTAACTTCCAACTTTGACATTTGTGTGGAAATTCTTTAACGCTTATTATACCAACTTCCCCAATTGAGTAATGTAATCTCGCTGTATGACTTTATTGCTGGAGAAAGCACTAATCAGGGATGTAGAGTATAGTAATATCTACCTACAATGTTTTTACATCTCATTGTTGCCAGAGGTTTTGCCTAGATGCTTGAGCTAGAAAAGTCACAGTAGAAAATGTTTTGTATAATGATCTACCCGGGACCAGACTCAATTGGGCTCATTACCTTTAACGCTCGAGGGGATCCTCCCATCGTCATTGTTATATTTCACGGATCCCCATCTTCACACAGTTTAGGGAGTAGAGTAGTATCTCGATAAACTAGTATTAAACGTCGAACGAAATGTGGCGACGAAGTTTTCTCCAAACTCGAAAGTCAATTTTCGAGCGTACAATTCATTTATTTATTGATATTTGTCATAACCCCACAAGGTTTCTGTTGGAGGAGCTTTGCCCATCGCCCGACGCAACCGGTGGCAGGGTGCCGGTCAGCGGACCGAATCACCGGCGACAGCTAGGAAGGTGGGGGGAGGGGGCTAGGAGGATGATCGGCAAAAAGAGCCTACCTATCCGAAGTCCAAATATAGGTCCACGGGAGATCTGATAACCCGGCGGAGGGTACAGAGCGGCCCGGTCCCTCCGTCGGGCTCTGGTCGTCCGTCTGTCGGTCTCGCAAGTTTTGAGAGCACGATACGATTGCCCGGAAGTCACAGCGACCAACACGTAGGCACCCGACAGAGGGCTTGCGAGCCTCGTCACTATGGCGGAGGACCGAGAAGGCTCCAGCGAGGACGTTTGCGTCGCGTCATCCGCAGGAGGACAACGATGGCGCAATCGCGACACTTCTGGGCCCGGAGGAGCCAGCCGGCCGGCCAGCCAGAAGAAGTACCGGGAGCGGGCTCGGACGCTCGCGGCAGCGTGATCCCGAACTTTATCTCGGAGCTTCCCGATACGTATAGGTCAGGCGGTCGGTTGAGAGCCATCTCGGTTACTTCGACCTAGCACTTGCTACAGCAGAACCTGGCAGCACCGAGATCTTTGTTGCCAGTCCCAGCAGTCCCGATCCGTACCTCGGCGCTATGACCGGTTTATCCGTCGGTCCCCGAGGAGCAGGTGGCCGGTCAGTGTGACCGCCGGCGAATCGGATACGAGGAGGAGTGCATAAAAAGGCCCGTCAATGTCTACGCCCCGCGTGGCTCGCGACGGGCCCCCGCGAGCATGACTTCCTCCATCCCGACGGACTCCACGTACGCTGGGCGTGACGGACACCCGATAAGCATCCGCGATTCCGAGCGACGCGACAGACGATGCGACAGCCGGTCGTTCACTCGCTCACTCTTCGAACCCGAGCGGACGCCCTCCGCGTTGCATGGGGCCCGGCCGGGCTGGGCCGGTGGCCGGGGCCGGGGCGGGAGGGGGAGAAGGAAGCAGCGGCGGAAGAAGCAGCAGCGGGTGATGTGGCAGTCGGATGGGCCGAAGCGAGGGTGACGAGGATGTCTCTGATGAGACGGGACGGGGAGGGGGGAGGGGGGGGTGCCGGGGGGGGGGGGGCGCTGTTTCGTCGGAGTGTAAGCGGAGCCGAGCCCGGCCAGCCTGACTGACCGACCGACCGATCGACCGGGGGCCAGCCGGTCGTCGCTTCGGATCGGGAAAGACGACTACGACTGCCGAGTCCTGTTCATGATCCGAGAGGCGCGCGGGCGGGGACGGGAACGGGCACGGGAGGGGACGAACCGCGCAAGTCGCAGACGCCCCGACGAAAAAGTTCCGGCAGCTGGAGCAGGAAAAGCGCGCGCTCGACGCCGAGGACTGTAATAGATCTGCCCCCGAAGGAAGGAAGAAAGAAAGAAAGAAGAAGAAGCTCCGAAAGTGGCTCTCCTCTTTCTGGCAGGGGGCGGGCGGGCGGGCGGGCGGGGAAGCGGCATCGCGGACCCGGGCCGCGAACGGAACTGGTGCTTGTGTTGGCAGGTACAGACGATACGCTCTCTGCCGAGAAGGAGGAGGGAGGAGGGGGCAATAGGGGGGGTGGGGGAGAGAGGGGGAAGAGAGACTGTTGCCGCACAAATCGCTGGGGGGGGGGGGGCATTTCGGAGATGAGAGCAGGGCCTGAGACCGCGCCGGATGCTGCTCGCTTGCTCGCTGGAAGCTTGCTTGATGAGAGGGGAGGCCGAGGAAGGGGCAGCTCCGGCTGTCGAGAGGGGTTGGCGCCGGATGCAGGAGTGGATTGAGTAGCGCGAGGAGTGCCCGGGAGGTTTGAGTGGCGTGGATGGGGACGAGGCCCCGAAGCTAATTTTGGACAGGGGAAGGGAGAGGAAGGGGGAGGGGGTTGAGAGTTCCACGGAGGGGGAGAGAGCGAGAGAAGTTCATCGTCAGACTTGACAGGAAGCGAGCGTTCGGCTCTCCTCTTCTGCTGCTTCCTGCGTACCTGGACCATTATCGAGCCTCGGATGTTCTAGGCGGGTACAGACCGCAGGGAGGCAAATGTCATCCTGGAGATCTGCAATTCGGCTTGTTGATCTGGATTGACTTCTCGGTAAGATGTCTCGGCCGCCATTTTGCTGACGCACTTCGCCCTCTGTGCCCGACGACGCCCCCGACCGCAGGTCGAAGAATCATCCCCGCCCGACGGCTGCTCGCGGCCTACGGCTGAGTTGTGAGTTTCTGGAGCTCAATTCCAGCTCCGGATTTCCCGTGTATATGCGTCCGTCGTGTTGTTCTCGCAGATTGGCTTGAATTGCAGGAATTTCAGACCTAAATCATGTCTTTCCGAAAGCCCGCGGTTGAATTCCCCCGTCTAGGATTGGGTCCTGGTGTTCTTGTTCCGGGAGGTCATCGACCCGCAGTCGATTCCGTGTGCGGTCTGGTCTGAGATTGAATGCACAATCCTGAATGGGTACGAGATCGGTTTCGGACTGTCAGCCGCAGAGGGCGCTCTCGTCTCGGACTGCATACGGAATAGAGATGGAGCTGGCATGGGTCAGGGATTCAGTCTGAGTCACGCCGGGTAGACTGAATTGGACGGATCTCCCGAAGAGGTCGATGGGAGCTTAAGTACATAGATTCGAATGCCACAGTTTTCAGACGACCACGAGCAGATACCTTCACAGGCAGCTTCCATGGAATGGCCGTACCACCAGAGACTGCAGGGAGATGGTAGGGTGTTGACTTGCCTGATACCGAAACTACTTCATGCACCCCATGACTCTGTCCCACGCTTTGGTCTCCTGGTACTGAGCTATGGTGGCAGATCGGTGAATGATCAAGGGCCCGGTAGCTGCATAGAGGCCAGTGTCCAATCTCTCCACGGACCTCCCAAGCTGGCGGTGGTACAAGATGGTTCCAGGGCTGCAGGGAGTAATACTTAGGGAGCTGAACACAGGTCGCTAGATTGCTCGGGCTCGAGTATGCATGCAGTGTCGAAGGGCTTTCAACTGGTGCCGCAGTGAAGTGAGGTCCTCTTGTGAAATGCATGAGCTCTTTTCCTACTCACGAGGCAACGCGAAGAACAGGCTTTGTACTTAGCTCGAGCCGAGGGCCGATGATTATCTGAGAAGGTTTCATTCTGCTTCCGTAGAGCCGTCCAGTGACCAAGAGGTTTCCCCTCTGCAGGTTGTTAGCTTGAAACACCCGCCATCGTCATGGACCAAGTGTGTCACCCTTTGCAGTGACACATGAGTTTGCCCCCCTTAGAGATCCAAATTACACGTTGACTCCGATGAACCCAAACCATATTCGGAATGGAGTGGATCTTGCTTCCGTGGCCGTGGCAAAGTCTTCACAGAATATGATTCAACCTCTGTTTCAGCCCTCCACGTCTGAGGTTGAATCAGAATCATGCATCCGACAGCTAATTTTTCTAGTGTGGGGTCGGCCCACAATGTTAAGGCTCCGAGTCTGAAGTGAATCAGAGTCGTGTCCGAGAAGGTGTACTTTTTTGTTTGGACTCCGAGTCTGAAATGATTCAGAGTCACGTCTGACGGTGTGTGTTTTGTGTTCAGGAATCTGGGTTATGCGGCCGGTTCCGGCGCGTGGGAACGAGGTGTAATGGGGATTATGAACTTCCTGGACAAAGGGCACCACATTAAAAGTGGGAGTGACACCGTAGGGAGAGTGTAATGTGGCTATGGTGGAACTTTCATCAAGTTGGCCAAGCGCTGTGCTTGGAAACATGTATAACGAAATGGACAAGATCAATGGAGACAGGTGGAGCTCTACTGAACCCAGGGAGAATTATGCGTATCCTCACGGCCAGAGCATGGCTGGCTTAGAGAGCAGGGTGGAGAAACAACCTAGTAGAGTAGAAGGTTATGGTGGTGGCACGTTTCTGTTTCGAAGGGGCCAAAGCGTTGCTCAAGATCCATGGCTGCGGCGGAGCACGAGTGATAAGCAGATTGTGAGAAATATCATTCAAGGGGCTGATCAGGGGTCAATGGAACGTCCCAGCACCGCCGAGAGCTCGCGAGACAAGGCTGGTTCTACGACTGATACTCAGAGGGCGCACTCAGAGCGATTGGGAATGGTCGGTGCTGTCGACAAGACGGATATAACCGTGGAGAATGAAGATAGCGATGCCATGGAGTCGCTTGCAAGCCAAAATCGAGCTTCTGTCCTGTCACATTGGCATTTTGCCGGTCTGCCTACAGCTTCGACTGCCAAGAGAAGTATGACAATAGGTGAAGTTGAACTTTTGCAATCAATCGGCCAAGGAGTTATATGCACGGATCTTCAAGGGAATATAACAAACTGGTCAGTTTGTCTCCAATCCTTCTCCCTTCTTCTTTAGTTTGCTTCACTCACGCCTTCGCACTTGTGCAAATGTCTCAACACTAACCTCCACCACATATCTACATGCAGCACTGGATGATCATGGTTTCAATTCTGCACCTTTCTCTCTTAGGCCTTGTAATTCTTTAGAGTAGCCCGGGGCAGCAAACGTGGAAGCAGCGCGTCTGACTGAAATCTCATAAGGTGGGGATTGTACTGAGTTTTTTCCTTCCGTGACTTGGACCGGAGGCTAAGAGAGCGAGTCTTGTCCCGTGCAAAGTCTGCTCACCAGGGATGTTGGATGGCTGACTCGGCATCGAGAGTAGTCCTTTCCAACTGCTGGTGAGAGGCACTCGCAGGAGAGCAGACCCTGGACGAGCACGGAGCTTTAAGGCCCAAAGGAGTCCGTGTAAGCTAAACAGCGAGTAGAGGACAACACTAGATTTGTCGGAGAGTTATGAACTGTTTTTTCTCGGTGATGCAGGAATCGGGCAGCTGAAAATATGTACCAATGGAAGAACGAAGAGGTTCGTGGTCGCAACGTTGTGAAGCTGTTGACTCCAAAGAATATGAATAAGGAGTCTCCCGAGATCATAGGTAGATCGAGCAACGGGGAATCCTGGTCTGGACCGTATCCATCGGTTCGGAAGGATGGGGAAATCATCAACACTGTTGTCACGGACACTCCGATCGTGGATAAGAACAATAAAATAATTGGCATAGTCGGAGTGTCGTACGATGTCGGTCCATTGTCAAATAAGAAAATTCCTATCAGGCGTAGCTACTCTGACGAGGGAGTCTTCAACCTTTTGGAGGCCGAAGTAACCCCAGCGAGTAGTTCGGCCGAAAGTCATAACATGCTGGGCTGGAGGAGGGTTCATTTGGATGATAACAAGGCAAATGACTCCCCACCTGCAGCTGATAATGACTCAAGTAGTGTCGGTAAGAATCTTCTGGTAAGCTTCTGAACGACGTGTATGAATAAGGAGATGTATGCAGTCATTATTTCCTCCGAGTTTGCTGCTGGAACGAGACCTTCCCTTTCCATCTGTGTCCGAGTAATTCAGTCTTCTCCTACATGAAGTTTTAATCAGATTGGTGTTCGGATGGAGGGTGATTAGATGGGTGGGAATTATTGTGCAGAGGATTGGACGGTCGTCTGTGCAGCAGCTAGTACGGAAACTGCAAATCCGAACACCGAAAAAACAGGAGGAAGCGACCGGGCAGCAGAGAGGTGACAGGCAGAGGCTCAGGGAAGAGCATGACTGTGATGAGAACCAGAGATCCTCTAACAGAATACCCTCTCCTGGAAGGACTATCGAATATTCCCAGGTGTCAAATGTATACGTACCCAATGAGGGCTCGGAGTCTGATTATGGAGATCTAGACGGGTCGTCCATACCGCTCGTCGTCCCGGCCAAACAGCCCACGAGAGGAGCCGATGGACCTTCGGATGGCGCAGGAATCTCGCAGAAGGAGGTCATAAAAGAGGTCATTGTTAACTCCACCAACGCCGGGGCCTTTAACAATGCACTCTCCAGATCTTCGAGCGGAAGCGCTCAAGGTCACGATGCCTCCACCGTCGGGAGTCCGGTCGAGCGCAACTTCTACGACAACGCGTGGGGCGGGAGCAATACGGGAGCTGGAATCAACTTCCAACAAGCTGAGGAAGACTTCCAGCTTCAGTTGGCATTAGCTCTGCGAGTTGCCGCCGAGGCTGCAGCCGTCGACGACCCTGATCTGTCTGCCAACGTCAGAGGGCCCAAGGGAAGTACGAAGTTGATGCCGGGTGTCTCGAAGACCGAAGCTACCGCTTATCGATATTGGGTACGCCACTTCCTCCCTTCATGTCTCGTTTAATCACTTTGAAGGAGTCCCAACGGATGATTATATTCGAAATCCAAATTCCCAGGCTAGTTTTCTAATGGTTGCATTTACATGTCCTCTTCTTCTTTACTATTTTTTACAAGTGTCTCTACTCTAATGGTCATGTGCCTGCTCTCTTTCTGCATTCTTTTCTCGCATGCAGCTTGTTCTTTATGCATTTACACACTACATACATTTTTAACACTTTTTACATTTGCTTTCTACATTCGTCGTTGTATGTCAGATCATTCAGTACATTGCTATGTTATGGCTTGGTTTGGCTTCAGATTTGCCATGTTTTCTTCGTCAATGCTGTCTCTCGCATTAGGACTCGTTATCATGCCATGCCATGCACTGCTATGTATGTTGGTGACCCTGCGCTTGTACCTTGGGTTTGTGCCTAACGGTGTTTTTCATGCTAAGCCCCTGAGGTTGGTCATGCTCTACTTAATTAATTCAAAATTTGTTACGCCAAAAGCCGGGACTCTTTTTATTCGCGATTTGTGATGTTTATCTGAATTTATTTTTATTTGTTTTACTAAACACTGACACATCACAAATAAAATCTTTCATTCTATGGCTAGCAGTTGCCAGCTTTCTGAGTACTTTCAACCTTGGACATTTTTGAAGTTTCGAGGGTTTCTTCTTATTGTTTGAAATATCACGGTTTCAGGTGAGTAATTGTTTGAGCTACGACGACCGTATAGAGGATGGATTTTACGAAGTTTGGGGCATGAGTCCGTATGTGTGGAGCATGTGTACCGACTCAAACGAGCTTGGGCGAATGCCACCGTTGGAGAATCTACGATCAGTCCATCCCTCCGATGCAACGTTTGAAGTAGTCCTTGTCGATAGAAATATGGACCCCAGTTTGCGTGAGCTTGAGGACAAGGCAGTAGGCCTTGCATACGACTCGACGGAGGTTCTGGACATGGCCAGCAAATTGAGCATCATGGTTGCGAACGTCATGGGTGGTCCGTCAGAATCAGACGGGAATTTGATGGAACTCTGGCAGACTACCAGCAGCAAGTTAATGCAGCTTCTGGGCACGATTGTTCTCCCCATCGGACTTTTGAGAGTCGGATTATCTCGCCACCGAGCCCTTTTATTCAAGGTACATGCTGACCTATACCCGGAAAATGCAAGCGTTGTGCTCTTACAGGCATTGTGTCCACCATTCTTGCTAGGATCAAAGAAACAGACGATTGCATGCTAAGCTGGGAAAACGTGGTTTTTGAAGGTCATGGCAGACAGTGTTGGTCTACCTTGTCGTCTGGTTCGTGGAAGCGCTTATTGTGGCAAAGTGGATGACGCTTCAGTGGTTGTCAAGTGCGGGGATGATAGGTAAGCATATTTTTTTCCTGGTTTTCAAATGATGCAATTTACAATAATGCTACGACACATCGTGCTGCTCCATATGTTCTTCCCGTTAAGCAATACCAGTTAAGCATGGTTCCGACATGACTGCAGGGAGTGGATGGTGGATCTTCTCATCAAACCTGGCAGTATAATGATGCCGGACGCAAGACTTGCTGCTCCTCCCGCTGTCATAGCATCCCCGCTGCAATTCGAGCGGCCCAGCCCTTTCGCTGGGAGTAGCGTGACCGTCTTGGATTGGGCCAGATACGAGCCAGGCAGGAGAGACGTCCCACTCAGAACCACGAAACCGAATAGAATCAGGGGCGGAGCAGAAGAGGGACGAAAAAGCATGTCTGCTGAAGCTGCAGGTGGAGCTGAGAATCAGCATCTGGTTGTCACTCAAGGTTTGGAGTTTTCTGACAGCTCTGCGAGAGGATCTAGAGGCAATGCCGGAGGATCCAACGAGTCTGCACCGAAAGACAGACCTGGTCTCGTGAGTTTGCTCGGAAACGGAGCTGGTTTTGCATCAGAACAACCAGTGCGACCTCGAGCCGGTGCCAAAGCTAGTTTCTTGACAGAAGACATAACGAGGCCACCAGCTGTGATTGACAACTCACCGAAGAAGAATTCACATGAACTAAAAAATCCTGGAACAAAAGTACCGTCGCAGGAAATGTTCGCTATGTATGAAATCAAACCGTATGAACAGAGGGCTTGGGCAAAGGAAGAAAGGCGTGTCACCGGATCAGATGAGTACAGTAGATCTGAAGGAGCAGGGAGGATGCTAGATCAGATTGCATCTGAAGCAAGTGACTTTGAAATTGCCTGGGATGATGTTGTTATCGGCGAGCGGATAGGTCAAGGTGAGTCTCATAGTTCAGACTCATGCAATTACCACACGGCATATAATCATTCTTTTATCAGATTTAGCGTGAATAGGATCAGAAATGGTGGGATGATGTGCTTTGAATTCTATCGATACCTTTGTATGTGTCCCTAATCTTCATGCTCGCCCGTACTAGTAACTCGCCTTTAGCCATCAAATCTGGGTCAAAGAAGTGAATGCGCAGTAAACGTAGCTCGATGGGGTCGGTCTCTAACGATATTTCGGTGGTTTGCAGGTTCATATGGAAAGGTGTACCGTGCAGATTGGCAGGGATCTGTAAGTATCTCAATCCTTCCGTAGATGTGGGTGATTGTTCTGGTTCGGTGCTGGGCCCGAAGTATAAGAATATGATGCGCATGTCATATCATAATTCCTTGTGTGGCCTTTAGATTTACTCCATTCTGACTATGAAAGATTTGGAGCCAATGACGTTTCACAGTTCTGAAATTATATAATGCCTTCAATTTAAACTTACCGTTTTATGGCTCTCTCTTCGATGTGCAGGACGTCGCCGTGAAAGTATTTCTAGATCAGGACTTGAAGACAGAGGCACTTGAAGAGTTCAAGAGTGAGGTATGCTATTGAATACCTGGCTTGGCTCCTGAGAGATGTATCATCGGACCTGAAGCTGTTGAATCCTGTACTGACCATTGAGTAGCTGCTTAATTTGATTTTTGATCTGCGAATTTCTCATCAAGCTTTTGGCAGCTACTTAAGTGTTAGAAGCTTTTATTGATTATCTGATGTTGACGTTGATGAAGGTGGCCATTATGCGTCGGTTGCGGCATCCCAATATTGTCTTATTTATGGGTGCTGTGACGAAGCCTCCAAATCTCTCTATAATTACTGAGTTTTGTCCAAGGTATGTCAATTCGTTGCTTCTATCGGTTTTAGTGTCAACTTTGATTTCCTGATTCTCCATAGCTGAGACACTGCAAGCTCTTCTTTGCGGCCTCTCAAACTTCAACTCGTGGCTGACACTTTTCCTCGTCTTCTCGAAGAGGGAGTCTTTATCGATTGCTCCACAGACCAAATCGAGAGCTGGATGAGCGTAAGAGGATACGTATGGCAGTCGATGTGGTAAGTACTATTGAAGAGTTGGATGAGGATGAATTGTCGTCTCACGGTTTAGCTTTGTGCCCAGAGGAGATGGACGGACGCTGTCGGTCTTTTTAAAGGAACTCCCTCGATGATGATTGAATTCCTTACATCTCACTCGTGAATTCTCGTGAATTTCTTACTCGTGAATCTATCACATTGCATGTAAAATGTCACTAACGATCGGATCTGGCCGGCTGTCAGGTCAAGGGCATGAACTATCTTCATCGGTGTTCACCTCCTGTTGTACATAGGGATCTGAAATCCCCCAATCTACTGGTAGACAAGAATTGGACTGTGAAGGTTCGTTCCTGCTCAAAACGTTGACGATTTGTTGCCTTTCAGTGAATGAACGGATCTTGTTTAGGATTCTGTCAGCTTTGATGTGCTCGTGAGAGAAAACTCCTTGTCAAATTAAATCACACGATGAAGTAAGTCAGTTATTCGATCTACCCCTTTAGAGAGGTTTTAGGATCCGCTCTTGAGAGAATCTTCTCCCTAACTTGTGTTCATGTATTCGAATGCAGGTCGCTGACTTTGGCTTATCTCGCCAAAAGCATAGCACATTTCTCTCATCCAAGTCCAGCGCGGGAACTGTGAGGCTCCTGACCTTGCCCTTTCATTCTGAGTTCTGTCGGCGTTCATCTTCTGGTCTCTTGTTAGATATCGCATTGCGTAGTGCACCCTAGACTTGCAATCTTGTGTTCAGATATTGAATGTTGTGAACCCACCATCATGCCATAGATTAGACAGGTCTGAGGTGCATACGTCCATGACCCTATCGTGCCTCCTGCCTTCGATCTTCTCTCGTAAATTCTTTCATCGGAGCTGTCATAAGATATTTGACTCGGAGATGAGGACAAGCCGTCCTCCCAGAGAATCGTACAAATTGATTGACGCGTTGGAATTTTGCAATGCAGCCGGAGTGGATGGCTCCAGAGGTTTTGCGAAATGAACCCTCTGACGAAAAGTGAGCAGTCCTGAAACCGTGGCTCTTTGTGTTGTAATGTAGTTAGCTTGCATTGGAAGCTGGACACCAAGCATGAATCGCAATTCGGCTCTCATTTTGTTGAAACGCACATGCAAAATTTTGTAGCTAGTGTAGAAATCTCGTATCTTCCAGTTTCCTGTAGAAAGGACAGCGGACTGAGAATTTCGCTCGTGCTTCTCTCAGATCCGACGTGTACAGCTTCGGCGTTATTTTATGGGAGCTTGCTACGCTTCAAGTGCCTTGGAATGGGATGAATCCTATACAGGTACGATTTTCTAATCAGTGTCGGTAAACGGGAGAACGATTTGAGTGTGTCAGTTTCTTTCACTTGAAAGTGATTCGTGAGGAAATCACGGATTCTTGATCTATTGAGAAAGGAGATGTGTTTCAAAGGATGTCCTTATAAATCAATGTGGGTGTGATTTGGCTCTTGCTCTCCACTCCGTGGACTCCGGGATTCATCGATACTGAGAATGGATGGCGACGCTTTCGGTGTCTTGCAGGTTGTGGGGGCTGTGGGATTCCAGCACCGACGCTTGCCTACAGATACGATTGATCCGTCTCTTGCAGCAATTATTCAAGCCTGCTGGCGCACGTAAGTAATATATGTCTGGTAGTCTTTTTGTCTGTCTGTCGTTTGTTGTCGATGGCGATGGTTTTCGAGATGGAGGCCCCGTGTGAGGTCGATGGGGATGCATCGAGGATTTAGTGTACTGACAGAAGGTGCGTGTGGCTGCAGTGATTCCAAGCTAAGGCCTAGCTTCGCGGATCTGATGCAAGAACTGAAGAATCTCCAAACGCGACCCACTGCCGCTTCTCCGGCCCAAAGCCCGTCTGCCACACCTCAGAGCGGATCGTCAAAATGAAACTCAAGCCTTTGAGTTAAACCTTTGAGTGTAAAGTGTACCCGGAAGGTTTTCTTACACCTCTAGCTAAAACATGTATCTTTAAAGCAGTTGAAGTTGTCTCCTTGAGGTTCTTAACAACCCTCTATAATTGCACGTAGTCATCCGGGTAGCTGTTCCCAGTAATGAAGGCTCTATCAGGTTTTGAGCTCGAGTGACATGCGCGGGCTCGGACAATCATTCAGGAGCCCGTGAATTTCACATTCTTCGTAGGAGAAGATTAACGATAAAAGCACTTACGAGTGTTCCCGAATTCTGGAGCCCTAGCTGGACATTGCAGGGACCAGATGCTAGTGGATGTGTTTAAGCGGAAGATGTTGTGGAGAAGTTGCTGGAAATCCTAATATGCCCAGTGTACTGTAAGGAAGTGGTAAAGAGTTTTGATTCATGCCGCACGCGTTGCGCGAGATCAAACAGTTTGTGTTACTTTCAGATGACCCAATTGGATTGACCTGGTTTTCGCAAGTCGTACCATTTGTTAGATCTCCAAATCGGACAATGCCGTCGGCATGCGGCAGTTTGGAAGTCTGTGAGATATTGCTCAGTCGCATCGTCGTGGTAGAAACGGAGGACATTTGAATTGTGTACCATTTTTATTACCTGATCAGAGCCCTATTAACGTTCTTTACCAGAAAACGCAGCACCGATCGGAATTGAGCTGTGTCAAAAATATGAGTTCACTGTATCGCGTGCCTGCGGCTCTTGTGCTCGCAGTTCTTTGTGCACTTCTCGTTGGATTGTTCACTCGTGGATTTCTTAGACTAGAGCGTTGTCTCACTTTTCTTGAACGATGTGTGTTCCTCTTGTACTACGATCACCGTAATTTTTGGCTTTCATGTCACTCGATGTTGCGTGATTCAGCATGGTTTGCATGTGTCACACCTTATCGGAGCTTACTTCTTTTGAGGCTGTTCCACCAGGTTCAATATGCGCGGCATCGTTATGCAACTGCGCTTTTTTTACCATCTCACCGATGAGTCCAGCTTTTTTGATCTCGGTGTGTTGTATCATGTACTGCAGTATGTGACGTGGTCACGATCGTACTGTACTCTCTCTGTCATCAAATCTGACCCTCTTTTGTTTGGAAGACGGGAAGGTCACGAAGAATGTGTTGTGTGATTATCAAATTACTGAATTCTATAGATTTTTGAACCGGTCTGTGTATCGCCGAAGGATCTTATATCTTTTTATTGTAAAAGTTCGAAAGTGGTCAGCCGCACGAACGAAATATAATGCAGAAAACCTGAAGCGTCTTTCACACGAAGAATCTCGTCAAATTCGTGCCCACATTCGAGCGATTCGTCATAATCGCGATTATGCGACATCGCATCTCGTCATTATGCGATGCGACCCACATCTCGTCATAATCGCTCGAATGTGGGCACCCACGCATGATGTGGGTCGCATCGCATAATCGCGATTATGCGACCGACCATCCCAATCATCGCCAAATCCACCGCCTGTGAGATCGACAGAAGACATATATCACACGAGAAAATGCTCGACAAAGCGAAATCAAGGTTCGTCGATCAAGGATCGAGCTCGAGCTCGAGCTCAATCTCACTCCGAACGCTATGATCTGCTTCACGAGATCCAATTCAAATCGATTGGCGCGGGAGCTACAACGTTCTATACACCGTCCCAATTTTGAACGACCAAGCGGAAGAAAATTAAATCGAAACTCGAGCTGTAACGACCCGTGCTTCTTATGCCGGCTCAAAATCAGTATTTTTTCCAGGAATTAAAAATTACTGAAATTACTAGAATAATTAGTAAAATGATTCTATTAATAAGTTAAGATTTGTCGCCGAAGTGGCTACTCTAACTAGACTTCGAGTAGTCTGTCAGTCGGTCTGGCCATCAGGAGATTCTCTCGACGCGAGAAATTTGATGGTTGGCATGGCGAGCGGGGTTCAATTTGGCGAAGAAGGCAAAGTAGAGGAAATCTAGAAGTGATTTCACGGTCCGTGAAGAGATGGCGATGGTTTGGACATTTTTTTACTATATTTTTGGCTTCTTGTTGTATTTTGATCTCATGAAATGTTCATGGGCGTTCACGTGGAGCTTTTCGGCTGCGAATCGCCAAACGAGGCACTGCTCTGAGTGCGCGGTGCTGTCCGGTCAATAACTCTCGAGCATGGCCGGACTCGGTCACGTGTTACCCGAAGAACATGAAGAAAGTGCAGCAGAGAGATCGAAAAAGCTACCACGAACTGCGACAAACAGGAACTGCGAATCTGACAGAAAGTCTAGATTTAATTTCTTATCCCGGTGGAACAGGTGATTGTAAATCTGAGGAGACTCAGGAGATAAAGTCCAAGAATGCTCTTTTTATTCCCTTTTATGGGTTTTTGGTGAATTCTTTGTGTCGGAGTTCGTGGAATATTTTACTGTGAGGAGGTCTCGTCGGCGAGGTGAGCACAGAGTCGCGGAGAGATTTTCCGAAGAGCATAAATTGGGCGACGGTCTTCAGCGTTGGTTAGAGTGGACGGGTGCTCGGACGCTGGCAGCGGGTGGAGAATTCCGAGCGAGGAGAATTGATCGCTTCGGAGAATATTCTCTTGCTGGACTAGTCAGAAGAATCGGAGCCAGAGCCGGAGCCTGAGAGTGAGCTTGACGCTGTATTTTGCAGGTTGTCATTCATTGCTCTGTGTTCTGACGTTCGGACAAGATTGGCAATTGTTCGGCTGACAATTTTGAGGACCGGATTCCCTTCCGGCCATACGTTCGTTTGTATCTGCGACAACCGGGCTGTGGAAAATGGGAAGCGCCTCGGATGAAGCATCTACCGCTGGGAAAGTTATTTCATGCAAAGGTTTGTCGTGAACCCAGCCCACCGATGAGCGCAAACAATGTGGACTGACTTTCGCGGTTAGGTTAGAATTGCAGTGTCTATAAGCAGGACGCTGTAGCTCCAGACTCTTCTCAGGCCCTTTTGGAATACAACAGAATTTTTGACTCTGCAAATGTACCCTCGAGGGATGAGTTTGAAGGTCTGGAGCTGTCGGATAATTCCCATCGAGAAGAAAATGAGATGGAGATTCTTCGTCAGCTCTGTATTTCGCTGCATTAGACTCGATCGATCGGGAGTTTGAATTTGCTTTAGAAATACTGAAACGAGTCATGTACGTCTGAGCCAATCGGGAATGACAGTTTTTAAAATTCCCAGTTCCTTATTACTTGAACGATCTTGAATTGAAGTGCGAAGACAGAATAATTTGTAAGTTGAGACGTTGTTCTGGGTATGTACAGCTGCTGTGATCTGGGCGGTGGGAGAAAACCCTGTCATCGAGCAGATAGAGGTTGCACCACCTGAAGCTGGCGAGGTTCGCATTCGAATCTTGTATACGTCGATATGTCACAGTGATCTTCATGTTTGGAAGAACAAGGTGTGTAGATCCTATCACTTCGTGTCTATCAAAACACTGAGAAGGCAGTACCTTGGTGCTCGCGAAGGCCATTTTTACCAGTAAGATGCAACTTCTTATTTTCGAAAAATATTTCTGCGGATTGAATTTAGGTAGCCAGGATATCTACGCGTATAGAATTTTGAGTCTTGATAAGGGTCGGTCATATAGAAGAGTATGTTCTTAAAGCAGCACTAAGCAGAATAGAAGCATTTTTTGAAATGTAAATTTGAAACAGTCCCTGAATGCCGCAACCGATGAAGCGTGGTGCAGTTTACGTTGATCGTGCAGTTTACGTCGAGTCCCAAGTATTGACAGTAGGATGTCACGACTACGGTCATCTGGATCGATTTTCTCTACTAAGTGCCAAGTTGATCACTGTAACACTGATGTCTCCTGCAGAATACGAGTGCGATGCACCCTCGCCTCCTTGGTCATGAAGCTGCTGGGTCTGTACATTTTTTCTACCTTCAATGGTTTTCAATATTTGATGTGGTTTAAGATATTAACAGATGTCTTATAGATGGTCCTCTACTATAATTGATTAATTTTCTGAATGTCTCACTGAGTTTTATTCTCTTGGAAGGACATTCAGTGGTGTTGATCAATATCCCTCGGCTTCTCATTACTACGGCCAGTCTTTTTTCTGTACTAGACATGTTTGAGATGAATATAGAACCGGTTTCATGATTTCAACATTCGTTACTGCAACAGAATCGTGGAAAGCGTTGGTGAAGGAGTATCGGACTTCACTCCAGGAGACCATGTGCTGCCAATTTTCATGGGAGAGTGCAAAGAATGTTCTTTCTGCAAGTCCAGGAAAACCAATATCTGTCCAAAATTCGCTGTCAACCCAATGAGAGGAACCAGAATGGTTGACGGGAAGTCACGGTTTTCAGTCAAAGGGCAGACTTTATACTCCTGCTATTGTTCAAGTTTCAGTCAGTACACAGTTGTGGAGCAGCAGTGTGTCGTAAAAATTAATCCAAATGCTGAAATGGACAAGGTGTTACTGCTTAGCTGCGGGGCTGGTACAGGTAAAATATGACCTGTTATAGTATTGCTGATGGCTTCGTTCAGTTCTTCTTTTTTCATGAATCTCAGCTACTATTTGATTGAGGTCTTGTAGCCGATTCTAAGGGCTAGGACGTCTTTGTCTCAAAGGCGGAAACCTGAGTTTTCAAATGCCTTCAATGATGCACAGTGATCAAGTGCCTTCGACATATTCGATTTCGAGAATACCCAGTTACCTGAGCTGGTCACCGCTAAAATCTGTTGCATCCAAATCTTGGGCTTAGTCTGCCGTTTTAAATTCTAAATGTTGTTTCGTCCAATACAGGTTTGGGATCGGCTTGGAATATTGCGAAAATTGAGCCGAATGCTACTGTTGCAATCTTTGGACTCGGTGCAGTGGGCTGCAGTGTAAGTTCCGTCCCATGATACTTGTACCCTCATCAGATACGTTCTTCAGTTGTGGACATTGTAATAAATTTGGATGAGCTGCCTAGTGGATCTTTGAAGCAAGAGCTTCGTGTCAGCAAAAATTGATGACATTTGGAAAGTTGAAGGGCAAATATCAATGGATGTACTGGGAGAATCATCATCCTTTCGAAAATAGTTCTGTGAGAAACTGCAAATGGTTACGAGGAACCGAAGGGTGCTCTTGCAGTGACTTTCTGATGTTTCAGTCATGTGGATTATGTATTCTAGGTGAACAATATTCCGCTTGTGGTTCAGGGTGTACAGCGCATCTTATGCATCTTGTATTTCTGTAAACAGGTTGCAGAAGGGGCACGAGTGGCCGGTGCGTCGCGGATAATCGGTGTCGATGTCAATCCCGCTAAGTTTGAAAAAGGTACCGATACTTTCGTTTTATTGGGCTTCCAAGGGAGAGTCCAAAAATGTTAATCATGGTTGTTTTGAAAGCAGTTCGGTCAGTCATCCCGGATATTTTATACGACCAAATCATAACTATCTGTGTAAGAGTAACGGACGTACGCTTGCCGAGCTTAGTGACGGGTTAGTGACGTAAAGTTACATAACTGATCCACACATAAGAAATGCCCTTTTGCGCTCCCTTGGTTACACATCCTGGCAGATTTTTGCAGTTCAATTTGCGGTAGACAGATAATTTAGATAGTGAATGGTGATAAATGCGTGCAGTGTGCGCCAAGGGCAAGGTGTCGCATACTATACCGATCGATTGGGTATCTATGGAGTTAGTTATTGACTTTAGGAGCATGAGCAGACCGAAATATATGAAGCTGGAACGTCTGCGCTCTACATTAGCAGAATTTTGGTGTTTATTCTTTACCTGGACGACAGAACCTGTTTAGAAACAGGATACGGCGGGATTGAGTTGGTCGCACAGCGATTTATCTAAGGTGTCTTTTACAGGCAAACTTTTTGGCATCACCGAATTCGTAAATCCAAACGACTGCGAGAAACCGATTGACGAGGTAATTGCCTAAATTTTCATTCAGCGTGTAGCAGCTCGTTTGTAATAGTTTTTTGTAATGGAAGACAGTATTGGACAGTTTACTTGAACTTCCATACTGAGAATGATTAATTGCTCAAAATCTCGTGATGGGACAGGTCATATGTGAGATGACAAATGGAGGAGTGGACTACAGCTTCGAGTGTGTTGGTCTTCCGAAGCTGATGGAATCTGCCATCAAGAGTTGCATGATAGTAAGCTCTACAAACACGCCCAGACTGGTTCTCATCCGTCAGTGCGGTCTGCATCGTCGTTTCGATGCATCTATGGAGTTCAGCGATAAGATTCATGTGTAAGCTTAGCGAACCAAAATAACAACCGTTTCCTGAAAAAATAGACGGTGTGATCACTCCTTCCACAAATGACTTCTGATTGAATCACTCTGTTGTTGGTACGCAGCCTGGAGGTTTGGCAGTAATCTGCGGAGTAACAGCCTCGCGAGACGCCAAGATGGAAGTGATGCCACAATTAATCATCCGAGGAGTGAGCATCACTGGAAGTATGTACGGTGGCTGGAAGCCCTCGGACATCCCCGAGCTCGTGGAGAGATACATGAGAAAGGTTAGTAGATGTTTTCTACAGCATTTGCACATCCATCTCCACCTTTAGACACGACACGATGCGAATGCATCACGCATGAACCTTATATCAGGGACTGACACCGAGGAATCATTAGTTCTCGGCTTTGCTATGACAATTCTCTGACCTCATCCACCGACCTTGCACCAAACATAGAAACAAGTCGCAAGACAAGTAGAGGGCTGACGACGAAAGAATTGGGTATATTGATCCTTAGAATCTATACAGTCTACAAGTGTCCCATCTGGGCAGCTTTCACCTTCTTCTAGCTGCCACTCAACACAACATCGATGAGTTTCCCCCACTTCAGCTTCTTGGTTTTATTTGTATATAATGAACCTTGAAAGCAAGTAAGTACAGTTGTGAGATCCACTCACGATACCACATGCCTGGTGAGGTGAGTTCCCTAAGACATATCAATAAGCTGAAATACAATGCGTGGCAACAAACCGGAGGAACTGAGCAGTATTTACAATGCTGACTTGGGCCGGTGAAGACTTTCTTTGGCTGCCAGTTCGGCATACATCTCGGATATTGCTGGAGCAAAGCGAGCCTTAGCAGTCGGTCTCTTCACCTTCAGACTGGGTGTGAGGAGCCCATTCTCTATCGTGAATTGTTCATGAGTCAGAGTCACTGCTTTGGCAAACTCGAAACCCCGAAGTTGGGCAGCACGAGCGACTTCATCCATATCCGCAAGGACTGCTGCCTTGACCATCGGATCCTTGCAGAGCTTTTCCAAATCGTCGTGATGTTTGATTCCCTTGGCCTTGGCCCAAGCTGGTAAGACTTCTGGATCGACCACTGCGACGGACACCAGGTTGGAATTGAAACTATCTCCGTAAATAAATAGTTGTGCAATGAACTGACTTCGCAGGTACACATTCTCTATCTTCTCAGGAGCTATGTATTCTCCCTGGGCCAGCTTGAAGATGTTCTTCTTGCGATCGATGATTTTGAGTCTGCCCCCAGGAAGCCACAAACCGATGTCCCCGGTGTGCAACCAGCCCTCGCTGTCCAGCACCTCCCGAGTTTGAACCTCATCCTTGTAGTAACCTTGAAAAACTATGGGGCCGCGAACGCAGACTTCTCCTCGGGGGTGGGGCTTATCTCGCGAGGTGTACTCCATTTCAGGAACATCTACTAGCTTTACTTCACAGGCCGGATTAGGGGATCCCACATGGCCGGAGGTGAGGTCGTCCTTGTCGCAATTTGTGATGACACAGGAGCTCTCAGTCATGCCATACCCTTCAGTAACTTGGCAGCCGAAGCAGATTCGCAGAAAGTCCAAGACCTCGGGAGAGATGGGGGATGCTCCAGACGCCAGAAGACGGGTACGGCCTCCCAGAGTGGCTCGGATCTTGTTGAAAACCAGTCGATCCCAAATCGGAGACGGCGTCTTTCCCCGGGCCATAGCCTCCTTTTTGGCATTGAAAGCCGCATTGAAAATCCACTGCTTAAGTGCGCTGGAGCTTTTCACCGTTGAATTGATTTTGTCATAAATACGATTGTACAGCCGAGGCACGCTGGAGAACATGGTCGGCTTCAAGGCCTCCAGATCCTCCAGCAGCTTGAGAACGTCGCCTTGGAAGAAGCCGACCCCGCAACCGAAATGGGTCGATGTCAGGACATTCATCCTCTCATAGATGTGAGCCAGAGGCAGGTACGAGACGTGAACATCGCTGCTGTTCACTCCCTCCCCGAGCGTGTACCCTGCGCAACTCGAGATCAGATTTCGGTGCGTGAGCACGACTCCTTTGGGAGTGCCCGTGGTGCCGCTGGTGTAGCAGATTGTGGCCACATCGTCAGAAGATGGGGGAATGAACGGATGTGGGTTGGCAGCTCCTTCAGCTTCTAGGGCTTTGAACGAGACAATCTCCACTCCAGAGATGCTGGGCAACGGGGCCGGTTTCATGTCATCCACCACCACCCCGATGAGCCGGATGGTGGGCAATTCGGACAGGCAGCTCAGAATCGTTTGAAGCTTGTCGAAAGTGCAGAACACTGCGGTGATCTCCGCGTGGTTGATGATGTACTGCACGGCATCGGCCCCCAGGGTATCGTACAAGGGAACAGAAACGAAGGAGAAAGCAGAACAGGCTTGCTCTGCGATGACCCATTCGGGCCTGTTGATCATGTACAACCCTATGTTGCTCTTCTTAGGGATGCCGTGCTTGAGCAGGGCGGACCCGATGGCTGCCCTCGAGGCCCCGACTTCTCCGTATGTCATCCACTTGTACTCCCCTGCGCTGCCATCCTCCCTCCTCACCCTGGCCCCTAAATACTTGCAATCCTCGTACACTTTGGCGGAATTGGCAAAATTGTCGTGCAGAGTGCGAATGTCTGGATAATCCTCGAACGTCTCTACCAATTGCAAGGGATACCTAGCATTCCTGTACACGTTCCACTCCCCCGTGCGGAGCTTCTCCGGCAGCACCACGCTGTAGCCATCGGCGATGAAAACCTCTCCTGCCGTGGGCTGCAACGCGAGCTGCTGCTGCTCCTCGTCGTCCTCCGACGCCTTGGAGTGCGACTCCAGCACATGCGACTGGATCACCTGCAGGCGGCGCCTGGCAGTATCCATGGCTTCGGCAGCGATCACCTCAATTCCCCTCAATCAGTCGGCAATTCGTCCTGGTTCCCCAACTTCCCCTGCCCCACTCTATTCCCCGAACCGCAGCCTCTAGTGAATAACTCTCTCACCCTTCCGCCGCCTCTGCTGCTCTCCTCGATCTCCACCGAGCGAACTTCAATCCCCTCCTGTCTCCCTACCTCTCTCCAGCCTTCCGTCTCGTTCCTGCCCGACGATTAGAGCGCGGTGGCGAGCCTGCAAATTCGAGGGGGGGAGTGATCCTCTTCCACGGAATTGTCTCGCTTTAGCGTACGGAACATGCAAGCTCCACGATTAGAGAATGGTGAGGCACTGACGGGCCATGACGGAAAGAGAGCGGAACAGAATTCGAGGGGGATGGAGAAAAGCTTCGTCGGACTGGAATTGGGGACCGGGGGAAAAACTCAAGGAAGATGCGGAGACGGGATTGGAACGCGAGCGCAGCGGATGGGGATCTCGATGATGAGGAGGATGCTGCCAGGAGCTCGGAGCGGACAAAATCACAGCCTCGCAGAACTTCCACCTCCACCTCGAAATGCCGGCATTTCCCTGTTTTCTTCCCCGGGGCTACTAATACTCGCTTTGCAGCTCTCGCGCACTCGATCCCCTTCTTCCCCCTACTGGGACTCCACCCGCTCCTCGCCTGCCACTACCCCCATGTCTTCGGTACAGCGTTCCCCTCTCCGTTTTTCTCGAACACGTCCGTCTATCTACCGTCAAAAAATTTACGGCGGTCGTGAAATACGAGGAGTGCGGTCGGACTATGAGGGCTTTGCGGCAATCTGTCACCGCCAGTATCCCGTATCGCGAGTGGCCGGCAGTTTATTCTGGCTCGCAGTCACCGGAGACGAGCTTTTTCTTACCGGCGGGAAACCGGCGCAGTCGCCGCGCGGGAGCGAGTGAGTCAGCTTCTTCCTGCCGTTTCTGAGTAACGGCATGTAGAACGGCAGTTGTTGTCCAACAGGTCGGGCACCGTCCCACGGTGCGGTGGCCACGTGTGAAGCGCGCTGAGAGATAGTCGAAGCACGATGGTGCTCCGAAGAAGTAGCCACCGGCTGTAGGCGGGGGAGCCGGTCAGGTCACGTAGATTTTGTTGCCGGCCTGAAGGGTGCTTGTGTACTTCGCACTCCTCGCCTTTTCCCGGCCAGCAGCTCTTCCCCCACGGGCAGCCGCATTATGTCACTCCCTCCCCCCGCCCCTCGCTTTCGCCCACGGCGAGGGCTACAAGTCATCACCCCCCTGCCCGCGGGCACCTTCCGATCGACCCTTCTCTCCTCTGCCGTGAAGTTACTCTTGATGCCCCATGTCCTTGTTCCGGGCCGACCTGCAGGGTCTGGTGATGCGAAGTCAGTCGTCCGGTCACCTCCGGCCGCCACCTGTTCTGGCCGGTGCGTTCATCCAATCATCCGGTGCTTCCCTCCCGAGAGGTTCGGAGTGTAGGTCAACCCCATCCGCGAGATCGGACTTATCGACGGGAGTAGGAATGCTGAGCTTGCTTGACTCATGGGCGTTCGGATAAAACTGAGAACTTTTCGGGATAATCAATTACAAGTCGGCATCTAAGCGGTCGTTGGCAGTGGCACTTATCCTGAGCCTCCGAAATTGCCCCTCGCTTTGATAAATTACTGGAGAGATCGTAGCGGTGTCTCCCTTTCGCCGGGTCAGAGTGCTCCCGACGGGAGCTGCAGGCATATAGTCGTCTAAACGGTGGGCCTGTCCAGTTGCTCCTGACTTGCCTTTTTTGCAGCAAGTTGATCTTGTAATGAGTTTTTTCTTCAGTTTGTGTGTTATTCGGAAAGACCATTGACCATTCGTGTGCCGCTATGCATAGCTTCCTATGGAAGTATTACCTTTTCTTATAAAGAAGTGTAGAGTTTCTTGTTGATGACCTCTGATTCACTTTTTATTTTCTTAAATGATATAGTTCACAGAGGGAATCTACGCGACCAGAACTTTTCTTCATCTGATCTTGAATCATCCTTTCGTATCAGAAGAATGTCGCAACGATCTCGCATGTGCTTTTAGGTCAACGAGGAACAGTCCGTAGTACCAGTTTGTTTACGGACAATCAAACTAATCTTCTGAAATCTAGATCAATGTTCTTCGAAAGAACATGAACACACCGTCGATAAACATGGCAGATTCTATCCAATCGCCATTTCACTATCAAGTTACATTGAACAGATGAGCGCAGAGCACATCCGTTGTGATCCGGCCGGGAGGTTTGACGCGGAAACGCTGAACACTTTCTCTGGAAGTCTATTTGTGTGGGGATGGGGGAGGAAGTTAGCCTTCCTCCTCGTGCTGGACAGGACCGTGGCAGAAATAGAATCCCACCGTAGGGTCGTCAACTTGGGCCTTATAAGCAGAATGTCCTGTTTTGTCCTCTTCTGGCCTCGATGGTACCGACCTCTTCCACTGCTGAAAGGTTTGCCCACATCTAGAATCTAGATTCCAGCATATTTTAGAATATTGGTTGATTTACTGAAAATCACGAAGCGATCTTCGCGACAAAGTCGATGGACCTACGGCGACTCGTTATCCTGATACCCTTTTCTCTCTCCGGCCCCTCCGATGATTGTGCCTTACTGCACGGTGGCCCATCTCGTAGAGCCCGTCTTGGCACTCTCGAGGATGATACCTGGAACCCGCCTTTTCATACGGTTTCTTTTCAGAGAACAAAAATGATTTCTGAGAATCGGGTCATAAATTCCTCTGGCAACGAATTACACTCAACTGCATACATTCGTTAACGAGTTAAATAGGTCTTTTAGATACGGACACCGACGTCATGAGAAGGTTCCAGTGTCTAGCATGGACGCAGAAGGGTTTGCATTGGGATGCTAGACCGAGTACACTTCGCCATTTTCACGCACTCAGTGTTTGTTTGTTTCTTGCATTCTTGTGTAATTAACATCCTCCCCAGATTATTATATACATACTTTACTGACATGCACCGTTTAATGTAGTCTGTAGCGTTTGTGCTGAAAACATGCCGAGTGCGCACTTTTCTTTGATTCATTTCACTTTTGTAAGATTTGTGGGGCTCCATTTGAGAAAGGGAGTCTGCGTCATAATAGATTTGACAGGCAGTTGAGAGCACGTGAAACCTAGCTTTTCACGTGCTTCCGGGGAGACGTAGGAGAGGTAGAAGGCGACGCTGTAGTTTCTGAGCCAATGATCACCGAGGAATACTCAGGGGATATCAGTCGGAATGAACTCGAGAGTGACGTCGGTGTGCTGCTTACGGATGCTGTAAATTTGGTGTACCTGCAGGAGTTTCACATCGATCAACTTATAACCCACAGATTACCTTTTGCGGAATTCGGGCAAGCTTGGCAGCTTCTGATCGATGGTGAGAGTTTGCGGTCAGTCATCTCGTGCTGGGACTAGTCTGTTGCTCTAGTCATGTCGTATGCCCATAGATTCTTCCTCCGTCGACAATAGGTTTGAGACGATTAGAGTACCTTCGCGAGGCAATCGACGAAAATTGTTGCTACATTGCCAGAAGTAAATCTTCTGTCGAGGGTACGGATTTAAAATCATGTTTCCTCGAGATATGCACACTGGGAAATGTATTAGCTCAGAAGAGTGATATATAGTTGCCATTTCATCAGCTATTAAGTCATCAGCTTCATTGAAATTTACTCGTATAGATAATTACATGTCATCGCTGTGATTTGAGGGTCTCTATATGTTATACTTTGTCCAAAGTATATATCATATACTTTGGATATGCAGTCATATATTTGCTGCACAATCTTTCTCCTTTTCGCACGGTATTGAGACTTGTCACATCAAATGTTATATCTTCACATTCTTTCACACCAGTACTGGTCGGCTGAATCATTTCTCTTCATTCTGATCGGTCTTGAGTTCTGACTTTCCGATCGCTTTATTACTTCATGCCGAGCACTTTCGCCGATCTATCATATGACAAAACGCCCGCTGCGATGAGGTATGATGTCAACGTAGAATGTTACTTACTGCTCTTTGTCGATATTTTTTTTCGTCAACTCAGATCCTAATGCCACGATTTGCTCGACTCTGAATTGCACGAACACCTAGTGCGCATGAGTCATGCTCAAGTCGACTATCATACTAACCTCATTCCGACCGTGGGTACTGGTTTCACCGTTTACAGCTTACCAAAGTTGAAGACGGATGAACGAAAGTATCGGAAAGCAGTTTCACAGACGACATGAAACTGGCCGCCGAAAAAAGCTGTTTTCTATCGCAAGGAGATCTCAAGGCCAAGAATGCACCCTTCAGAAATATCGGCCAAAACTATGATAAATTATATTCTTCGAAATTGACATTTACACTCGATAACGTCTCGAGGACATTACCACCATCATGAATCGATGTAGAAATCCCTCCCACCACTGTGCTCATATCTACACAATGAACGTGCCCAGACGACCCAATCTCGCCCCTCAATTCTCCACAAACCAACTTCTTCGACCTGTCTTCTCTCTCTCTCTCTCGTCCTGAAGCACTGCCAAATTTTGCGCAGCGCGGGCTCGCCCTCATCTCAGAGCTCCATTCAAAGCTCCTCAACTCGTCCTCCCTCAAACTCGATTTGCTGGTGCAGCAGTGGCTGCGATCAGCGCGAGGGCGCCAGAGACGAGGGCTGCATACAAAACCCCTCGACTCATGCTCCCTCGAGGTCGAATTTCTTCTGGCGCCATGGGACGACGATGGAATTCGGAGGAAAAAGGAGGGCGACTAGATGCGGGAGGAGGGGACGAGGCGGACGATGTGGCGGTAGGCGTCGAGGGTGAGGAAGTCGTCGAGCTGCTCGGCCAGGCACTGGCGCGCGAAGAGCTGCGCCGCCTGCTGGTAGCGCCCGGCGCGGAAGCGCGGAGCGCCAACCTCGCGCTCGATGCGCTCCAACTCCTCGGCCAGCACGCGCTGGAAAACGTCGCGCGTCACGCGCGTCGGCACCAGCTCGCCGTCCAGCATCGCCCCGTACTTGATCCACTGCCAGTTCTGCACTCGGCTGATCTCCGCCGTCGCCGCGTCCTCCATCAGATTGTACAGCGGCACCGACCCCGTACCCCCCAACCACGCCGCCACGTACTGCACCCCCACCCTCGTGTTCAGCCGCAGCCCCTCCAGCGTCCTGCCCATTCCACCCCGTCAGTCCCTCTTCTCTCTTTAGAACTATCGAATATTTTCTATTCCGCAACAATCTTCTGACAGTCGGTCACAAACTACGAGCGAAACACACAAAACTTCACAATCTGTCGATCTCAACCTCTGATACGTAAATTCATCATCGATACAATCGACAATAATTTCACAAACATTTACTAGCCAATTTAATACCGAATGTTCGTTGATTTTCTGTTGAATCAGATCGCTGTAATTTATATATATATATATAAAAAATCACTACACTTATGTTAGACTTTGATTTAGTTTTACATTTCATATACGTTACTTCATTCTGTTATTTTATGTACACATAAGATGACTACGTTGTATATACTGATGAATGAATGGATATGAATATGAATATAAATATTAGATATATATTGAAGTACTCGACGACGAGGTTGCATTTTTGCAATGACTGGGTACAGTCGATACCATGGTCCGATGGAAAACAGCGTCAGAGGCTTCACGGTGACTACGTAGTGTATGGGGAACCAGGTTCGAATTGCAGTCATCGTCTGAATTGTCGAATGATTGTGGTGAGGAAGGGGAGAGGGGAGAGGGGAGAGATCGGGTACCTGACGCCCTTGGGCATCTGGAGGAGGTCCTGGCAGGTGACGGAGACGTCGTCGCGCTTGACGTGGACCTGGTTGGCGCCGGGCATGTTGGCGTCGAACACCTCGAGCACCATGGGGACGAGGCCCGGGTGCGCGGCCCACGTGCCGTCGTGCCCGGCCCTCACCTCGCGCAGCTTGTCGGCCCGAACCAGCTCCGCCGCCTTGTCGTTCGCCGCCTTGTCGTCCCGGATCGGGATCTGTGCCGCCTGCGCTCCCCCGGTCAGGTCCACGGTCAGAGTCAGGTCACGTCACGTCAACCCGGAGTCAACCCATCGGTCACTCACTCACTCACTCGGACCCACGTTCAATCACGCTGCCAGTGAGTTCCGATATATTCTCCTCTCATTTATCAAATCAATAATGCAAGTTAAATCACGCTCCGAGGACATAGAAATCAAAACCAGAGAAATCTTAAATAATGAGCACCAAAAAATCATAATCATAACCACATATCATCACATTATCAAAATCTCGGGTTAAAAACAGCAGACACTATCTGAAAATGAACTCCCATATCTGATAATGAGCTCAAAAGAATTATAATCATAACCAAATATCAGCACATAATAAAAGCAGCAAGCACTATCTGAAAATGAACTCCCATATCTGACGATCAAAGGGTTTAACCAGAGAATACTCTAATATTATCATCATAACTATCATGATTCTCATAATAATAAGTAGAAAGTACTTCTATTATCAAAAACTCCAGAAGCAAAGCACAGCAACGCTCTTGGTAGTTCGATTTTTTTTGTTGACATTGTATAGTATCATCGAATTCATCAAAAAAATTACCAAAATGCAGCATCGTCAAGACCTCAATTTCCGATTGAAAACATCGATTGACTGACAGGAATAAGACTTGTGATAAAAATCGATCAATAAAAGACGAGGGAGGTTGCGAGGGTGACGGGGAAGGAAGTAGGGAGGAGGTGGCGAGGACGCACCATGCCGCCCATGGCGTGGACGCCGCGGCGGTGGCAGGTCTGGATGAGGAGCTCGGTGTAGTTGCGGAGGAAGGGCTGCGTCATGCCGACGAGAACGCGGTCGGGCAGCAGGCGGTCGGCGTGCGCGCGCACCGTCTTGATGAAGCTGAAGATGTAGTCCCAGCGGCCGCAGTTGAGCCCCGCCGAGTGATCCCGCAAAGCGTACAGGATCTCGTGCATCTGGAACACGGCCGGCAGCGTCTCGATCAGCACGGTCGCGCGCACGCTCCCGCGCGGAGCGCCCGCCGCCGCCTGCGCGCGCTCGAAGACGGCGTTCCAGAGCGCGGCCTCGCGCGCGTGCTGCATCTTGGGCAAGTAGAAGAAGGGCCCGCTCTGCCCGTGCGCCGCGCGGAACGCCGCCTGGTTGTGGAAGTAGTAGAGCCCGAAGTCCACCAGCGCGCCCGTCGCCGGCTCGCCGTCGATCTCCAGGTGCGCCTCCGGCAGGTGCCAGCCGCGCGGCCTCACCAGCAGCACCGCCGTCTTCTCCTTCAGCTCGTACTTCTGCTCCCCCGTCCAACACATTTCATCGAATTTCTCAATTGCTTGTAATAAACCGTGTTAACAATTAGAAACAAAAATTGGGTTTTCTACTGTCCCTAATACAAGTTAGGAAATCAACGTCGAATTTATTTCAGTATACCAGCTTGCTATTACGTTAAGGTTTTACGGATAATTTTATCATTCAAGAATTTCATCGAAAATGCAATTTTGGCTACATTTTCTCTACTGCTTGTAGTAAACCGTATTGATACTTATACATGAACAATTGATGCTTCTAGTGTCTCCTACTACAAGGTAGAAAATCCGTTTCGGTTTTGTTACGGTATACTAGCTTGCTATAGCGTTAAAATGAGATCATCTTATCATACTATCATTTACGAATTTCATCGAAGATGCAAATTCGGCTACATTCCTCTAATGCTTGTAATAAATCGTATTGACAATTATAAAAAAATATGAAGTTTCTAATGTTTCCTCTTACAAGGTAGAAAAAAATTCCGATTTTGTCACAGTTTATTAACTCTAGATGGAATAATTTCATTAATCTAATTGTGCAACAAGAATTTGCATCCACGTACTATACTTTAATGATTACGTACATTTCCTAATTGGAAATCATCGCAGTAAGATAGTAAGAATAATGAATAAATTGTCGAGGTGATTCATGTTCAGTTATGTTTTGATCGGTGATCGGCGGCTGACCTTGTTGCGGGCCGTGTCCTCGAAAGTGATGGTCCTGTTGACGGCGTCGCGCAGGTTGATCTGGCCTCGGACGATGTTGTCCCAAGTTGGGGCCAGAGAGTCTTCGAAATCGGCCTGAAATTCATCCACAAAGAAAATTTAGTCACATTTCCACCGAAACTGGAGAAAATGTTTAAATGGACGCGAGGGTGCTGCTCCATATCGGTACAGGCCGTCCCGAGATCTCGGTCTGTACCCCGCGAGGACATCCCGAGTTCGGACACGTACTCGGGATAAGCTGCGGAACAACGTCGTCGAGGTTTCGACTGGGATTTTCCAACTAACGTGGTTGGTTTGTGAAGAAGGAAACTGCAACTTCGACTGCGTACCATGAACATTTTGGCGCCGCTGTTGAGGGCGTTGATGATCATCTTGCGCTCGACGGGGCCGGTGATCTCGACGCGGCGGTCGGCGATGACATCCGGGATGGGGGCGCAGGTCCAGTCGCCGTCGCGGATGGCGGCGGTGGCCGGGTCGAACCTGGGGAGCTCGCCGGCGTCGAAGCGCGCCTGCTGCTCTTTCCGGCACTGGAGGACGTACTTGACGCGCGGCCGGAACTCGCGCTCCAGCGCCGCCACGAAGGCCAGCGCCTCGTGCGTCAGAATCGACTCGTAGCACGGCCGGAACTCGCCCCGGATCTCAACCCCCGCTGGGAGTCCTCCCCTCACTCCCCCCGCCATCGCTGCTGCTTTATCTGCTGCTTCCTCCTCCTCCTTCTGCTGACACACCCCCAATCCCCCCACACAGCTCGTCAAATCCGACCGCCTCCTGCACCCCCAGCACCGAAAAAAAGCCACACGACAAGCTCCCCGTCTCTGTTTACCTCAATCCCCTCTCCTCCCTCACCAGAGCTTCAGATCCAAAAATTCCAGGACTCTGAGACGCAAAATTGGCTCTGCTTTGAACTGTCAGAAGTGGACTCGGGATGAAGAGCGAGAGCGAGCTGGCCCCAGACTTAGTACATTTCGGACCAGCTGCTGCAGCTGCAGCAGCTGGTCCGATATTTGGGTCCCTGGCCCAGGATGTCATGATCACCGGCGGGGCCGAGACTGGAGGCGAAAATCTCAACACGAGAATGAGTTGAAAGAGAATGAAGGAAGGAAGGCATACTCTGCTCTCTGGAGGTCTCGACAATCAATCAACGAATAGACGGACAGAGACTCATTCAGACTCTATTTCTTCAACGCAGCGCAAGGACATGGTGTGACTGATATATCTCAAATCAGACGCTGTAAGACCGGAGGGAACCTCGACTGGACCTTTACTGTTAAGTATTTGATTCCTGCAGCTCGAGGCTCAGGGTCGGATTCGAAGGAAGTACCATCGGCAGTAAACACGAGACCTGTCATACATGAAATTCATGCATCGAGCATGAATTTCAGCCACCGCAGCCATCCGTGGTTGCGGTGGCTGAAGCCAGGTCTGGAAAATAATACATCTTAAGGAGAGTACACGGACAGAAGAGCAGAAATTCAGCACTGAGCAACACGCACCTGCGGACTTCGATCGAATTGGACCCGCCGCCCTGCGCTTGGCTCTCGAGAAGAGGTAAGAAGGAAAGTATCTACAAAATTCCGTGGGGGCCGAGAAATCGATGGGCTTAGTTTATACTGCGATGGATCGAAGGAATCGGGAGGAATCGCGAATCGTTCACAGGCAGCCAGACTCGGCAGACTCGGAGGGCGAGGAAGGTGAGGAAGGTGAGCGGCGGCGGAGACAATTGGCGTGCCACGTCCTTCTCGCCCCGTCAGCGTGAAGGGCCATCCTGCCGACATGGCAGCGAGCGTGGCATCACGTGATGGTGAGGTGGTCGAAGAGCATTGCACGAGGCGGAGCACCCGCGGTAAACCCGTTGGGGAGCCCCGTCCGACCTGGATGAAACTCGCGGATAAGTACCCGGGCCCCGTGCTTTCGTCCGTCGGATGATAGATCCAACCACTGGGCTTTATTTAGTCACTTTACCCTCGAGTCCTTACCTGTTTTCTTATCTCAATCGCTACGACCTGCTCCGCCCGTCGCTACCGTCCAAATACTTCTATATTGGGAGAGGAGTGACTCTCAGTTTCTCTCTCTATTACCGAGAGAGGTAACTGGGAGAAAGCGCCCTTGGGTTCTTCTATCGTGAGTCCTCTGATAACGATGGCGAGCAACCCAACATTAGGTGAGGGATTACTATAGTTAGTGTAACTCTGGTAGACGACAGAGTAGAAACCATGTCTCTTGACTTACTTCGGTCCTCACGATTACGCCGAATGGAATTCAACTTAACAACTAATCATCGTCTAGCAATGGCACATGTTTCCATAGTTTCTCTCTAGTTTTTCGGATTTCTTTGAAGGTGTTAATTTAGCACAGGCGCAAAGTGGAAGGACTTTCGTGGCATAATTTAGTCCGGTTGATTTAGAGCTCGAGGACAAAACTTAAGTATGTCACAATACTTCTATCTTGCGACGACACTCCCTTGTCATAAAAGAAAGTATTCTCTTTTTATTTTGACTTTTGTTCTTCATATTCTTATCGCTACCGCATGCAAATCTGTATAACCAAAAATGTTTCTCGAGGATCTGTAAAAGTTATAGAAATTGAAATAAATTTCATAATACTAATTATTACGTTAACCAAAATTCGATATATTTAGTTTATTTAGTTCTGGATGAGTAGTTTCAGTTAAGTATAAAATTAATAATAAAAAAAATTTAAATATGATTCCAGAGACTATATTGTAAAAATTGATGTATGGAGATATAATTATTCTTCAAATTATTTGTCTATTATCCAGTTTGATATTGGTATTAATGAAAGTGTCAGTGATATTGTTACAGTTGGAAATGCTAATGGAGTTATTAGTGAAAATACCGCTTCTAGTAAATGAAAAAAATTCAAGATTTAATTATATAAATTTTGAATCTTCTCAAATTCATGATAATTGGAATTTTATTTACATTATTGTTCTATAATTTTTATAGCAATCGCAATATGTGATGATTATGAAGAAAGTTTACAAATTTTATTACTAAAAATAAATAAAACCCATAATTCATCATACAATTTATGTACACAATAGCAAGATTTAAATTTTGGAAAACCATTAAAAAAATTTATCCAATAATGAATACCAATCTTTCATAAAATCAATACCAATCTGTTTCAAAAATCATTGATTTTCATCAAATAATTATGGGCAAAAAATTGAAAAAGATTTAATACTATTAGTAATTTCTATAAAAATACATAGGATATATCTTGCACAGAAGTAAACTCATTCTTTGACTATATCATTAGGTTATATTTTTTATATAAAATAACTTATTTATTATTAAATCTAATAACAATAATAATCCTAAAACAATGAATAAAATTATATCAATTTAAAAAATATAAGAAAAATAAGTTGATAGTGTATGATGAATTACTGCATCAAACTGGATTCTAAAGTTTAATTCAATATATTGATTTATGTGCTTTCAAGGACACTTTCATGTCAAACTTCCAAAAGTGATGAGTCAAAAGAGCATGTTAGTCTTAAACATTCTAATTAAGGTTAACTGAATTTGAGTTTCAACAATAATTTCTATACTGAATTAGTACTTGATATTAAGCCTTATTTAAAAATCGAAATGAAGCATAAACCAACCAACTTTTAAGCTTAGGTTATTTGGTTTGCTACATTTGTGGGGAGCGGATCACGAAATTATTACTTAGCCTAGGTACAAGATTCCCGAAGAAAGCAAATTAGCATGCAAAGATTGACATTGGAGTCTCTCGTATCACACTTTGATTTAATCAGCATTGAGTGTTATTTTTAGAGTATAGTTAGAACTTTTCATCGGACTATTCTTCACTCTTAGGTAGCACTAATCGCGATCAAGTTTGAGAGGGTTATGCGAATGACATGCTAATTGGATGTACCTCAACCTACTCCTTGTGGTGAACGCCCTTCAGGTACGCAATTAGCACAGACCTTCTTGTCCCCTGGTGTGAAACAGGTTCAGTGGTAGCTCATTGTTCAGGACAATGGCATTTGGGGAGACTCGTCTTCCTGCTCTTTGGAGTGCATGCACTCGTGGCAGGTCAACTGCTAAGCTATAAAATAACTTGAAGTATAAAAACATAAACAAAAATATTTATAGAATCATGTTTAATGGAGGACATCATCTTTATTGGGCAGGGTAACATAATTGGAACATTGTGCTATCACTAGAAGATGTGAATTTTATATTTTCTTTCTATAGATAGTAAAAAGATGAGGTTAGATTGATAAACGAATTATTAATGATTAATTTGAGTACCACTACAACGGTCTAGAACGTTACTGCCGACTTCAAGTATTTACACAGGGCAAACTACCAGAATGGAAAACCGACCATAGGGGGAAGAGGCGTAGTACATAGTATTAAATGATAGAAAAAGGATAAGACGAATAATGAAGTCGTGCAAGGATGAAACCAATCGGGTAACTGAACCAGATACAGAACTCACTGCTGGTGCTGATCATGGAGGCCAACAATCAGCATTGGGTGACGTGGACATACGAAAAGGGACCTTGCTGTGTGTGCCCTGTAGATGTCGTGCGAGCGTTTACGAACCTGATTGGAAGACCCGTGAGTACGCAACTGTCGGGACCTTTCGAGTACAGTCCTACATTCTCACACACAAGCCCCGCCAGCTCAGCCGCTGCAGCACGCCATCTCATCACAGGCACAAGGTCGTCGTCATCCACGTGGCTGATTGGCTCTCAGATTCATGCTATGAATTTCACGTATGACGTTGGACCGTTCCCCTGAAGCTCAAGCAAACAACGTCACTCATACATCCCCAGTCCCTCTGTATCTGTCACTCACCAACATGTACACATTCGGACTCCAAAGGCAGAACAGGCGAGACGAGACGGGAACTCAGACATGCCACCAGTTTTCCCAGCAGCACGAGGATCGCAGTGATGGATAATAACCGGGTGCTTTAGAGACATGGAGGATGCAGATGGAGCGGAAGTTCGTGTACTGGTGGTGTTACTGCTGCTACGAGTTGAGAAGAGACGACACGTCAGGTCATCCCAGGATCACTATACAGACCTCCAGATTTCATTTCCGATGTGGCACTGAGGTATAGTAGCTTTGTTTGCTCGGAATGTTGGAAATATATTTGGGTGTGGGGTTCAGGGGCTGGGCTGAGGAGTCCGAGTCTTCATCTGGTCCTGAGTGGATTCGTGTGTTCTGTCTACCTGTAAGAGGTGTTAGGGGGTCCTCATCTGTTCTCATGAGGAGGATAGCTCGTTGCTTTGCTTGTTATGCATGTGGAATCCGAAGAGTGGTAACAAATGATGTGGATCTGAGTCTGAGATCTTAGGCCTAGTGGGTGGAGTCTGCAGTCACATTAGAAAAGTAGACAAAATAGCTGATCGGGGAATGAGGCAGATAGCGTACCAGGCATAGATGGTCTCTGTCCATATCAAGAATCTCTGGCAATCTTATCCAGCATGTAGATGCTCCAGCTCCACCTGGTTCTTCTATATTTGCCACTGCCTGCCCTCAGAGACCACCGTCACCATAGTGGATGCGAAAGTTGGTTGGCTGGTAATCAGCTGAGAAAGTAATGGAAAGTGAAGATGGAGATGCTTGGTATTACGGTGCCGATTTTTGAGATAATCTGAACCCTGTACAAAGTGAGGAGTTGGTTGTGTGGGTTAATTGGTGGGAGAAGAGCTTTTCGTGTCTATCTGCTGATGGAAGAGGACCCAGCTGTGGCTTGGAAGTTCAGAAACGTCACGTTTCGTCACATGGACTACAATTGTGCGGCATGCAGCCAGTGAAAAGGAAGGCACGGTACCTTGAGAAAAACTCCAGTGAAGAAAATTTCAGTGAAGACTACATTATGAACACTTTACATGTCGTAGGGGTACCTTTTTGGACTGATCCAGACAAATTCCCGGATACGATGAAAGGATCTAATTTCTGGAGACGCTTTAAAACAGGGATAAGGAAATGATCAACACCATGGTTTTATGTCTTTTGTAGTTGTCAGTAGTGGAGCGCACCTGAAATTCGGTTGGTCGGGTATTCTTGCTACACTCACTGCTTCTTGGATCAGATGTCTCTTTCCAGTTGTGAGAAATTGAGATCACTGGAAACCATAACTCCTGGATTCCGGACAACTGGAAGAAAGATGATCAATTTTCTGTGTGTCAAACTTCGTGGCAAGAACATCCCTGTGTGCCTCTCAGTTGTTCCTCCTGCTCGACCAAGGTGTAGTCATATTAGTTGTATTTTATAGTCGATTGACGTGATCACCCTGGTAATTAATTTACGCCGATATTTCTATATACTCGAAAACTTGGGACAAATCATTTCAGTGCTGGACATAGTTGCTGACTTGAACATAGACTCTGATAATACTGTTTCTTGCTTAAATCTCCGGACTCCAATCTGAAGAATCTCGACAATAGGCTCCTCAGTGTCACGTGCACGGTTCCTCATTGCAGAGTTGGAAACCTCTAAGATTACGATGATCGAGGGTTTGCAACATCAACAACATTGTTTCCTCTCTAAAGTTCACAACTCTGTGCATCATGTAAGTTAATGAAATCTTATTGAATATCACATCGAATCATTCAATGTGTTATTAAATTAATGGACATCCGTTCCCTATTTAATACAAATCTGTACAAAGAATGGCGAAGTGATACGCCTTGGAGCATTGCACCTTCTCATCTATATCGAATAATGCTGATCAAGTACGGATGTCTGTTACTTAGTTATGCACCTTCACGACATGCTGTGTAACTGATTATTGACCAACATTACTTGACCTGCAGTATTTACATTGCCCCTCATTGTGCGAGGTTCTGTTCAGCCCTCCGAGGTAACGTCAAAGCTTCTTTGTCATATGTCGAGAAATGACCAAGCGCATGACCTCATTTGTTCCCTCTAGAATCATATGTACTCGAAGGTCACGCACGTACCTCTCAATCTGCACCATAACCGAACAGAAAGTTAGTGTAGGAGGCTCAAAAGCACTGGTGGCAAAATGTACGGTTGACTCCTGAAAGCCTGTGAGGAAGATGACCAGGTTCTACATGGTTTAAGTAGCTAAATGAGAACATATATACATAGTGCATGCACTGTACATCCATTGCAGTGAATTTCAGTCTCTATGGGCTGAATCAACAAAGTGAAGAAGCTCTTCTTCTCCTCCTCTGCTCGTAACTAGCACGTCGAAGCCCTGTCATTCTGAATATCATGGTTCATTATCTTCAGGATAGGACAGGAACTTCCAAACGAGTACGTAGGAATAAACACTGCACTTTGTGACAAACAAAATGGATGACGACGGGTCGAAACGTTTTCTGGTTCACCAACATCGTTGCTGGGATAAATTCCAGTGTGTTGAAGATCCACACACTGGAAATTAAACGTTTGAAACTGTCCTATCCTTGGTTTAGGAGTCTTCACCTCAGTCAGTACCATCTTCCAGAGAGGGCGAGGACATGTGTACAGATTCTGTAATAGAATCTACAGTTTGCGAGTTCTTGTTCAGCTAGTCGTAATTTTTTCAGGCTTAAGTTACATCGTCTACTAATAGCAATAATACCATCGTTTTGGTGTCATAACTTGTTCTCTCGTCAGGTCTCTACATAGTTGGTGGTCTATTAGTTCTTTCAGTGTACGACTACTGCAGGTAAAAATCCAGAGCCAGCACTCTTCAAAGACACTTGATAAATGGAGGCGGTACTTCATATCGAGCATTTACTGTGAACTGGAAAGTGGGGCTGAGTATGTGAGTGGGTCATACAGGGTAATCTTTCAGATAACCATATCCACCATGGAGCTGGAGTGCCTCACTGCACACGTTGAAACAGGTTTCCGTCGCGAATCTGCATCATAATAAGAAAATCCATGTTATGCAATACCTTCTACAGCGTGTGGACTTCACAAAATTCAACATGATTGTTTCTTCATTCGACATATTCTTGGCTGACTTTGATCGAGTTCGAGATGTAGACGAACTCTGAAAATCGTTAGGATGCTGAAGTTTATTAGTCTTCAGCTTTTGAGCGGTGGACTAACTCCGGTTTCATATGGATGCAAGTGGTGGACGACGAAAATAAATGCTACTTTGTTTTCTGCATACGAGTCTTCCAATTTTATACACGAAAGATAGGGCCTACATGTGAGTATTCCAGTTTTTGAAATTGAAAGTTAGATTACTTAGACTAGATTAGATTAGACTCACCTCTTAGCCATGGCCGCTGATGGCGTTGCCCATGGAGTCTTGGCATCAAGCGCTGCTGCTGCATTCGCTACCATCAACCGTGATGCAACAACAGATGTCATCATGTCTGCCAGCTTAAATTGGGTATGCTGGAAGTGTAAGATGGGCTTTCCAAACTGCACAGATTAAACCACCGGCAATTAGTTTTTCACCAGTACTTATCAACCTTGCACTAGTACAAGAGGACAAGGTTTTTCTTATGAGAAAATCCGATATGAAGGTAGACGCCCTCACTTCGATGATCAGATATTGAAATGGGGGAGCAATGATATATGAAATCCAGTCACTAACCTGCTTTCGTGTGGAAACATATTCTTTAGCAGTATCGAGACAGAACTGTGCACCGCCGACACTGCACAAAATAATAGGGAAAAAATCAGTTTTTCCTGATTTCATGAATACGATTTTGAAGTAGATGATGTAGGACCATACTTGAAATGCAAAATGCAAGGTCTAGCTATTTCAGTCCCATCGAAAAGCGTTCTGCCAGTGCCGGACTAGGTTCAACATCACTTTGATTCCTTAAAACGTCAAAAGGCGTTCCTGTTCTGAACTTGCCAAGGCCCTCCAGTACCGAACAGGAGTCAGTTTTTTTCGCCCTGAAGTGACACCTTGATTTAGCCCAGCGTTAGCATCATTAAAATTAATATTAATATTCAATTTTAAAATTTAAATATTTAGATTCTGAAAAATACATCTTTTAATTGTAATACTGCGCCTCGTCAATCGAAATTCCTTGTTTGCAGTTTCGCTTCTATCGATCATATACGGATCCATACTACGTTTCTCTCGATGCTCCTAAGAACAATAATCACTATCACACCAGCCGTGTACCTGCATGTGCCAATATTGATGCGGCCGCCATCCAGACCTGTCAAAGCGATGTTGAAGCCTTGTCCTTCTGCACCGATTCGATTTTGTTCAGGTACCCTCACATCCTCTAGGATCACCTGATCAGGACCGGAAAGTAAGCAAGTTGATCAAGATGAGCAAAATAAAGAGTTACTCTAGTTGATTGTGACGAAGGCAAGCGATCTGTTCCAAAGGGTTAAGGTGTACAAAGAAGACCAAAGAGCTGCTATCGATCTGTGGGATAGAAAGGACTGCGGAAATGACCAACCGCTGAAGTGGGTTGATTCCGCCAACCCATCTTGTCTTCCTGACGACCGAATGATACCCCTGGCATATCCTGCATCAACAGAGTACGTATGAGCATTTCTGTAATTGGGCCTGAAGGTAAGGAAAATAAGTAAACAGGTTTAAGAATATCCCTTATTTGCATTTTCCCTTGCATTTTCCCCTATAGTATGATATGCTAAAAGGATACACTAAGCTAGAGAGCGTACAACCTTCTCCACAATGAAGCACGAGATTCCTTTGGGACCATCAGCACCAGTACGAGCCATGACTAGGTACACATCACTTGAGCCACCTCCGCTGACAAATGCCTGCACATATACCAACACTAAGTGAACGGCTAACCAAAGACAAATTCAGCAATATCTATAGCCGAGCTTATGTGGACTCGCTCTCTCACAACTTTCACCAAGAGATAAGGTCGTTGTACATAGGGGAAGCCGAGATGGTTGAGTTCCTTCAGCCTTCAGAATGAGATGGCGTGATCAAGGTTTTCGATCTTACCTTCTCTCCTGTTAGTATGTAGTCTGTACTTCCCGGATCCCTCCGCGCGGTCGTCTGCAGAGGACACGGTGAAGTTGAGAACTTGTACTGATGACATAAGATCCAGCAGAGCCATGAAGGAACAGCATCCATTCTATTATATGCATAAAGCATGAACCTTGGATCCTCTTAGCTCTAATCACTTTCGTTATGTATGGGGAGTAAAAGTACGAAACTCTACCCGCAGTGAGGCGGCGTCACTCCCACTTGAGGGCTCCGTCAAGCAGTATGATGAAAGGCGATCCTGCAGACAGAATCAGACCTTAAAAATCTCCACGACATCAGTCGGCATCCGAAACTTTGTTGGGTCTATAGCAGCCTCTAACGACTTTATGGCGTCTTGGGGTCTTCTCCCTATAGATCTCAGACAGGTGCAAGCCATGGATCTTAGGACACATCCACATTACTGCAGAGTGAGAGCAAACTGCACGAGGATTTTCCATCTTGTACTAATTACGAAAAATTTCAAATCCTTTCATGAATCCCACATTATGTACCGAGAGGTCAAGAAGCAACTCCACGGGCAAGACGTACCATGCAAGTGAGTCCCGGTAACCACGTCTGACGCTGTTCCTCCGTACCAAATCTGACATGATCACCGTATGAGGTCCAGTGTCAACTGCTATGATTATAATTTCTATAAGCCGAGGTGACACACATCAGGATTATTTTACCAACTAAGAATCAGTACCCTCTGATATCGTCTATGCATAGAACAAACATATCTTATCTCGACAGATTACCGCTAGAAAGCCTCAATTTGAAGGATGCACTTGAAGTGCCATCGTAATTTTATACCGGCAAGTCTAGTAGACAAACAAAGATCGAAGAGACAAACTTAGGCAGGAAAACCTTTTCAAAGTTTGAGTATTATACATGGGGTAGAAAGCTTTGGGTAAATGCGATGACGGAAAGAGATATGTGTTGACGAAAAAGGTTTGGCACGAAAGAAACTACCCTATGTGATCAACTTTAGATTAAGCAAGATGCAACAAGATTAGATTCGGAACACTGCCAACACAATCGACCGACTCTATCGTCCTACAAACCAACAGTACAGGTATATATTGGAAAATGAGCCGCAACACTTGCGTAGTGCAATCTGAATATACTCATAAGTGACGACAACCCAAACTTAGAATTGCCTTCAAGAATCTTTTCTAACGACCTTCAAGAGCAGTTTGTTATGCATGTGTCCCAGCGGGTTAAAACTTTCTGTATACCTGGTGGCGTAACTAGACTGCACTCACTACTATATGCCTTTCATAGCGTGAAGACCATTGCCCAAGCCTCTGGATGTATATGCTAACCAAATACAGGATGAAAAAAGATCAAGAACCGTTTGCTAAATATGACACTTTCTGTGAAGACTGATAATGCCCCTTGACTTGGATACCTTGTCAGGTCGACGCGATTTACCTGTCAATGATAGAGCAGCACATGTTATGAATCGTAAGGTAGGCGGTTGTACCGATGTCTCCATATGCGAGGGCCTCGAAAATTATCGCACCATCTGCCCTGGTCAGACTGTCAACAAACCACTCAGAAAAGTTATAGGATTAAATTGAAAGAACTCACACTAACTTCAGTATGATCAAAATATCACAGCATCCGTTATGAATCCTGAACGCTTCGATTGTTTAGTCAAAGCGCTGTTCGGACGATGGTGCTAGACAATACTGTTATCTGTTTCATGAACGAATATTTCCAGAAAGGAGCATATAAAATACAATTTTATCCCATGCATGATCATGGGGCAATAAGTCCTTCCCGCGCCGGAGGATATATGGGTACTTACCCTGAGCCCCCTACATCGTGACCACAAAAAATACCTCCAAACCCCAGGTTCGCAGCACTGCGGAGCACGTCTACTGGAAAGTGCTTCTTTTCATCCCATTCTGCCGCGAAAGGTATCAATTCATTGCGAGCAAAGTCCTGCTCGACGCATCAAGATATTGAAAGTAATTAGGCCAAGTAGCAATGAAAGACCACAAGTCACAAATACTTCACATCACATGAAGTGCGTTTGAAATATATAAAGACTGCGAAGACGTGAAACTGCTTTTATCCCTTCTTTTAAACTAGTCGCGTAAAGTTCTGCTCGCATCAACAGGCTGCCAGAATACGTCCCACAGGCTAAATTTCCTCACTGGTGTCAGGTCTGTGTAATAAAGGAAACCTTAATGTTTAATAAAGGGTTGAGATACACCTCGTGCCAGAGGTGTATCTAAACCCGTGAGTAAACAATGAAGGCAAGTGTGGACCACTAGAAGAAGATCCTCATCCTGACAGAGGGGAAGTTGCCTGCAAAGAAAAAATTACTGCAAGAAGAAAGCACTCCGAAGGAATTTCACATTGTGAGACAGACCTACTTCTCATTCATGTGAATGATTCAAGCTTTACGGGGAATTTTGAGCACCACAGTCAAAGAATGTTCGACTCTGCAACAGTTCGCGCATTAGGTCCTCATCAATCTTCGAGGGAATTCCCCAAAGTTGGATGAGCGATATCGAGGTTTGCAGCAGGCTGAAGGGTCGATTTTGTGTCAAGGGTATTTGCATGCATGTTAGGAGTGAAACTGAAAACTCCCCGAAGCTTCCAAACTTGACAAACATGTACCAGTTGACATCACGACTTTGCGCTGCTGCCTTTGCTGGACGAGGTGTATTCTTTAGTTCCAAAGGAGCGAAGCGGATCCTGTGAGCGATACATCGTGGATAGTCGCCGACAAACTGAGGATAGTCTTCCTAAAGCATATCACAATTATGCAAAGAAATTTGAGTGGGAGACGAAAAGCAACACGAGCTCAGGTGATCTGCAGGGATTTTCGAAGGATAAAATGTTCATGAACAAGTGTGGAAAAAGAAAACTCAGTGATTACAACGCAAAACAGATGAAAACTGAGTCACTAAGACAGAACGTGACAGATTCAACACAAATGCTCCGTAGAGAGAATCTAAATCAACATACCGTGAATATGCGCAATTCAAGCTTTTAAACTTTGAAAATTATTTCTAGGTGCAGACAGAAACGCAGAACTGGCATAATCGAGCAAGAAAATCTACCGAAGCGAGAGTCTGGAACGATTGTTGATCTTCAGTAAGGCGGTGTTGATTCCAGTCGTTGGAATCGCCGGACTGTGCAGTTCCAGCTTCCTCCACCGACGGTACTCGGGAAGATGTTGTCGTGGAAATTCCGCATGAGCTCAAACACGCAGCTCCAGATCCTCGTTTTAGAGAAATCCTCCGGACCAGACGCGCGGCAGCAGAAGACGAAATCATTCTCCCTCTCTCTCCTGTCCTGCAAACTGTACAGATCGATCGAAATTCCTCCCGGGCCCCTAATTCTCCTCCCTGCTGCTCTTCACGCCTTCCCGTTCAAAAAACTGGACTATCCAAACACCGTGAGTTTACCGAATCTCTACTTCTCCTCCCCAAACTACCCGCCCACTCGGTGATCGACCGGCTCCAGCACGAGAACCACCTGAAACTCACTTCTGCCGACTCCAATCCGTCCTTCAAGCTCAGAAGATTCACAACTGCTCAGTCTCTAGCTCACTTTTCCGCTCGAGATTCGTTCCAGTCCGCGAACAACAAGTCATCATTCTGAGAACGACCGACGGAGAATACCAACTGCAGTCACTTTCTGGGCCTCGCAATTCGTAAAAGGCAGTGGAGAAAAAGTGACACGGTGAAAATTCATCGAATTCTGAGCTTGTCGATGTGCCCGCGCAGACGGAGAGGGAGAAAATTCCGAAAATTCTCAACGTCCCATCTCGTCTCCGTCCCTTTCCATGACGACACTGGTGCCCTCACTAACGAACTTCTCCAAATTTGTCAATCTCCTCGCCTTCCAGCTTCTGCTCGAGCTCGGGTAGGACCGATGGAAAACTCCGGTCGCCTCGACAGTGAACTGCAGTCTCGAACCAAGTTTCCACTGGAGGAGAAAAAACTGACCACTGATGCAGCTCGTATCTACCAGCTTCTGTCTGGTAATACGAAATTTTAACCCCCCAGTTCAACTGCGTACGAAACTGAAATCTAGGGCTACTTTTCTCCATCCACGAGTCGAAGATGGAGAGTATAATGCGAGTGAGAATCCCCTTCTCTTCAACCCATCCATCCGCTCAAGAAATCACCAAAAGCATGTTCGTTTATAGTTAGGCACTTTGATAGTTTTGCATGCCCTGATTTCAATTAGGAAGTTACGTAGTTTGGAGAATATAATCACCGAACCGAGTAAGAATCAGAGACGGTGACGATCTTGTCCCGGTGACTGTGGTCGGGAGCGATGAGCCACCACCGTCGGAAGGAGTTGAGGGACCAAGGAGGAAAAAGCAGAGTTCACTTTCCCTGAGGATGCGTTGAATTTTCCTTACGAGCCATGTCAGCGCTGAGTCGGGACGGCTGCGACACGTGGTCTGGAATTCAGCCCAGTCATGCTCTCCAGCTTCTTATCCGCGCGGAAGAGGGCCATGTCAGCTGTGATTCACGCTCTGGTCTGCGGAACATGCCCCGTGGACAGCAACACGTGGGCCCCTAACTCCTCGCACATGGTCTCGCGACCCGCGTCCCAGGCGGGCGAGCCGACCTCGGTCCCCTCTAACTCCCCCGGAAACCCGTCCCCAATTCCTCCTCCTCTTCCTCCTCCTTCGCAACCTTCTTCTGCAATTCTCCGATCCGAGACGGTGGAAATTTCTTCCGACCTCGTGCATAAGAACTCCGACTTCTGATACGAAGCGCTCGGAGGAAGGAAGGAGGGCTCGCACGATTGACCGAGAAAAGGAAGAGATCGGAGATACGGAATGACTTAAAAAAATAAAATTTGATGACGGGAAGTGACAGCGACACTGAGCAGATGGCGCGATGCTCGGAGCTCAGCGCTGCAGAGTGACGACGGCGTGTCTTCCATGCCTCCGCTGCCTGCAATTCGAACGCGAACGTTCGAGCCCCGCGTTGTGGGGCCTGGACCGTCCCGGGTCCACTGCTTCCTTGCACTCCACGACGAGGCCTTTCGGTCGAATCCCGCTCGGACGTACGACGATGCAGCCGCTGCGGGTCGACCGAATGAGGGAACCATGCCCGCTCGGCGAGGAGGAGGAGGAGGAGGAGCGGACCCTGGATTCAAATTGGGCCGAAATGAATCCGGAAACGGCTCCAGGCGCAACAATTTGCCGTGGTCGGAAGGCAAGAATCGGCCCGACGAACGCTCGGCGTCTCGTGCACCTCCTCGTCTTTTCGATGTCGCTGCAACGGGCAAATCATTCCAAGTCAGACAGATTGCCTTATAAAATGCCTCGCTCCTACTTCCACCTCGCACGCACTCCTCTCCTTTCCGGAAATTCTCCGCTGAATTTTCACTCGCTGCTGAGAAACTCTCCTCCATTTTTGCACTCAATTCTACGTCATAAATCGTCCGTAATTACTTCACTCGATCCGTTGATGCTTTCCTCGGCTTTGGGAGCACAGCCATGGCCATCATTCGAGAGAATTGCGTGCGAGATCGAGGGCTGATTCTAGCTCTGGTTGTTATGAACCTGTGTCTTGCATCTGTTCACGTTATCGGTCAAACAGATATTCCCACAACAACGGATCCGCTTCTCTCCTTCGGATTTTACGCTACGAGCTGTCCACGAGCTGAGCGCATTGTCCGAGATGCCATGCACGAGTATTATCTAAATGATCCCAGACATGCTCCGGCTATACTGAGATTGTTTTTCCACGACTGCTTTGTGCAGGTGAGTGAGTGAGTGATGAGGTCAAGGGTAGGGACAACTTTCTGGTTTGTGTCAAGCCAGGTCCTGTAGTGCTAGTGGTCTACTACTCTCCTCTTTCGGATTAGCCGATGCACAATTCAATCCCCGTACAGTGTCTACCAATTCCTGGCCAAGGCAATAGAGGTCAAGCTCAATTAGTCGATTGTCATCTGCAGTGAGCTTTCAGTTCCAGAGATTTCTGTGTGAGAACTCCATGCAAAAGCTTATAATATCAGGACAGCTTTAGATTCGCCCAGCATCGATTTGTCCCTCAGAAAGTAAACGAAATTGTCGATTGCTGAAGATGAAGATTAAGGAGCGAGTCAAACCCATGGAATAGTATTAGACCAAGGAAAAATTGTGGGAGCTGGGTTCGGTGTCTAGAAAGCATTACGTTCATTGGCTAGATCCGTTGTACTATGAGTGCCTGGAGATCTGATCCTTGCAACATCTGCAATGTCAATTTTGCAGGGATGTGACGCATCTGTTCTGCTAGATACAGCAGACCCGAAGGAGCCGGCAGAGAAGGAGGCGGCGCCCAACTTACATTCTCTACGCGGCTTCGAGCTCATCGATGATATCAAAAGTAGAATCGAGGCTATTTGTCCGCGAGTTGTGTCGTGCGCAGATATTATCGCTCTTGCAGCGAGGGAATCCGTCCTTCTGGTATGCTTCCACGTTCACACCATCTCTAGAACATCTAGAACTTTCTCACATGCCAAAAATTCCATGTCGAAGTTTTAATTCCAAAACCAAAACTGTGACGGTGCAGAACACTCCCGACAAGATATACGAGTTTGTTCACTTCAGAGTCACCATTGACATGCAGGTCTCAGGTTTTGGCTCACCGATTTCGAGCAGAAGGCGAAAATGAATAACTTCTACATCTTCATAGTATACGTATAGAATATGTATTGTTTACACGTAGTCTATTGTCAAAGGAGCTTATACAAACTGAGAGAGAGAGTTGTCTCCAGGTACTTGCCTGACACATTTTGCTGCACGTGCAGACTAGGGGCCCAAGGTTTGCAATGCTCACAGGGCGAAGAGACGCCAGAACTTCCTCAGCAGCCAGGGCGCAACGCGATATTCCTCTGCCAGATGCTGACTACGATACCATCACCAAATCCTTCAGATCCAGGGGTTTAAACGAAGTTGATGTCGCTGCACTTCTAGGTGAATTCACTCACTCTTCGGTTGCAATCGTCCACTTCCTGTCCTGCTCGCCACGAACTTTTTACCCAAATTCTCAAGATTGCAGTCGCAGTTCTTAGTTCCGTAAGTTCTCATTCTTGTGGACTTTCACTGAATTTACACACATCGGGGATCTATTCTAGTCAAAGAAGTTTTCTGAACTGAGCAGAAAGAGAATTGGAGAGTATCTAGGATTGGACCCGAGTTCATGCGGTCAAGTAGACTTGAGGAAGCTCATGCTCAAGATCAGTAAGACGAACAATTTGAGCAGGGAACACATGGCGAAATTTGATTAATGTTCATCGGAGTTCATTCTCCCGTGCCACTTCTGCAGGAGCACATACGATAGGACGCTCGCAATGCAAGTTCGTCAGGAACAGGAACGTGGAAAGCACAACCTGCTCAAATCATGGAAATCATACGACGGACCTGGACATCGGAAGCGGGGGAATTTTCGACAATCATTTCTTCGTCAACTTACGCCGAGGACGCGGCATTTTGACGGTGGACGACGCTCTGATGTCTCGGTTGAATTCTTACTTGCGAGTCACCGCTTTCGCGTACGACAACGAGCTTTTCTTCGACCAATTCGTCTCGTCTCTTCTCAAAATGTCCAGCATCGGCGTCCTCACGGGAGTGGACGGAGAAATTCGCCAAAATTGTAGCGTTGTGAACGGTCCGGGACCTCTTAACCCGTTCAACGACGAAGTCGTCACTCCTCGACATCATCCTCCTCGTCATCCAAAGAAGCCAGTGGTCATATCTGGACGTGCAACCGGATCCCAGTCATGACCGTATCGGAATGGTCACTCGAAGCGTGCAGTATGCGCAACGACATCCTAAGGTGTCTTCGCCTTCAAGCAGATCAGCTGTTTCTTATGTAGCTTATTTTTCATAATTGGGGCTCCGCGGCTTTGACATATGATTCTGGGATAGTGATGGGTTCCAGAATTGTAGATTTCAGTGGCGACTGGACAGGAACTTTGTCTACCTCTTGAACTCGAGCCTAGAGCCGTATTTCTTTCTTCGGTGTTGTCCTGGACGGTACAGCGCACGAGATCAAAGAAGGATGCAATTGACTGAATATTATTTCATCTTTCCAAAACGAATGCTAAACACAAATCCGTTTCTTGATATCGGGCACCTTTCGGCGCCGTCTCATGAACCGTGTTAAACTTTCCTCCGAAGAGACTTTCTTGATTTTCATGCCGTCGTCGTCTTGTGACTCTCATTGGGTTGATTCTTCTCATGCCCTGCAGACAAGAAGTCATGTCGAAGCGCGGCGGGGGGAGCGTGTTTTGTTGGCAGGAGGAGAAAAGCATTAAATTAGGACACCGCCGCCCTTCCAGCAACTTTATCCTCCACCACAAGAAACTGATCGCCACCCCGCCCCGCCCAGCCCAGCCCAGCGCCCGAGTCATCAGCGAGCGGAACGAGCTCGTGAATACATCGTGCAACCGATCGCCGATCGAGTGGAGGAATGTCGCGGGAGGAATCTATCCAAGTCCCCACGAGGCACGCAGGGAACTGACGCCGACTCCGCAAGACAGGAAATCGGACGACGACCAATTGACGCGAGCTCGTGTGGAGGAGAGATTTCGAAGGCGGATGCGAGCCGAGTCGCCATGGACAGGCAACACATGGCCAGTTCGCAAAGCCCCGAGCGCGCGACGCCATGACCACCACAAGATCATTGGTGGCACGAAGCCCCGCAGCCCCCTCGTTCTTGGACCTACTTAAAGCACTTTTTTGGACCCGAGCCTGTAGATCGATCCATCCATGGATCGGACTTTGGAATCTTCTTGTGCCTTGGGTAGATTCCGACGGTTCGATCGAGTTGAGGCGATCGGGAGAGGAGCTTTCTCGCATCGCCGTCGATCACACGTCACATAATCTGGTCCACGTATTTGAGGACTCAAACTGTACGCCGTACTCATTTTGAATACGGAGTAGAGGGTACGTCGTGATTAATCTTTGTCACGCAGCTCACAAAATGATTGCCCTTTGTGAGTAAATAAAACTGCAATTAAAATGCCACCTACTCGGAGAATGTGAATTATCGATTACTTCACTCCCGTCATTGTAGTGACATTGGGCGCTTGTGATTCTACTTAGGTACATCGTTTGAGTGTATGTGAATGATGTGTGAGTATGTAGGTAGCAACTAGAGGTCTTCCACCAATCAGAGAATAGCGTATAGTAGGGTGAGGGCTGATTAGCCCTAAGTGAGGGATAACTAGCCCCTCACTTCCTATCAAATTATTCTCCACCATATACTCGAGCAGATATACTAAGTGTACTCCCTTGTACCAAAAGTTTCTTTCGACATACTCTAGACCATCTCTTTGAGGGGATCCTGATACTCGTCTTACTAAAGCTAGTCTCCGGTATTGCTCTCAACGACATGCTTTGAATTTTTGCCCAACCATGGATAAAGGGTTCCAATTTGTAGGAGCTAGATTGTATTTTCTCTATTACAATGAGGTTTTCATTGGGTTGGAAACATGTTTGCGAGAGAGAGATTCAACGGCACTTGTGACATAGAATGTGGGGTTATCTATAATATAAAAAGACCAAATTGTAATGATTAACATGGAAGTAAATCTACCATCCGATACAAATTCTTTAAGAATGTCAGATTATATAAACTGATACTCAACATGTACAGATTACTCTACAAATGATACTTGTAATCCAAAAATTAGAAGCAAGTTAATAAACAGAGCTTCTAATATAAAAAGTTAGTATATAATGGATATACCAATAGACATTTCACATCGTGAGGTTGGACCTATATACCCCTCCTTTTCTCTCTTATTCGCTACCTTTTGATTGTTACAAATGATGAAAAGGATTTTACCACCAACGCCATTCCGCTTCTTCTGAAGCGAACCTGTTTCATCTTTCCATTTAGCTTCGGTTTAGCTTCCCGCTCCCTTTTCGGCTCTCTTTAAGGTTCTCTCTGGACCTTGACCCCTTTCAGATTTTAATATGCGGTGAAGCCCAGCAGGAAATTTATGACAGCCTACGTCTTAAGCAAATAGGGGCGTTCTTGCAAAACAAATCAGCGTCAGTGACCTACCTCAGAAAAACATCCCCGCGCATACCCAAATGTTCCACCGTCGGATGTCTGATCTGACTGAAGAAAATGACTTTGAGGGAAGTACATATCACTACGGCATGTCGACGGTCAGGAAGACTACACTCAGGTTGGGGAAAGCTCGACCTTAAAGGGAAGAGCCACGCAGACGTGGCAGAAAAGTTGGCAAGGGGACAAGGCGAGGATGATGTGGCGGTCCCGATGGAACGGGAAAGCTTGCACAGCCAGAACCTGGGTCTGGGAAAAGTGCAGCGGCCTGCACTTTTGGGAGGAGGTGGCTGTTAACGGCTGGACGGGAACTGGTCGGCACCACACCTTTCAGTCAGTGGCCAACAAGTCACGAGGAGCTGGCAGATCATGTCGTGGCCATGGATTTGTCGTGCGGGCCTTCGTGTGCCAGTTTCTCACCGTGGAGCTGCTCGAGAGCGAGACGGGCTTTGTGGTGGCCCCGACGTCCTTCCTTTCCTATGGGCCACATTCGAACCGGCCGACTTATCTGAGACTGTCTTCCTCCCTCACGCGCCGGGAGCACGAGCGAAATCTTATGGCGCTCCTGCGATTTGCACCTCGCGCTGTACTTCCCGGAGATGGAGGCGGAGGACACGAGAACGCTTCCAACACTTAGACCTGGCTTTGCTGCGGAGACGAGCTTCATTTCGGTGTTGTGCTGTGGCGTCGGTGGTGGCGGGAAGTTCTTCGGACTCTCGACCTCGAGTCCTGTCAGAGATCGAGGCCGTTGGCGAGACGACTTAAGTTGTCGCAAGACGAGGCTCCATCGTCGAAGCCCCTCGAGAACTCGGTCGGTGATGGCGACTGCGCCTTCGCGTCAAGTGTGGTCGTCGGATTGAGCAGCCTCTTCTCACGAGGTGCGTCCTGTGTTCTTCATTGTGCCGTAGTTGCGGTCCGTGAATGTTTGGCTGTCCCTGTCTCGTCTATATTCGGCTTCGAGCTGATCTCTAGTAACTCCCAAGATATTTTCTGCTTCTTATAATTGTCATAATGATTCTGATTGTGGGCGTCAATCCCTTCAAACCACTCAAATTTCCTTGCCCGTTCCAGTACGCTATCACAGAACTACTGGTTTTTCGACACAAGCTGCCAACTTCTGTCATGTGTCCGTAATCAGCTTACAGCAATTAACCTGGTGACGAGAACTATTTTCTATGAAAGAACTGATCCAAGTTGATTTACAGAATCCGAAGCCTTCTAACTTTGATAGTCGTGGAAGTGATAGTAAATCTGACACACGTCATGAAACCCAAATTGCAGAAATGAATTAAGCTTTGAGGGCTTACTGGCTTGCTGGCTCCTCGGTGAAGATTTGGACGGTGATCGTGAGCGGGGAACATGTGCGGGACTCGTAGCCACTGGCCGTCTTCGTGTACTTCATCATTGCGGCAGAATCATGAATGCTCCCAAACCCGGAAGAGGCTTAGGGTTACGAACGGAATCCTTCTTCAAAGGTTTTTATCCTGCTCTGTAAATACCCTAGGCCCGAAAATTCATCTGCTGTCGAGTTTCCGTTTAGTTTCACATCGTTTTAATCGTGGAATGATCGAATGGTGCTTGCTCGAATTGCTGACCTTATTGAGCCCTCTTTCTGTAGATATGGCTCGGGTGTGAAGATTTCGTGCCTTCATGGATTAGAGCTTCTCAAGGCCCAGGAGGACCCTCTGAATGCATTCAAGGTCTGCAGGGCAGTCAGATTCCCCAAGTCGAAAGGAGGGTTCCAGTTTCACGACTTTGGCTGGGCCGGCGTACCGTCGGAATGGCCTCCTCGAGTAGCAGGCAAGAAGGCAGGGCCCAAGGGCCGGAAGGGCGTGGTGGTGAGCGTGGTGAAAGATGCAGGAGCTGATGGTGCGTCAGTGCTGCATCTCATAGGACCGCCTCAAATTCAGCGACCATCGACCGTCCGGGCACAGAGCAATACGGCAGTTGCTCTCGACTGTAAGGTCGACAGCAGAGACGATGTGGAAATTGAAAGAACGGGTCTTGCTTTCAGAGCGCGACCTGCACCCAAGAGGACGACGAGGCAGACGAAGGTGAGAATTAAAAGCCCGAGGGTCGCCCCGGCCAATCCTCACCAGAGTTACAGACCGAGAGGAAACAATTTTCAACCCTGCTCACCGAAGGTGGCCGAAGTGGTGGCATCTTTGTTACGATGCAAGAACGACTCTGGCGCTGTGGATATCGTCATGGAAAATTTCGACACCTTGTCCAAAGTAGACATCTCCGGCGTTCTATCAGAGTTACAACAGCGACAAGAGTGGAAATGGACGCTTGAGGTATGGTGTCTCTGTTCTTCATCATCTCCTGACGTGAACAATTTATTAACGGCAGTGCGGATGTGTTTCAATCTAATGTTGACAAATTGGCATGAATGAAGCTTGCCCTTATAACCAGCCGTACCACATCGAGAGAGTGACCTCATGATGTGAGAATGGTTTGTGCAACAGTTTTTCAGCTGGATGAAAAAGCAACCGTGGTACTTCGCCAATGCCCGACAGTACACAAGGCTGATTGGATTTTTGGGGCGGATGGGAAAGGTGGATCTAGCATGCCTCTACTTTCAGGAAATGCTGCTTGAAAAGTGTAAGCCGGACCAATATACGTTTACTGCGATGTTGAATGCCTATGGGAGAGCTAAGATGTACGATGAAGCTTTGGCAGTTTTCAGCTACATGAAGGAAGCCCAAGATGAGGAGTGCAAGCCAACGACGGTGACTTGTAACGCCATGGTAGATGCCCTTGTTAAGGGAGGACAGTATGAGCTGGCAATCAAAACATTCATGGACATGCGAGAGGGGGCGAATGGCCTCGAGAAAAATTGTGCCCCGAATGTTGTCACTTACAACATTCTGATCGATGCTCTCTGCAAAGAGAACCTGGTGAAGGCTGCTATTAAAGTCCTCTATCAGATGAGCAAGGGGGATCCAGAGCACGCAATAATGCCCAATGTTGCAACTTACAATACCCTTATCAATGCCTGTGGAAAGAGTGGACTCTATGACAAGGCGGAGGAACTGATGGAACATATGCAAGGATGTGGTGTGGAGCCTGACCGGATAACTTACACTGCTCTCATTGACGCCTACGGGAAGGCAGGGCAGTGTGAAAGTGCTGAAAATCTATTCAAAGGAATGAAAGGTACTCACGTACAAGTCGACGTCATGGCATACACGGCAATGATAGATGCGTATGCCAGGGAAGGGCTTCACGAGAAAGCCCAAGATCTCTTCCAAACGATGTGCAGCTCGGGCATCCGTCCCAACCAAGTCACTTACCTCGCGCTCATGGAAGCTTACGGCAAAGCTGGTCTCCCAGAGGAAGCCAAAAATGTGTACATGTCGATGCAGTCGCAGGGTTGTCAAGCGAATGTTTTACACTACAGCGCCCTTATCGATGCTTATGGCAAATCTGGGCTACACAAGGAGGCTGCAGGCATCTACAAGATGATGAAAAGGGCAGGAGTTCGACCTAACCTCGTGACTCTTTCGGCCCTCCTCGCCTCAGCAACTCGGTGCAACAGCTGGGACGACGCCATGACCCTCATTGCATGCTTACAACACAGTGGAACGGAGTTAGAGCGAAGTCTATGCACCTTGCTTTTGGGCGAGGAAAGCATCGTCGTAGAGAGCGCGCTAAAACGCCTGGAAAACTTGAGGGAGCACAGACAGCTGCGCCAGTCCCTCTACAACTCACTGATGGACGTCATGTGGCGGTTCGACATGAAGGCCAAGTCTGCTAAGGTTCTGGCTGTCTGCAAACAACATGGCATCTACGCTGATGAATACACATCTGCCGAGTGGAATGTAGATCTGCATGGTCTTTCTGTCGGGGGTGCAATGACAGCTCTGATGGCATGGCTCTCGGAGATTTACCTGGCTTGGCTTTGGGGAGAGGACACGCCACTGAAAATGAGAATAATCACAGGTAAGGCCTCTACTCACAATGTCATGGTCGCCAACGAAGCATGCTCCCCATGCTTAACCAGTTTTTCTATTAAGTTTTGGACCTGCGAGTATCTATATCGAGTCCTTATCTACTGTGCGATGTGCGCAACTAGTGAGAAGCAGTCTTGTAGTAGTAGTTCTAATTGCTCGACTTGGATTCTCTCACAGGAAAAGGGAAGCACTCAAGGTCCAAAACCTCGGCCTTGAAGTCCCCCGTCGAGGCTTTTTTGAGTGACCTGAATTCCCCGTTTTCCAGCTCGGATGAACGTTCAGGCTTCTTAGCTGCTTCTGGAGAAGACGTCCGAGCTTGGCTATTTTCAGCTGGAATCAAAGAGGGATTGCAATTGACAAAACTGGACAGCCTCAAAGACTCGGAAGGAGTGATCTAGATCTCCAACAAGCTCAACCAGCACCTTGCTGTTTTGGCTGAGCCCAAAGCGGGGACTCCTTCATGGTACAGATATGAAGCACTAAGTAAGTCCAGACTGCCTCGTTCTACAACTTTCCCGCTCTGTGTTTATGGTCTGTCTGAGTGGCATAGAGAACAGTTGCCTTATTGCCTTGTCATAAATTAGATAACAGAAGACTGACGCCTCCTCTGTTGCAGCAGATTCCACGGGTGCTCAATACGCGGAGAAGTATGTATAGCTCATTAATCGCCGGCCACTTAGTATCTCACCTGATCAAAAAGGGTGGTGTGGACGTTTTCATTATCTGCGGAGTTACCTCAATCACTGAGCCTCGTTTCGGAAATGTATAGTATACCATTGTTAGATTCTTCCCACGTAAATACCCGTGGCAACGGATTGCCGAATATAATGTCCTTCAGTAGATGCAGAGTGTAGGACGATGTACCATACCTTTGGGAGAAAGAACGCTGTAGAATATGTGCAACTGCGGTCTGTAAAGTAAAGAAATCCTCTTCGCTCGCTTTTGGAAGTTCAGACGGCACCCTTGCCCACAAACATTTTCTTTGAGATTTTCCTGTCAACTGAAGGCCTACATTAATGTGGAGGAAGAAAGGTGCATACCAACACGGTCCGGACATCTCAAAACGTCATCTAGGCTTGTGACAAACTGCCCTGGGAAGTCAATGAAAAGATCGGATCTGAATAAGTCTCTGTAACAAGAGAGGTGATGTATGGACGGGTAAACCAATTTACAACTCGAGATGGGAATTGTGGGCATCAAAACTGAGACCTTTACAGTTTGGCTCATTTACGTAACAGAGGGTACTTCTCTCACGCCTACAAGTTTTAGTAGTGTGACTTGCAAATTCTATTTGATATGACGAGTCACACTACTCAGGTTGAGGTACATCTACTTGCTCTATCTGACTAAAAATCCTCGCTTTGCTTTGTCGACGCCAATTCTGCATTTGGCAATAGTCCTCTCTACAAATATTCTCGCTTTCTGTTAACAGGTTTCAGTTTAGCTCGAAATGTGTTCGTTACTTTAGCCTCATAGTTCTGGTCCTGTTTATGTTTCCAACTCTGCCGATGGTGCACTGTTTAAGTCTGTGAACCTTAGTTCAAGACTGAAACACACGAAGACCCTTGAGTAGAAGAAGAACGTATTTCTCAGACAATGTATGCCTGAAGTATACGTTCTTTTCAGCACGTTGTCACTAAAATAGTACCTAGTAAAAAGCCCAGGCGTATAATAATCGCTACGTAGGAACGTGCAATGTACCCTCGACCTATCTCATACCAAGAGGTCGTATGACGTAGGTACTGCAGCAATGAACCTAGGTCCTGATAACCCCCAGGAATGAAAGCGAGGTAAGTAAATAACTTGCATATTCAAAATTAATAAATGACAAAGCTTCGCCTTTACTCGGGCTTAAATGCGTCGAGTAATTTTCAACGAGTCCCACCTCCGTGAACCACATTTTTAGTGTGGAATTCAGCTGCTTTCCCATGACATGTTACGAATCGATGAAACGGAGTGATTACTTCAGAAAAGAGAAGGTACTTTGTTTTTGGTCCAGATGGAAAGGAATTTTCTCTCAAAGGACAAAGCATCTTCCCATCTTCGTTACTGCTAACAAGGCGAATGACACTCTTCCTCGCACTTCACATTCATCTCAAGGATATCCCTCTTTGCAATCACAGACCAGGATTATAAGGGTTACGTGTAGAATTTCACTGCTCAATGTCAACTCCATCCATCATAGGCTTCTTCCTTCACACCACGATGTCTTTAAGCAGTTTCAACTATAGTTAAATAGATGATGTAATCAAAGACGTCTATATCACTTCTCTCATACAGTGTCAAGCTTTTTTTTTAATGCACCTCTTTATTAGATGCGTAAATACTCTTGGGAAGTAGGTAGATAGGTTGACAATCAATATAAGAGTAATAATTAAAACATTTCACACTCGGATGGATCTTCTAATGGAAGAAAGTTTGATACATGCGATACATCCTCAACACGTATGGTGCATAAGTAGTGTAGTACAAAGTATTTATACTCAATCGTCTTCCAATAATGCCTAAGCTATCTGTTGATTGGATTGGAACGTGTGGATTCAGAATAATGTACTAATTGATAACCCCACACACTTGTGGGAAATGGAGTCCTCCATTTCCCAACCTTGGTTTATTTAGTATACAATGTAAGCTTTCATCTTCAAAGGAGACAGACAAAAAACTTGGTACGCGCCACGCGATAGATTAACAGCTCTTCAATGAGATATGGTAAATATGCCATAGTGGACATAAACAGTATCGTCTTCTCAATAGGAGAACCCATACACAAACAATGTAGGAAGTACCATTCAGATTATATAACTCTTCGTCGAGCCTGTCCTTAAATCTTACACCCCAACAATAGAGTAGAATTTGAAATATCTCATGGATGAGCTTGATTCCTAACAAGAGTTGACCCTGTGAACTTATGTAGCCCAATCTTCTTTTCAATATGTCCACTATAAGAAATTGGCTTTCTTATATCCAACATGCCGGCCAGTTTAACATAAAAGTTATATTGAAAGTATGAACACAAAAATTTAATGTAAATTCTTCCTTAGGATGAGTTACGTACCAATCTAGAGGTAGACTAAAAGCCTTCATGTGGGAAAGTAGATACTAAATGTGAACACGTGAAAGTATCTTAGACGGTGGAATTGGATAACAATAAAGGTGGGAATACATTTCCCACCTTGTGGGAGTACAAGGATGAAACCTACCACTTATCCCCTATCATATCGTATAGAGAATTATCTATAATATCTACAATGTTTGAAATATCAATATGTCTATTAAGAAAAATTAGTTATCTTACGTGCCAAATCATATCTTGAAAAGTTCACTTATAACCTTTGATACATCCCTCTCATTCACTGTCTTCATTTCCTCTTCTCAAGTACTGCGAAAATTGCTTTCCCTTATTTCGCTAGCAGACATCTATAGGCCAGGTATTTCAACAAGATTCGATCTCCACAGCGAGGAAGACTCGTATTGCTCATACTCAAATAGGCTGAGACTTACAAACAGATCGTTGATTGATTTTTCATTGATCATTCGGATAGTAAGAAATGACTTCTAAATTAAAACGTGAATAGCTTAAACTGTCAAAGATTGAAAGTTAGAATCAGATCGTTAGAGGAATAGTTGGCGAAGAGTAAAGTCGAACTGAAATATGTACGTAACGAGGCTACTCTCGAAATCTGTAGAGAGCAGTTTCAGTAGGCATCTTAGGTCTGGCTTAGGTAGGTAGAGGCTGGAGGTCAGAGAGCCATGGGTCAACCCTGTCGGAAGTCAAGAAAGTGGACGGGTTTATTGACTTGAAGTAGACCTGAAAATCGTATCATGGAGTTGGAATAATGGAAATACAGTGGACGGCAAACACTTATAAGTGTAAGCAGTTAGCCTACTTTACAACATGCTACTGTACCATATGCGCTGTCCAAGTTCGATGTGGACAAGGTAAAGAGGGTTGGAGCAGACATTTTTAAAATATACTCTGATGTGAGATACACCTACACTGGCATCAACAAATCACGGTGTCCCATCATCAACTGATGTACAATTGACAAGTACATCTATGAGGTTGCGGCATGACCAGATTGCACCTGAATATTGGTCAAAACCAGCGAATTTTTTAAGTTGAGTATTCTACACAAATATGGGTGGAAGCATACCTTTAAGTTAGCTCGCAGATCTGCATTGGAGTGCTGCAGACACCAGCGGTTTGGTAACCGAGGTTTGTGCTAGCGATAAAACCTGGAATTAGAACAAGTAAAAAGCAGACCCACAGTTTGGACACGAAATATTAGATCAGGCAAGGACTCACTCCTTACGTGAAATTTTTGCAAGGTCAGGGACATCAACACGTAAAAGTAAACCTAAAACTGGTTAAAACTTTTCCATAGTCTCCAAGTAGATTGATTACAACCTTAAGAGGAGGACGGCTGTAGATTGTGAGCAAAATTTGCAACACAAGGCTAAATATCTTATATCTGAATGTTGAATTCCAACAGTCAGCACAATTCAAAACCTCGGTTCTAATAGCAGCACATTCATCCGGACGCAGATTTTACTGTCTAGTGTGAGATTTCACTCCAAGTGAAATGTCTCCCATATGCCTGAACGATCGATTGGCTGGAACCTCCCCTAGTTGCTCCTCGCTAATGGGATTTCTCTGAGTTGATACTTATGTAACGATCATCCCAAATGCAATGAACGATGTATAAAAATAGAAGGCTGGGAAAGGAGATCGCCTTTAGAAGATCTCTGGCTAGACAAAGATGAAAATGCAAATCATGGGAATCTTATCAACACTAATATATTCATCTTCCCTGGACCATATATTAATCATGTGAACGCTTCTTGCCCAGGGTAATATTCTTGGGCACATACTTTTAAACCGTAATCATTCGTGTAGGTAAAAAGTTTCACCTACAGAAACCTCTAGCCTACGCTGATTGAAAGATGTGCTAAAACCAACTTGTTTGTTGTTCGTGTGCAAATTTTCAGCCTGGCAGTTTTCCCGGGACATCGAAAGTCCGTGAAGCCCTTTGCCTCATCCCAAGACTCATTATCTCCTGGCAGCCCCATCGAGACCGGAGACCAAGGCTAAAGTTTTGAAACTTGATCACATCCAAATCTCAGATTCAAATTCAGAACCTGCCCACTTTTGATTATCACCTGCTTTCCGAACGTGTGATGATAAGAGGAGAAACCATCCTTCGCGAGTGACCTTGCCAATAGTGTGGTCCACACTATTTAGTAGGCACACATTTCACTGCCCCAATACTATGCAGGCATTAGTGTTATCCACTAAGAATAAAGCCCTTAGCGTTAGCGTGGTGGACATCATCTAGTCGACGCTTTTTAAATACGAGTTGTAAATCTCGACCACGTTCCTACAGAAATCTAAACCAATTGCTTTCTCCAAGCGGCGGCTTTTCGTCCAGTCAGGATTCGCGAATTGGAGAGCATGATAAATCAGGCGACCCAAATCGTCCAACAATATTTGTCTGAGGAAAGGAACATGCGTAAACAGTGAAGATGTTGGAATGATCAAATTTTGCAGATTCAAATCGTACTTCACTGGAGATTTGATCTCCTAAGGATATCGGTACAATAATGTGCTATGAAGTTGATCACCGTGTCATACACAGTTGTTCAAATGCATTTCAATGCATCGCATCATACAGCAGATTTCACAGGAGTTTCGATTCCACCTTGTTTTCTCACACTTTACTGAACCGGCTGTTGATACACTGGTGTGCAAACCACACTGCTCCATTTTGCCGCAATACGAGGAGTAACCTGACTAGTTCGTGATTCTTGGTTAGCGCCCACCAAAGTCCCTGTCGTTCTTTCGGCATCCTTCTTCGAAAGGACGAGAGCGGCTTATTATGGTAGGCGCTGCGGTTCCTGAACTCAGTGGAAGCATCACGTTTCTTGACATTGTAAAACTTTGCTGAAAGACAACGGGAGCCGTTGCGACTTATCAACGGCAAACAAGTCATCACTCGAGGCCCCACCTGACCCAAGAATCAAACATCAATCACTTCTTAAGTGACCATGTTACGTGCAAGCCGAATTATTTGCATATAATAATTATAGATCAAATCAGAAAATCGTTAAGTGTGCGGTCTGTCTAGGATGATACCGAGCATTGAGTTTTACGTTGGTTACTACATCACGTCTTCACCCCGCAAGCTCTGCAGAGATGATGCGGGCTTTAACCACACGGAGGTCATCTCATCTCAGCCTATATTCTCTCGCCTTTTTGCTTCTGAGGTTTGAGGGAAAGACCGTAAATCGTAAAAATCGTAAGTCGAGATTTTCTACCTACGTTCTTGTCCCAAAAGGGGGAGTTGAGGAAGAGTTGAAGGGGAAGTTGAGGAAGAGTGGGGCCCTTGGGTCCTAGGAAGTTCATGTGAAACAAATTTACAAGTCAGTGGTTGGAGGTATTAGAGTATGCTATAACATCTCACTATAAATGATAATAAAGAAAGTTTCAATTAATTCACACAACGAGCGTACCTATGAGAAACCTGAGGACAGGTCTGAGACTGCCGAGAGGCAAAACCAAGCATATTCATGAGTCTGGCAACAAGCCATCACCTCGGACCGGGATAGCGGAAATCCGGCAGAAAAGGCTCCGGTTATGTATCGGGTGATGAAGATAAACCTCATGTTCTTTCCTCAAACCTCGAGCACAGGACAGGACGATGACATGCGTACTCTGCCGAGGAAGACTACGTATCTCCATAAAGCCCACGCTACGAGATATGATTGCTAAATCTACCTTCGCACCTCTTATTAGTCCAAGCCAGAGAGCCATCAAATTTGCATCAGAGTCTCAGAGAGTCGGTCAGACGCTCTGTCGTTTTCGAGCTCACCAAAAGCTATTCAACGTAAGTAAAAAGCTGAATCTACTAGCACTTCTCTCATTAGCCTCCTACCTCGCAGTCTATCATCAATTGAATCATGAGTCAGTGGGCATCGTCGTCCCTCAACTACTTTCGAGAGAGAAAATTACAAAAAGCGTGAGTCACGGTGCTTTTCCTTGTTGGCCTAGCAAACTTGGACGACGCCAGGTAGTGGCTTCCTTTCCGGGGGGCAATCAGCAGGTGTGTTAGTGTGGCAATAGTACCACAACGCCAGTCATTTCCTTTTCATCTGCGGCCAGCACTCAGAAATGAGTCGGTTTATTGGAAGTCAGAGGAAGCACGTATGAACCAAGGTTGTAAATATGCCGGCCTTTAGGTCGCGGGTGGAAGGTATATGGCGTCAATGGAGGAGTGATAGAGAGAGAGAGAGACTCCGTTGTCAGCAGACAAGGCAGAAAGGAGCAAGCAACCTTCTGCCGTGCTGCCTAGCCAGACCATGAGCAGGCCGGCAGTGCGGTCCCGTGAGCATACTCACTTACAATTTCTGATTTCCTAGGGTCTCTGACGCACACGATTCTTTTACACTAATATATTTATTATCTCAACTTCTAAGCCCAAGGTCCGGTCTTGCATTGTCCTACCCCACCGGCAGACATGATCTGCGTGTGACTCATTTTCCCTCACGACGGGTAAAAGCGGTTCTGGCTTATCACTACGGTACTAGCGGTCCTCAGTTCACTCCCCTATGCTCACGACCTTCCACGAGCCACCTCGACGGTACCTATCAAAATGGCTGCCGCTCGCCTCTCCTCTCCTCTCCGTCGACAAGCGAAGACAGCAGAGCGGGCCACAGCCATCTGCTCCCGCCTATTTACGTGAGTGAAGTCAGCAAAGCACACACTTCCTGCTTCCTCCTATTAACACTCCCACGAAACTTTTGCCTTTCCATGGCGCACATGTCCCTGATGCCTCGCTCAATGGCACAAACTTTACCAATCCCCCCCATCGCACATGTCAGCTCCATTACTCCGGTCAGCTGTTATGTCTCGCAAGTCTGAGCTATGACCGGCTCATGTACGGAAAGGCTTAACTACTGCGTGTAGGCCGAAGGAGATGGTCACTCTCCGCATTGGCCGGCGTAAGCCCAGAGCAGCAGTCTTGACCAATCGGCCCGGAGAAGCTTCATGTTGAATGCACTACAGTATCGCAAACTCAACTGACGACAATTCTCACCTTCGCTCGCTTGCTCGCTGCGTATGTATCGACCGACGCCCATACCAATGGCCGCCAGCGAGCCTCGCATTTGCATCGCGAAAAGAAGCGACCAAATCTCGCACCGATGCGGTACTTGGTTTCTGAAAAGTACTGCGACCGACGACCTGACATCGAGGACCGGATTGTCCGGATCGCTCGAGCGACCCTCGCTCGCAACAAACACTTACGATCCAGAACGCCGCATTACAGCAGCCTCGTGTCTCCCCGTCCCCATCATCATCGCATCACCCGCGGTTCATTCTCCTCGTTTCTCTTCGCCTCTCTGTCCGGTGACATCTCTCTCCCTCTCCCTCTCTCCAATTTGAAGCCCTTCCCGCGCTCCCGCCTTTGAAGGCCTTTTAAATCCTCGTAATCTGATCTTCCACCATAGGCCATACGCATGGCATACATCGTACACAAACCGTTCTACACTACACTAATACGATACCCAAGATACTGTATTAGAATGCTAGAGAGTGGAAAGCCAAATAATAATCATTATGGCCAGACCCCATCATTTCTTACATGGATGATACCAAACACCTCACACAGGGCTGGACTCCAATATTATCACGACGTTAAATCAGTTTCTACAAGAACTAGTATATCCTGACTATCTAGCTCTTTTGCCAACGTTAGTATTCCTAGAACTTGACCGTATTTGAATTTACTTTTCCTCCTCTGAGTTTATTTTCTCCTCGCGATAATTAACCACTTCTTCCGATTGTGTATATTCCGCTTGTCCTTCTTGCTACATCTTTGTTCCTCTTATTTTTGTAACACTAGTATCATTTTATCTGTTGTAGACGCATCGTCACCTTAAATCTCTCCTGATTTGTTGCTTTAGATGTCAACAATAACTGGCAGCATTTATGTCGACAATAGTGGTCGCTCAATATTGCCGTCATAGATTATTCCTTTTCAGGCTACGTTAGTGCCATGCTCATTCCTCATACATTCCGGTTGTTACTTTACCGGTTTCTTTTGGGAGGGCTCCTTTTCTTCATTTTCAACGTTTTTTCCCTTGCCAATCTGGTTGTGGGGTCACAGGCTTACGAGTACAACAAACAACGAAATCTCGTTGGTCGAAACGTGAAACATACGGAAGAGTGCATGTTTGCCCCCAGCACGATCGACGTTGTGATCTGGTGCTGTAGATTGCATATCGCGCCCACCCCAAGCAGAAACTGCTAAATGCAAACCCCGACCGAGAATTAAAGCTGCGTGGACTTGTATCTGAACCGTGGACCGGTTGCACAGTTGTGGTTGGTGGTTCCGACTGCTGGATCTACGAAGCAAGAGGACCGTAGACGTAGTGACGTGGGCTGGAGTCGGACATGTACGCAGTGCGTCGCGCCTCTTCGCAGGTCACGTGGCAGCAGCGGAAGATGATCGGAGCCAGTCACATGCCACGTTGACACGTACGGTTGGTCAGTACTAACTGGAGAATTTCGGCGACGTGGCGGAATCCGAGCACGATATGCTCAACATGTCTTCGAGCTTGTGTATGCACCAAGCAATCGGTCTGCCACATCACTTCCTGACGTGGCTACCACGACGCGCTGCTAGTCCTCCCCCCACCCTGAGTACAGGCAACAGGCCGGTCCTTTTCTCTCCACCCTCGGGTTCGAGTTTCCGACGTGGTCCGATGCGTTGAGTGGCGATTTCACGTGCCCTCTTTCCATTGATGTGCCATAGATCCTCCTCCGCATTTCTCCTTCTACAATATTTTACGTGCTTGCATGACCTCGATCAAATCGTTCTTTTGCCGGATCCATTCGCAAACTTCCGTGTAGAATGCAAAATGTACTCTAGTCGGAAGAGACGACGGGGAAATATACCCTCGGAGTTTCACGGAGTGACGCCTCTACGATTGATTCGCTTTCTCCTTCTCCCCTCACAAATCCCATCTCGTGAGTTCGACATCGGCGAGAGTCGATGGAGTCGTCGCCTTTTAGTTAGATGATTCTTCTATCATGCTGACTTCACGATCCGCTTTAGAATCTTCTGTCAGGAGGTCGGTTTTCCCTCCACATATTCGCGACATGAACGGAGAGGAAAGGGACCGGAAGCAATGCACAACAGGGAGACAAACCACTCACGAAGAGCTGAGTAATGAGTTGCAAGTCAAATCAACTGGCTCTTGGGCAGTTATGGCACTCTCAGGTATGGGGAATGAAAAATCATAATGCGAGCCTTTTCGTCACATGTCTTACAGCTTGTACATCTAGCTGTTTTGTAATCAATCTTCTCTCAGGTCCGTATTTGGTTCATAGAGAAATGATTACATTTGTGTGGGCATAATATACTCGTAATCTCTGGTCACCCCATCAGTGTAGAACAAAATCATGAGAATTCCCATGTGACTTCGCCCCATACCATCATGTGAGCGATACAGTAGCAGCTTTCATGTAATTTTGTACCGTTCTGAGCTACCAATCGTTGGCCCTCGTATTTTGGAAAGTACGGCACGTATCTTCACTCCTTTGAAGGAGACCAGTGACATACAGTGAGTACATTTATTTCGCAGTAAGCTTTTCCATACCGATGTTTGACTTTCTCCCATTCATGATCATTTGCAGCACACATTGTTCTGAAATGAAAAGATTATTACGTCAACCCACTCCAATTATTTGTGACTTTAATGTACCATATTACAGGGGCTAGCCCTTGGTTTTGTTGTTTGTTGGGGGCCGATGGGGTCTTTCAATAGTTTTTCTTATCCATGTGACGAGACATTTCCTCTCATGGTTACAGGTATATCACATATTCTAGTTTATTGGGTAAAATATCTATATCATCCTATCATTGGTTATGCATTATTTAATATGACTTGGGATAATTCTGCTATATGTTGACTGTTTAATGTTGAACATTACAATAGTTTATCATATTTTTCATTGTAATCTTGTCCGGTCCTTGCCTCTAGTAGTCAGTGCAGATTCATCATTGTAAAGCTTGCTGGTATCTTCCCATGTTTTTGGCTTTCCACTTGGAAACGAGTAATACTTTTAGGTGAGAAATTACTGGTTATGAACTATGAAAAAACGATGTGAATAGCTGCGAATATTTTTTTAAGTATCGATATGTTTAATAAGTCACCTGGTCGTCTGCTTATGTCTTTGTGTGTGTGAGTGTGTGAGTGTGTACGTATGCACGTATGCTTAATTTTGTGCTGTAAGACTTTGAAGACTCGAGAAGACCTGAGAGTTCATTGAGAGAATGAGGAACCAGAGGAGCTGGAAGACGATTCTCGATGAAGAGTATGTTAGCATAGCAAGGAAAAGCCAACGAGTATCACAAGAGGTTTAGATCAGTTAAGTAATCTTCTGAAGGTATATCTTGTCTAAGTGGTACACGAGGGTGGACATGGATGGCTACAATAGACGAGAAACGTACGCGGTACCAGTACCCACTTGAGCTATAGTGAGGCACGTATGATCTCAGCAACAAAAAAAGACTGCAAGGAACGCTACATGGCAGTCTAGGCTGACATATATAAAATCGTTGAATATCCAGCAGAACAAGGTCTCTACCGTACCATACAAATTTCTTGTTCTGTTCGGCTCTGCACAGAGTTTCTAGGTCGTACGACTATCGGTTCAGTCTGCCCACAGACTTAGTTAGAGAGGTACACAACTAATCCATCGAGGACTGACTGACCGGAGTCTGAGACCAGATGGTCATAGCATCCCCTCCTTTCATTAATATGTGGTTCTTACCCCGCGCTCAGAAAACACTTGCCGGCAAAAGCGAGAGAAAATCGTCTCTAGATACTGTATCGCATAAAAAGCACCGCGATCTTGATAATATTCATCAAATGAGACATTAATGATGTCGTCACATAATCTCCAAATCTCCAGTCCCAGGACTTTTGTACCAGAAGTACCCGAAAGGGCCAGTATCCGGCGAGAACAAGCTTATGTGCTCTTCTCCTCTCACACTTTACGAGTCAACTCTTCAAAAAGCACATACGTGTATAGCTGAAGAATATAGATTCAAAGTGTACACATACGCCTTATTCTTCCTTTGGATTTGTTTTCAGTTCAAATTTCATTGTTCCAGAAAAGTATTCATGGCATGTAAGCTGGTTGTTAAAGAATACCTCGTTATTGCTAACAGTAATTTGAACCGTATAGTAACATGTATGAGTGATCAATAGTTTGATGTAACTTGATGAAATATATAAATAGACAAATTTATTGTATTTGTAAAATCATACGTTTAAAGTTCCTTCAAACCCAAAATTCAAATACAGTAACATTATAACTATATGAACATCTCATATTATGCAAATCATTTTCTAAAAGTAATACGTCTTAAATTTTCAAAATAAAATCTTGAAATAAATCTAAAAGTAGATTCCGTTTCAGTGATGTAGATTGTACGAAAATTTATTTCTTTTAGCAAAGTATCAGAACAGTAGAAATTGGCATTTTATCTATGCATCTATTTTTTAAAATATTTAACCACACGATAATTTACTTACATTTTACAACATATACTGTACATTATCCTTCTGATTTTCACGTTGATTTATAGGTTATCGAAAGATAACTCGTTATTCTATCGGTCGTCGATTCCCATTTTTACGTTTTGAATGTATATACTGAGAGATTGCAAGTAGAATTAATAGGAAAAAACCATTATGTTAATATTCAAAATAGTGTACATAACTGGATATCTCATAGATTTAAAAATCATGTGAAATGAGCGACCATAGATGAATTAAAATATTTTTTAGGAAGTGATGAGAAGGTTATAAGTCATAATGTTTGGCACTCGGTCATGCAACGGTGTAACCAAAGGTTGGGTAAACATGATATATTTGAGATTGAATAAAATTTGATACTTTTAATTTTTTGCTGCAGTTCTAAGTCAGAAATATTATAGAATATATAAAGAATAGAAAGTAAATTTTTGTGCGTTGAGTCATTTAGATGGACTAAGTTGCATACAACATCAATTTATTTGTACATGATGATTACACCTGAATAAAATAGAGTTTACGCATCGGGATGTACCTGTTACATTTGAATGATGCAAGAATCCACATGAAAATATTTGTAATGAATGAGAAATCTGATCCTTGAACGGTGACACCTAAAGGGTTTCCATTTATTATATAGAATACCGAATTGATCTTGATGACCTCTAAACCTGCTAAAAATGTTGGAGAAATAATTCTATTATAATCTACAGATTTTCGATTCTCACTTTTGTTATGGGCAGCTATATTATTACGGAACCGCATCTTGCATACGGTGACCTTTATCAGTTAGTATTTAAAATGGTATACACCGTTAACTAAAGACATTGGACCCAGCAACATCGTAACCGCTTGGTTTCATCCTTATAGGACTTCATTGGATCTCCCCATACTTTTGCTATATTCCTAGCTATTCGTCCTCTCACTACGGATATGAGGTACAACAAAACTGCCATCCACGAGATTAAACTAAAGACGGCCGAAGCATATAATATTTACGTTGCGAAGGGTCGAAAAGTCCACGACCAAAAGGAATTGAAGTAAGTAAAGGAAGCGGACACGGAAGGCATGGGTTCAACATATAAACGAGAGGACTAATTTTCAGCAATAAACATAATTTCTTTCAAAATGATCGTTCTGTAAACTGCCTGCAAATTACATTTTTGTCCTGCATGCACACTTTAAAAGTGGTGATATTTTCATGAACAATGTCAAGTACGTAGCGATTTTCCTTGTCTGCCTCACGTACTCGGTAAGAGGCTGACTAGATCTATCAAAAAGATGCCGACTACTCAAGGAGAAGGATGTTTATCAATCCGTTCATTTGAACTAACACGGAGGTCCGTAAAGACCGATACCCGAGACGAACAATGGAGTGGAGGTATGTGAAGACGTGTTGCACATGTCATCTACATCAGATCTTATGCACACCAATGACCGATTCTAATTCGCGCAGACTGAACTTACTCCAGCTAATCCTGTACCCAGTGGCGGATGACAGTGCTCCGTCGTCCATCTCATCTGCAGTCTACGTGGTTAGTCTTGCCAACGTCGCCTCCAACTAGAAGTGACGCTTCCAGAAGCTAGTTTCGGGTCCTCTTCCACGATCCATTCATTTAACTTTTGGATTATGATAAGGCCATCGAGTCTAAGCAAAATCCCACGGACAAAAGCGCGTCAACCTTGAGAGTAAGATCCTGTTTTAGATGGACAGCCAGTTAGCAGATTGTGGGCCGGTGACTCGTGTGGCCTCCACGAACATTCAGGGTCGGGATAAGTAAAGACCAAAGGAAGGTACTTAGTTATTCACAAGAGGTTCAGCTAGGATTAGCACAGGCTCTGATTAGCTAGGGCAGGCCCATTGAAACTGTCCGTACGGTGATAAGTTCGCTAAACCTGTCCTGGGAAGGAGCGATGTCCAGGCTCCAGTGTACAAAGGCAGTCTCCTGATTTGAGTCTGTCTGCCGATTAGGCCCCAACTTACTGCCCAGATAACACAATCTTGTCTGCCTAATTGGGACTCCACTAATCATGTCCCCATGCCACCTGCCACTGGGTCGGCTGTAGTGACGGGTTTATTCGGTCGTAGTTGGACAACTGACGATTCATCGCTAGCCTCCAGATTTAGCACGAACGGCATCACTCTTTTGGCACTACGCTCCAGCGTTTCCGCATTTAGACTTGCCTAATCGAGCGTGCGTCGAGCAAAGTCCCCGCCCTCTCTCTAGGACGAAGCGATGCCGAGGGTTTAATGCTCCCGAAAGGCTCCCCCCAGCGGAACATGGACCGCCAAGTGTGGAGCCAGCCACGACTTCGGCATGTGCTTTGTTGTAAGAGAAGCCCCCGAGAGCAGATTAAGAAAATCACTCGGCCCTCAAAATACTGATAAATAAGAGTTTAAAACAAGCGCCAATTCTGGACTTTTTTTGGGACCGGAATGGGCGGATCAACGGCGAGGTATGGGAAAAATCAACCCGGGTTGCAAATTTTTCCAGATTCTTAATGAATCGAATATTCCTTCGCACGCTGAAACGCTCATCGTACTTCCTGAGTCCAGAACCGGCCACTCACTTTGTTCATGACATGATCTGAGGCCGCATCTTCCTTCGGATCAGACACTTTTTCTCGCCAGAGAATCGTTTAATATCGACGGGGTTTTGACGTAAACATTAAACGGCGAGACTAATTCGAAGTCTGTCAGGCTCGCTCAGTGCAGAAAGTCAGAGCGGAGGAAAAGAAATTAGAAAAGCTTGTGGAGGAAGCTAAAGGTGGCGACCCATCATTAGACCCGGCTTCCGTTAAATTCTAATAATAACAAAAATCACGAGAAACCCTTCCGGTAGATGCGGCCGAAAATGACAAAATTATCGTCGATGCCACCTTTTGGGCATTAATGAGCCTTCCTCATGAAGACTGGCTTTGTGCGAAGACACTGGCGTCGGCACGCCCGCCAGGTCCAACCAGAGTTAATCGAAAATCAGACCCTGGTCTCCGACTGCTCTGGAGCCTCGCGAGGAGAGGCCGCACTGTCGCCGCAGTGGTGCGCACAGAAAGACCTGGCGCCAGGACAAATGCTCGTCTTCAGTAAAAAAATAAAAAGCGAAGAAAGATAACAACAATAAAATAATACAAAGGCGAAGTTCATTTCCATTTCGGACTCATTTGACCATCGCCATCTCTGCTCTCCGCCGGGCATTCATGGCATTCCTTCGTCATTTCGCATTCATGTCGCATGTCTCTTCATTCCCGAACCCACGTCAGTCGGCCAGTCAGTCAGTGGGTCAGGCAGGCGGTCACTTATCCTGCCCCGGCATCCATCGCGGACTGAGAAACTCAGGTACAAGAGCAGCAGCGGCAGCGGCGAGATATCGACTGAACTCAACTCGACTCGGATCTCGATGATTCGAGGAGGTCCTTCGCTGCTTCGGCTCTGCGGTTTAGTGCGCTCATAATTTGGAAGCATTTCATCGCAGTTCCGATTGCATCTGCATCTCCGGCTCCGGCTCCTCCTCCAGCTCCAGCTCCAGCCCCAGCATGCCGCTGCCCGCTTTCCTCCGTCTTTGACCCGCGCGGGCGGGCGCGTCCAAGCGCAACGTGCCTCGGCGCGGCCCCGCGGCCCTACCCGCGCTCGCGCGCTCGTTATTACTCGACTCCGTTTCCCTATCGTCCCGTCGCCGTCTCTCTCTCTCTCTCTCGGCGAGCACTTCGGGCGCAAGCTCAAGCTCGTGGGTCGGGGGCGGGTCTGCCAGCCGCCGCTGCAGTTCGCGCTGATTGCCGTTCTTCTCGTGCAATCCGAAGAGTCGCCATCGCTAGCTCCTCCTCGCCTCGCATCGCATCACTTCTTGTGCTCCGGCGAAGAATGCAGTCCTCGTGCGTGCATTCGGTGTAGCTAAAAACCTCGGTCGTATCTGAGTTCGGTCGAAGCTGAGAAGACGTGAAGACGCGAGGTGTTTGAATGTAATGTCCCTCACAAGATCATGGCGTAACTTGTTGACTCGCTTCACTTGAGAGAGAGAGAGAGAGAGGGAGGGAGGGAGTGATAGAGTTCTGACGGCTGGAGTGGGTTCTGTCTGTATGTAGAGCATTGTCAATTGTGGACTGTAAGACGACTGGGAACGCATTTTGCACAGGTTGATTATCTATCGGGGCACAATATTGGAGCCTAAAATTATTGTGCCGCCTTCATGATCCGAGTTTATGGGATTTCTGAAAATCTTTGTCCACTTGAGTGATAAATTTCGCGATCGTTGCACACGTACCCCGAGTCGGAGTTAATGTCAAGACCTTCGAGCCAGCTTATCGTGGCGGTTCAGTGGTCTTTTCTATTCGAGCACCGTTGAATTATGGTTTCTGTTCATGCAGCCGATATTTTGGGACAGTTTTCCTGAAAGCTCGTTAGCTTCATGATCATTATCCTCAGTTGTGCGCCGTAGTGCTGTGAGCCTGTGGCGTGTTCAATTGTTGTGCTGCAACTAGGACTCAGAGATACAGGAATCATGATGCAAATCTTGCTTGCTGATACCTCCTGCTTCGGGCTGTGATTGCAAGGCCCAGCTAGAACTCGGTGAATGACAGCACGCACACATGTACAGGTGTAGAGTTCTGGTGTATTCCGAAGGAGTATGCAATAGGAAGTGGATTCTTTCAAAGAATGCTGAATGTTGCTTCTCAGCTATGCAGAAGACGGGACTAACTTCCGAAACTTAGAGGAGAGATGGAAATTGTCATCTGTTTCCTGATAGTATGATTTGTTCCTAAGACGGGTTGACAGAATGAAGGACTGGAAAAGTCTTCAGTTTTTTGACGACTTGGAAATCGTGATGCAGAATTGGAGCTCGAGAGTCGAGACCATGTCGACGAGCTAGGAGAGCTTGTCTTCTTCACAACTTTCCGCGAATTGGAATCCTCCTCAACGAGCTTTGGGGGCTGATTCTAACGGCATCTTACTTGCGCTAGTTGACGAGTGGAAGCTCTTTGGTGAAATGGCTCGAGCAAGCGAATTGCATAAGGTGGTAAATCGGGGGAGTTGCAACAGAATCATGAGTCTCCATGTGTGTACCTGGGTCTTATCGGGTTTAGTTTCGAATGCAATGTGTAGAGAGCACAAACGATAGATTTTATGACGGTATCCTTCTTGAGCTAAAAAGATGTAGCTTCCTGCTACATCTCACACGACACGTCTCATTTGAGTGTTCAAATCTTTAGTGACTGAATCGAATACTAAAGTTAATTTGACTTCAATAGAGACTAGTTTGCGGGAGAAACTGTGCCAGTTAGCAGGAGGGTGTGATGAGTGCTTTACCTGGTCCAGGATCCACACCCCCTCCTCCACTGCCTATTTCTAGGCTCGCGTTACCTGCCTATCCCTCTTGAGCTATTCGTTTCTGTAATTTTTTTCGAAAATACATGCTCCTTGGTCTCCAAGATCGAGAAGAAATTATCCGAGAGCACAAGAAGTGCCGGAGTTTTCGAGAAAAGATTAACAGTTCCGGGGGTATTTTAGACACCCGGGTAGGTGGTGCACTTCTGCGTTTCGGTAGAACGTGAATTCTGTGTGGATCGCCGGAATATAGGAGAATCACTTCATGTACTTTTTTATTACAGAAGATTTTGACATTACTATACAACTAGAGGTCACTACCTGAATCTTTGGTGAAGTCTCTGTTTTGCCCATCTCTTATTTGGCTCCGAGTACTTCCATGAATAAAATTTTGCACTGATATCGTCTAGTACTACTGAACGGAGATTATTGATATCCATTGTTAGCGCATTCAGTCCTTCGCAGATTAGAATTTGATTGGGACTCTTGACAGGAGACCTGCGGAGTGACCAGCATAGGCCCTTGGTAACCATGAGGCGACTCCGCACCGAGCAGGCTCGTTGTGAATAAGATGAATTTTGGTGAAATCAGTTTGTGGAATAGATCCGTGAATTAGACTTTGCCGGAAGCAGTGTCGGCTTTTCTGTCATCGACGTCATTTGCAGCCCACTGGGCATTTCAAACCAATTTCGATCAGCCTAGTCGTAAAGGACTTGATCGCTACTATATGAGAGTCTGTTTCACATGTGATCTTGGCGGTAGGTCTTACAACGTCCAGACAGGTCACGTGGGTCAATGAGATAAGACTGTAATTCAACATTGTTCCATTAGTCAAAATCGTCGACGTCCGGGTTCAGTGCGGAACAAGATTGGGATAAATGTGAAGGGACCATTTACCCCGAGTTTATACCGATTCGGTGTTACATCCATATTCTGTAATTGCCATGCTCTGAACTGCATGCAGATGATGGAGCTCGTCTGGAGCTGCTTTGGGATGTAATGTGCTTGATATGTGGTCGAGGCGCACGTGCTCAAGAGGTAATTCCGGAGAAGCAGCGTCGATATGGCTGGGATTCGTCCATATCGAATGTTGGTCGCTACTGAATCAGTCACCGTTAAACTTGTAGCAGCAAAACGTCTGTGGGACGTACTCGTACTCCCTTCCGCTGCAGATCATGATGTGGAGTGAGGATACTCTTGAATACTATATCTCCAATTACATACTTAAGTAGGGCAGCTATTAAGGAGTTATTGCAGATTAAGTCCCGAGTTTGCCGTTCTTGTCGACTGCTGAAGACATTTCTGTCCTCAGCCTTAAAGTCGTCGGGGCCGGGGGCTAGTTGTAAGTGGTGATGCCAGTTGGTTCAGGTTATGTCCAGAATGGAGGACCCACAGATGGGTCTCCAGATGAGTCCGATTGTCCTACTTAGAGTAGCTCTGATTTCAATCCGAATGAGTTTATTCAGTAGAACGTAAGATTATGTTCTATACCGGAAGAAGTGCTGAAGCAGCAGGAGTAGGCAGTCAATGAAATGCATTCGATACCTCTACATACTTTTCCAAAAATTTTGCAGAGCTAGCACAGCTGCCAGTCCTCCAAGGCTGACTTGACTGCCAGTTTCGTTTATCCATGACCACAACCTGATTGCATAGTAGTCTGCGTAAGTAGTCCTGCTGTCGTACATAGCTCAGCACTATACTAGCCCACGACATTATAATTCAGTAACGTCTGAAATACCAGATATAGGGCCCTATGGCTCGAAACTATCAGAACTCGAGAGACAGTCCGTCATGATTTCTTAGACGATTGCACCATAGGACTGCACAGGAATTACCTTCTATTCTCTATTTTACGAATCATGGCGGCCGTAGGATCCTTATGGCGAGCGAGTCCCGTCATGAGTCAATGGGTTGAGTTGCTCTTTGTCATACCACGATGTTGCCAATGGACGATGGCTCCCGGCTGAACTTCAGACTCGCTCACCCTTGCATCCACTCATCCAGTGCGTTTTTATGTTCAGAACGTACGCGAAGTCACCTGACTCAGATAACATTGGGCAATCAAACTATGACCAAGGACGAATTGATCGAATGGCCTGCTGATCTGTGACAGGCCCGTTACAGACATCATGTTTGTAAAGTAACATGGAGCTCACAATCATCGATATCATATGAGAAGTGCATGACTCATACGTATTTATGACAGGCAGTCGTCGCAGGGAAGAGCGAGCTGAGCTTCATCCGCAACGCTATTGTTGCGATTACGTGGATGGAATAAGAATTCTTGACGCAGACCGTATGCAACAAGGAGCTAGTGCAGCCGCATCACGAGTAAGCATTTGCTCACTCGTGATGCTGGTTTTCGATCTGATCGTATTGTTCGATCTGGGAGATCAATTTTGCTGAAATAACGGACTGACTCTCATCTCTGTACGGTAAGCATCTACACCTGGAGGATGATTCTTGAACCCATGTGGCACCCTGAAACATTCACTTTTTCCTCAATCATAGATCAATCCCTGTTCCTTCCAATGTCGAGGTCTGTCATGGTTGCAAGGCTGCGTAAAATGAGCAAGCACACCATTTTGAGGGATACTGCAGTGTCATAATGGAAACGAGAGATGCCAGCATCTGTCTGTCCATGAAAGTGCCTTTTTTGCAGGGTAACTAGCTTCCTCGTTCACATCTTTTCTTTCACTTTCCCCTCACATGTGCAGCAGGTCTACTCATTGCATCTACAGCCTTTCAGTAGCTGGCCATTTTGGAGGTTCAAGCTCTGAACCTTTCGGGTTTCTGAAATGCTTCAATTTATCTCTTAGTGCGGGAACTTGTACGAGGCAGTTACCAGTTCCCATGTATTGAGGCATAATGATTTCTGTAAACGAGACCTGGCGCTCACCATTCGCCCTCATGGTAGTGCTGCATACGGTGTTTCCATCAACTCACAGGTGAATTGAGGTTAGCTCGAATCTATCTGGAACATCTACTCAAGGCCTTATCTGCATGCACATCATTATGTTCAAGAAATTTCGCTCCTTATATCTACAGAATATGATGAAGCTTACATCTAGCCTTGGACAGGAATGAACGTCTGTTGGCTGAAGAAAAGACTTCACATCTACACAACTCCTTTCAGGCAGGACGGCGTCGTCGACTCCAATTCCTGTCGTTGCCGAGAAGGGAGTAGACCTTCGGCTTGACAGAAGGTTTCGGTCAAGTGGGCTCCGGATCAAGTCCTAGGCTTACAAGATTCCTCTTTGGGTAAAAGAATGATGCATTGCAGAGCTCACAGTAATTTTCTGGTAGATGCCATCACCATAATCTCAAACAGAGAAGCATTAGCTTCAGCAGATTGTCAAGTCGATGGATTCACTGGTAGATGTAACTCTGACCCCGAGAGAGAATCGTTACACTTTGGAAGAACGCAAACTTAAAGCTTTTTTTGCAGATGATCAAATACGCTTTACTAAGTCAAGCGAAGGTCCAAGAACGTGTTCAACATGTCAAGTCCCTAGGAAGAGACCTGGTATCCTGAAGGAAGGGGAAATCCCGAGTCTCTTGACTTTCCACTGTGATTAATGTTTGCAAAAAGTGCTGCTTTCGACCTGGAGTTAAAATATAAACATGATATAAAAAGAAGACATTTTTGAGTCCTTTTCGGAAAGGACTCAGAGATGTTACCCATTCCTACATTCGTAGCAGGGACTTTGAAAAGAATGAGTGTTGATTATGACGCCGACGTTGTGACAAAATAATATTTCCCTCCACGTGATAGACGGCTACGAGCACCCACTTTTTGGCTCTAGTGTGCGCGTACTAGTGCAGTTATCATGAGCCAACGGAACCGAGGATGACAACCCCCAGGGTGGTCAGGGATGAATGACCTAAGAGCATATTTGCTCTCGCTGGGTCGGCTAGGACGTACTCCAATTCTTAGTCTATTGCCTTCGGACCCCTCAATTGATCTGGCAATCATTCGAGGCAAGGACTCGTTTCACTTCATCCGTCTCTCTCCCTCGTTCGCCCATATATAATATCCTAATGGCGAGGTTCAGCCACCACTTCCAGAATTTTGTTTGTGGAACAAAACAAACTTTGACGTGGGATACGTGGCTTGTGAAGGGCTTTGGCATTCCGTTCAGCATATGTCCTTCATGTTCCAGATCCTACACGAACATGATACATATCATGTTCTCTTGTGGCATCTAGGTTGCTGTTAATCTTCCATGGTAAGAGCCGTCTCCAGTCTCTCGAATGATGATAGCCAATTGACTCTGGTCCTGAGACCCCACGATAATGAGAACGACCTCTAAGGCTTTTAAAGAAGGCTGCTCTTTCAGTCTCTATGTTCTGCCATGATCATAATAGACAACATTCGGTAGCTGCTAAACTCTCAGTCTGTATCTGGCCATGGCTATTTCAGATATTCAAAGGTTGCAGTTTTCGATACGTGCAAGCCTGAATAGATAGAACCTTTCATTGTTTAAGCTAAACGCTCCCTGATTTGGCTCCACGTGGTGGTGCTCTTCCTGTGCATAGCTAGCTAGTACTGGTATGCTTCAATGCTCGAGCTTTCGGTTGCCATTTGACCAAGAATGTTGTTTGTAGCCACTCCGGTAGGCCAGAACTGGGACTTGGTTGTGTGAGCTCTTCATCTCTCCGAGGGCTCCACCGCCTTCGAGGAGCCGGTAGGTTCTCTCCTGAGCCTTGCCCAATAAAATGCTGCCCACGAGAGGCCGGTTAGTTGGTTTTCAGCTCCCGTGCTACATTGGGTTCAGAGGCATCCCATGGGGTCAAACTCCTGCAACAGCTCCATTTGATTCCAATTTCAGCTGTGTTCGTCTTTGTCTGTCTTCTCTCATGGGGATGATTACTTTGATTGTGATGGACTGGGCATGCAGTCCAATGCTGCGGGCTGCAACTGATCGAACCCTCTCGTTCGACTGCTGCTCTGCATAGTGTCTAACGCTTGAGCTAGCTCCGTCTCCGAGTGCAGGTCAGGGTCTGCAGTCACTGCCACGATCAACAAGATACGGAAACATGAAGATCAGCAGCTCCGGCAAGGAAGCAGCTTCCATTCGAGGCTTGGGCAGGCCGAGCATCTTCAACCACCGCATCTTCTCGTCTCCTACTTGACCTGCTGTCAACACCGAGGACTTGCTCACTCACAGCGCCACCATCTCCCCATCCTGAACTCAGATCAGCGATTCCGGAGGGATCCATGTTGACACATGATGTCCGTGTCTGCAGAATGTTTGTGTGAGGGGACAGGATCCGAAGAAATCCCCAAATTC